CTGACATGAGGGCTGTGTATTTCCATGAGTGGCGGTGGGGGGAGGCAAACCGTTTTACCGCTTTGGGGATCTTGGGGAAGATCCGGGGGAGGATCTGGCGGACGGGACGACTCAGCTGGGCTAGGGACTGGTGCCAGATGGGCGAGGGCGAGTGCGAGTGACGAGGCGATGAAGCTCTGGTCGTTGTGGTCACATAGCTGGCTAGCTAAGGTAAGGTGAGGTGAGGTGAGGTACCTAGTGTGGGGAGGCGAGAAAGCATGAGAGCATAGACTGCTTATGCTGTTTACGATTCTGGGTTCTCGCCGCAGATGGGAAAGGCAATGAGGAAGCTCCTTTTCAGTCGCACGGAGACTTTTGTCGATGCTGTGAGGCTGAAATCTGCTATGGCCTTTTGTTTGCCTCGGGGACGGTTTCCGATGTTATCGTGTTTGGGGAGAGAGTGTGGGATGAGTCTAGGTTGCTTATCTTGACTTGATTCCTCTCCTCCCGCGGACGATGCTGAACACAGATCTCAAGTCGGAGTTTGAACTGGGTTTGTGAAGCTTTTAGATGTTCAGCTCGGCTATCAAAACATGAGTGAGGCGACGACTACTCTTTCGGTTTGAGGCTACTGCTCCGAGGGAGAGTCTGCTTCCCAAAAGCTGGATTCAATCCTTGGAAGTGATACTATGAACAGGAGACTGACATACAACTTCCGAAACCCTTCGATTCCAGCTGTGATGTAGCACTAACTAAATATCATAAACGTCACCTTGCTAACGTGCCTATACCTGGAAGTTTACAACCACATAGCCAGGCAACGGCATCGAGTCTAGACGCTACCTATCTCAACAAGCTAGCTTGAGGAACAGCTGAGAGGAGGGGAGGGGGACAGTGAACTTGCGAAAGCAGTGACCACCAGCCTCTTCCTCTGACAAGAAAGCCGTTCCTAGCTGAGATGAAAACTCATGCCGGGTGCCGTTAGTGTTAGAATTCCATCTCATTCTCAAGGTCCGCTTTGCCTCTCTTTCCCCCCCAAGAGCACAGCTCGCAGACGGGCTTCCCTCGGTGCTCCTGCCGAGAAATCGACCTAGTTTGGGTCAAGGACAGCGAACGGTTCAAGCTCACTCACCTTACTCCACCCACCCTTCCCGGTTCTGAGAATAGAGTCGGCGGGGAGGTCAAGAACTTTTGACGTGCATGAACTGCTTGCCGACTCTACTGCTTCAGATATGGAGACGGGCTGGTCAGAGAGCCAAAGTCTCTTTTGTCGCTTTTACGAGACCAAGACAAGCTGAAGTGGATCGTTTAATTTCTAGGTTTCGAGGTGGGGAGAGGTGCTTACGGCGAGTTTGATGCTTTGCGACTGAGAAGTTGTAGGTATCAGGCAGACGTAGAGAGAGGGGAAACTGAAAACAGGATCTTTTTTCGTTCCTAGGCGCCCCTTGTCTCCTGCAGATTAGCGGGCGCGAACGGGGTGACATCCGCGTGACCGATCGTGCCGAGTCCGGCGGTCCAATCATCGGCGTCTTGGGGAGGAGAGGCGCCGTTGCGAGTTGGTGGGAGTGGATGCCCTTCTCCCCGGTGCCGAGTCGCCGAGGGGATGACCAAGTTGCGGGTCCATCTCGGCGGGCGGGGTCCGGCTTTAGTGCGGAACATCCGGGTGATGCGGGAATGCGGCGTGGGAAAGGGGGCGGGACCAGTTGTCCTATCACCGGCTTTCGATGTGTTGAAGTTGACGGGGTGGAGCTTGGCGATGTGTGTCTTGTGATGAGGCTTTTTTGACGGATTAGGTATTACGAGGGATGTGGTTCAGGGGTGAGAGAATGAGGTTGCAGCAGCACGTGGTGGGGAGTTGCGTAGTTTGTGATGGATTGGTTTCCCTGTTCAAAGGGGGTTAAACTTAGCCTTGTAAAGTTGGATGATGTCGATATCCATCTTGAGCTCGTACAAAATAGACACATCTATAATACATTGTCTAGATAGCTAACTAAAAACAAAGACTTCCGTCTTTCCGAGCAAAGCTGTCATCTATTCAATATGCAAGACTCAACCCTAGACCCCCCCGCGCCAATGCTCCGCCAGCCACCACAGCCCCTAGCCCGCGTCCTCGCCGCAGATGAAATCATCCCCACTGTCCAACGCGTCCTCGCAAACCAACACGCTGCCCGCGAACACGCAGCCGCGACCATCAAGCCCTCCGAGGCAACCTTCGCCAACACCATCGCCCCCTTTCTACGCGCCGACGACGAGACGCAGGGAGAGACGGGGTCCTTCAGTGTGCTCCGCTTCTCTGGCCCGGACAAGGCTACGCGCGAGGCCGTGGACGAAGGTATGAGGCTCTGGTCTGCGTCTACGGCGGAGAGGTTGCGGATGAAGGGGGTCTATGAGCTTGTGGATGCCGTCAGGGAGAGGGATGAGAAGGAGCTTGGGGATGAGGAGAGGAGAGTCGTGAGAGATCTGTGGTTGGATTATCGTGGGGCTGGGCATGGGGTTTTGGACGGGGAGGGGATTGGGGTGTATTTGGAGCGGAGGGAGAGGATTGAGGAGTTGAAGAGGGCGTTTAGGAAGAATTTGTATGAAGGTAGTGGAGGTTTGTGGTTTACGGAGATGGAGTTGGATGGTGTACCGAGAGCGGAGATGGAGAGATGGAAGGGAGGGCGGGACGATGTGCCTGAGGAAAGGGGCAAGAGGTTTGTTACGCTGGAGAGGGCGGATTACGATGCTGTGCTGCGACACGCGCGTGACCCGGAGACGAGGAGGCGAGTGTACGTTGCGTTTGATAACCGGTTTCCTGAGAACGTGCCGCTGTTCAAGGAGATGCTTATCCTCAGAGACGAGAACGCGAGAATGTTGGGTTACGGCAGCCACGCGGACTTCCGGATCGAGAGGAGGGTTGCGCCGTCGACTGAGTGGGTTGAGGGGTTCTTGGAAAGGTTGAGTGAGGGATTGGAGCCTAGGGGAAGGGAAGAGATGGCAAGTTTGGCGGAGAGGAAGAGAACTGATATGGGGATTAGAGGGGATACTATTGAGGGGGAAGAAGGAAGCGAGGAAGGGAAGATTCTGCCGTGGGATTTTGATTATTATACAAGGCTTCTCGAAGAGGAGGCGGACGTTGACCAGGAGATGATTTCCGAATATTTCCCCCTAAACCACACGTTATCGGCCATGTTGGGTTTGTTCTCCGAGTTCCTCGGTCTCGAATTCGAACTTGTGCCGGAGCAAGATCTAGTTGGGAGTATCTGGGATAAGGAGGTACAAGTTTGGGCCGTCTGGGAGGGCAGAGGGGAGAGAAAGGGGGAATTTGTGGGATACCTGTACGCCGACGTTCTCTGGCGAGAGGGGAAATACCGGACGGCTTGCAATGTCAACTTGCAATGCGTGCGTTGCCGAAACTTCTTTCCCGTTGGGTTCCATCAAGAAGGATTACTGACTCGTTTACAGGGTTACTTGAAGGAAGATGGGAGCAGAGTCTACCCTGCCACGGTGCTCATGTGTGCCTTTCAGTCTCCTACAGCCGCGTCTTGTGCACTGTTAAAGCATCGCGAGGTCGTGACCTTGTTCCACGGTACGTACGCCTGGTTCGCGCCTCCCCTTTCGTCGTCCTCTTTTGCTCATGTTCCTCTCCGGGAGTGATTCATCGTGTCTCTTTCCCGTGTTCACACGGCTGACTCGATGTTGGTCCTCGCAGAGCTGGGCCACGGGCTTCACGACCTTGTTTCTCGCACAAAGCACACCCGATTCCATGGAACACGCGTGGCGCCCGACTTTGGCGAGGCGCCGAGCACGATGCTGGAGAAGTGGTGCTGGATGCCGGATGAGCTCGCCAAGATAGGCCGGCACTACACGCGCGTCGATCCGGCGTACATGGCAAAGTGGAAGGAGGGTCATGCGGATGGCGAAGAGCCTCCGCCGGAAACACTTCCCAAGGGGTTGACGGACAATTTGGTCAAGAGTCGAGAACTGAATCGGGGACTATGGTTTCTCAGGCAGCTGTACGTTTCATCTTTGGCCTTCCTTTGCTAGGTTGTTGGGTTCGTGATAGACGGCTGACGCTGGACAGAGTATTTGCTACGTTTGATATGAGGATAAACAACCAAGAGACAACCAAGGCGCTAAGGGAATTGGACGAAGTGAAATTTTACAACGATCTTCAAGACTCCATGACACTTAAGCCTAATCCGGATCAGAGAGGCTACGGGCTGGTTCACTCTACGCATCTCATCGATCTCTATGACGCGGGTTACTACGCCTACGTGAGGTAAGTTTGCTGTGCCACCCCATCGAAACTCCATGCGAAACTGAGACCTCCCGTTCCCCAACTCCTCAAGATCCTCCACTACAACTTTCATGAGCAGTGCTGACTTATCCTGGAAAAGCGCCCAAGCATTCGCGGCCTCCTTCTTCGAGTCGTGCTTCGCCAAGGACCCTCGCAATCCTGAGGCATGGGATCGGTACCGACGTGGAATCCTCGAGTACGGCGGTAGCAGGAATGAAATGGAGATGATGACGGAGTTTCTGGGTCGGGAGCCCGGGCCGGATGCGTTGTTGATAAGTCTCGGCTTGTTGGAAGGTGATGTGACGAGCGCCGGGGCCGATGGGGTTGAACCCTCAGCGGCATCGATTTGAGACTCCTTGTAATTTGTCTCATTGAAGAAAGATCTTTTTAGTTGCATCGAGACAAGGTCTCAGTTGTGAGATACGATGAGATGGTAGTTAGAGAATGATTGTTGAGTCGAATCGCGGCTGAAGTTGCCTCGACGCGCATTGGAGAGCTCAGCTGATCTACTCGTCCTGCGTCTGCTCAGGTACCACCATCCCAAACAGTCTCAGTAGACCCTGTTGTCTCTTGTTCACAATTCGTGGCGTCACTAGGGATCAAGATTGAGCAAATCAGGTATCGGCTACACCACAATGTGCTCCAGCCCCTTTTCTGGGGTAATGGGAAACTGAGACTGCCACTCAACACGAGGCATGACAACTTTACGTTTGCAACTGACTCAATGTGGCAAGACAACTTTCACGGCTTCACAGGTACTAGCTGTGATTCTGGTCTATAATCCCACGATGGCTTCGTGCTCAGCTGGTATTGCCGGGTCTCATTCGTTGGCATCTGTCCAAGTTGAATGTGCCACCTTTACCAAAGACTGCTCAAATCGGGCCAGACTGGGGTCAGCGAGATCTCTCGGCCTATTCTACATCTGAGATTCAATGCTAGATAAATAGCCTTTGATCTTCATCCACATATCGTTTCGATATTGCGCTCAGTCACTGGTAAATCATCAACAACTCAACAGATACAATCCCGTCATCAAGATGAAGTATATCCCAATTGCCATCGTAGGTCTCCTCTCCTTCGTCAATGCCCAGAGATGCAACAACGATAACTGCGCCCGTGCCGTGACTGGCACCAGGGCTGGTATTCCCGTGGACATCTCATCCCGCCGCTCAGACTGTTCCTCTTACATGCAGACCACTGTCATCCCGGACACACTGTAAGTGCCATTTTCCCAATCCACTATGAGACCGCGGACACAACTCTAACATGGCCCAACAGCACTTCAACCGTCACCACCACAGTCTACACCGACGACATCCCCCCGACCCCCACCACCACCTTCTCCCAGTCCACAACCCGCACCCCAGTAACGCAATTCCCTACCGCAGTCCCCTCATACGTAACGCCCCAATGCCCCGGCCCCAGTGCCTACTCCTCCGCCTGCAGCTGCTGGTCTATCACCCCGTCCATAAAAACCCTCCCCGCACCAGTCACCACCGTCACGGCAACCCAATACACCAACCCAGGCTGCCGTGGCGCCCGCGACTGTCCCTTTGACGGCGTGAACGTCTACCGGTGCGGCGGCGGCGGCGGAACGCCGGCCACCTTTTGCACCTGTCTTCGCGAGGCAGGAGGGAATGACAACGGAGAGGGTCGAAGGCAGGTCTGCGTCGAGAAGAAGGAGTGCACCGAGGCCAGGATATGTACCTCGTCGAGTGGTTGCAGCGCTGATGAAGCGTGCGTGTGGAATTATTGTTGTAATCGTCCGCGTCGGAGGATTTGTCTCAAGTATGCTCCCTTGGCGTGTGGTAATCCGACGTCGCCTGGGAATATCTTTGAGGAGCGGCGGGAGGCGGTGGAGGGTGGAGGCAATGGAATAGTGTGAGCTTGGTTGATGACACTTCGGGTGTTCTGAAGGTCTTGAAGCGACCGGAAGAGATTTATCGGGGTTGTACGAGGGAATTGCTTGGACAGGCAATGAAGCGAGATATCGAAAAGCAAGAAGCAGGCGGATCTGAGCTCTCATAAAGCTCGTTGGGTAGTCCCGGGAGCAAGACAATGGCAAATCTTACCCCCCTCGCTTCCCAGACAACCTCCCACCTTTCACTTTAATGATGATCTTACTGACCCTTCCACCTCACCCGACTGGCATACTGCGCAAACTTCACAACCTCCTCCTGCTCAAGCAGCAACTCGACAGTAAAATAATGCCTCGCAAGCTCCTCGTGCCCCGCAAACCGATGCACAAAAGAATGACATAACCGACACAACCACGCGACATTATTCAGCTCCTCCTGGCGGTGCCAGCCGCGCTTGACAACCTTGTCATGCACCATGCGCGGAATGAGATGATGATACGTCAGCCCGATCCAATTCCGCCCGCACAACTCACACCCGTCCACAGAATCCCGCGTTGACCGCGGCGGCGGCGGTGGCGCGACAAGGGCGGATATGTACTCTGTCAACACGGGCGCTAAGAACTCGTGAGCGCCCTGCTTAGCCGGGTCGACGATGTGGTAGGCTGCTAGGGAGTCGGCGACGTCTGGGGATAAGGTAGGTAAGAGGTCTGCCACGTCGGCGCCGGTTAGGGGCAGGGGGAAGCGGGATTGTAGGAGGGACGGATCGGCTGTGTGGGTTGCGTGGGATAGGGATTTGAGGTCTGGGGGGAAGGAGTCAAAGGTTTCGGAGGCGAGGTAGGATGTGAAGTCGATCATGTCGTCTGCGTCCACTTGAGCGCTATCATCGTCGTCTCCGGTGCCGCTGATGTCGGCCGAGGATGCATCGCTCTGAGATTTGGGTGGCCGGCGAGGATTTGCCTTTTTGGAGCGGCGTTTTGGTTTCGTTGCTGGTTTTGTCACGCGTTCTACGACGGCGGCTGAGAGGCAGTCTCGTAACGTTTCAAATTGGAATGTTTCTTCATCAGCATTTCTCATCTTGTCAAGTGCGGTGGCGAGTTCTGACTCTGTGAGATGATTTTTCTCTCGTGAGACGTGGGAGTAAGATGAGGCGAGAAGGCGTCAATCGATGACGTTGAGTCGACGTTGCTTCTCGGAGGTCACCTCACGATCCGTTCGGACGGAAGCGATGTTTAGGGCGCTTTAGCGCGTATTTGCTGGGTGCGGGGGCCCCGGGTATAAGTGCCCCGTCCTCTCCCCCGCGTCTTTGGTGACGGAAGCCGCCATGATCGAGAGGCGTTCAGACGACATTCCTCCCATCTACCTCAACTATCGCGACATCTTTAGAGAGAATTTATTTTATACTCACCGGAAACAGAATCCTGACTTTGACACTGGTGAATCTAACACCGAACAACATGGCGCAGGACAAGCACAAGACGGTCATAGCCTTTGACCTTTATGGCACTCTCCTTTCGACCGAATCCATTGCAAAGCAACTCGCAGAGCTCTACGGCGACGAAGATGAAGCCAAGACTATGGCGGCGCAGTGGCGGCGGTATCAACTCGAATATACTTGGCGCATAAATAGCATGGGTTCGTACCGCAGTGCGAATCTCACAAGGCAAAAACTCCCTAGTAGCAGACTGACACAACGTGACAAATCTAGGCACATACCATCCATTTTCCGACATCACGCGCGCAGCGCTGAAGCATGCCGTCGCGGAGAGAAAGAAGTCACCTATGTCAAAGGGGGACGAAGACCGTCTGATGGAAGCCTATAACGGTCTCCAAGCCTTTCCGGACGTAGAGCCGGCGATGCGCATCGTCGAAGGGGACAACTCGATCGACGCGTATGTGTTCTCCAACGGAACGAATGACATGGTCGGCGCGTCCATCAGAACCTGCCCTGAAATCAACCAACGCAAGAGCCGCATCTTTGGGCCCGAGAACTTGGTGACTGTTGAGGGGGCGGGGTGCTTCAAGCCCGCTCCGGCAACGTACCGGCACTTTGCGGAGACGGTGGGTATGACCGGTAGAGAGGGCGACATTTGGATAGTTAGTTCAAATCCGTTTGATGCGCTTGGTGCGAGAGCGGTCGGGTGGCAGTCTGCGTGGATCGACCGGGCCGGGACGGGGTGGATTGATGCATTGGGCAGCCTCATCGACACCAAGCCAACGGTTGTGGCCCGAGGTGTTGATGAAGCTCTGCAAAGAATTGCGGAGCTCTCAAAGTAGTGTTGTAAAATGCAATCGCTTGGAGTTGTAGATCTGGCAAGGTTTTTACTTGCCGCCTCGGTGTCGCTTTGCAAGATGGACAGGAGGATTCACTTCAAGCATCATGCTGGTCCCCATGTATCCCCATCACGTTGGCAACGGTCTCTGAGCTTATTTCAAGCCGGGGACAGTGCTAGTCCTATTCCCCGAACTTTCAACACTGGGATAGATCACCATGACGACATTGATGTCATTCAAACTGGGAACTTGTGCTCAACGGGCCTGTCGCATCAAGATCCCTATAGTACACAAGCTGATTCACAAAACGAAACCATCGAACGAGTCTCATCTCCTGGCTGCAACTGTAATGCGCGTTTCCAGAGCTACTGATGACGACGGGTGCGAGAAGGATGCCACGTAGACGACAAGCTTAAAAGCTTAGTGCCTATTCGGCATGTTATGCCGTAGTCGGGTCTTGACCCTTGAAGCCTTGAACGTGGACGAGATGGGCAAGGTTGACAGTCATTTCGGCTAGTTTTGCCGCATCGGGTGGAAAGCGCGCGCTGATGTAGTTGTACTCTGTGTCTTCCACGACGAAGCTGTACTAGATGTTTAGCAAATGTGGTTGCATCCGCCGATGGGGGAGACACGAACGGTCGGTTGGGCACCCAGCTGCTCTTGAACTGACTAGGATCTTTCACCGCTTTGCGCATCTGATACAATAAGCACTTGAGCAAGTCGTGTTCCTTGATCCGAAGCGTCTGCTTACCGAGTCCTCGACGTTCTCCGTGCCCGCACCATACGTCTTGTAGTAATCGCCCAGAAATAGCCTGGTTCCCTGGTACGCCAGCGACTCGAAGCATCCGGGCAGAGCCGTCGTCGTGCAATGGTACAGGACACTGTTGCCGTCTTGACCCTTGGTGTTGCATAGAACCAGCGGGCCGTGGCAGATAGCCGAGACAATCTTCTTGCCCGGCTTTTTGGTCTGGGGAAAGTAGTCGGCCAGTAGCTCTTGTGCAGTGGTCGAGTCCATGAGCTGCCTGACTTCCTTGTCGTGACCGCCAGGAATATGCACAATGTCGAAATCATCGAGTGTAAAGCCCGGAGAAGTCCAGGACAAGGGGTCCTGCATTTCGGCGGATTTGACCATAACATCATATAGCTTTTTCGTGGAGGCCGTGGCGCCCTATTGGACGGGTAGCAGGTCAACTCTATTCCATCGCCAGATTGCTAGGTAGTCCTCGGTGGGTGGGGGGAAGGCGGGATATTGGTCAAGGGAGGAATTTGCAAGCGCTCGTTGTGCAATTGCGCTGACGTTTAAGAAGAATGACGCTGGCAACACGCTGAGAAAGGGCATCATCGTACAAGAAGCTTCTGGGAGAGGCCCTCGAGCATCCGGGCATCGCAGCGGGGCGTTGAACCCGTTTCGGTTGCAAAGTTTACGTCGAATCCTGCATCTTGAAAGGCCTGGTAGGGGACTGCAACCTCTGCGAAGCAAGAGGGGAGAGATTAGCTTTGCGGTTCGTAACGCAGATCCCGTGGAGTAAGGGTTTTGCCATGTTTGGACGATTGGAGCTGGTGCGGAGCCAGAGGATTAGGGGGGACGGAGATGGAGTCTGACAAGGACCGGGACGAAGTCGGGGACTTGGCGTTGAGGGGATGGGCGGGATAGGATGGGTGGACGAGCGGAAGGATGATGGAGATCAGCTACCTGTGGGATCATGGCCGTAGTCGGCCATGATGATGAGGACTTTGACCATATTGATGACTCTTGAGGATGTGTTATCGGCGGTGATACCCAGATGAAGTCGAGCAAGGCGTAGCGTAATGATGATGATACGAGTTGGACGGGACGACACGACACGGTTTACGTTGAAGGATCTGAATCGTCTGAAGTTGGCTGACAGGGAGGGACGTGGGAGTGATCAACGCGGGGGTGGCAGATCACCGAGGCCGACAATTTGTCCTGTACGGCACACACGGATACTGGCTGGTGCCGCGTCGCCGGAACCAGCGAGACAAGTTGACATCAGCGCTGAACTCTGACCGTTTGAACAGCAAGTCAGTCATCAGTCGTCAGCGCCTTCATCTGCACCTTTGCTGCCCAGGAGCCTTTGGCTTGCATTCCGAGGCTGTATGGCCGACATGCCTTTGCTGACTCGCCGGGATTGTTGGTTGCTGTACGGAATATCCGTAAATAAGATTCATCTCGTAAACGTGTGTATCTAATTCGATGCTGCGTCTCAGGCGAGATGAAGAAATGAAGAAACGGCTCGAAATTGACGGACGGACTCAAAGGACTGTGCTTCATGTCCATGATGCGTCCGTGAACAAGTTCCCGGTTCCAACGTTGGACATTTGACATTGGATGAGCGGACCCTGAAGCGACCCGACATGAGGCAGGCACGCAGGGTGGCAGGCCCAGGGGCGGGCAAGGGCAGGCAAGCAAGGAAGGTACCCAAAATGTCCGTGTGCCCGGTTCCTGCCCCTAATTTCTGTGCTTCTATCCGTCAGGTAACTGAGGTGCAGCGCTAACGCAACGGGGACCCGTCAACAGCGGGTCCCGTCTCGACGTCATCTCTGCCAGACTTTTTCCGTCTCTTCCCCCTTACCTTCCGTTTACCTGATACGTTGACTTAACACCTACCTTAACCTCAAGGCTCAAACTCCTGTTCATCTTTCTCCCCGTCAGCCCGAGTCTGCCTTGTGTACTCTGTCTGTTACTTTTACGGCCTGGATGTGTCGTTGCACGGATATCAGTCTTATCCTTGCTTACCTTCATACACCGTAGATGCAGTTACATTTATCTGCACTTATTCTGCCCGTACCTCGCAGTAGACCAGTTACAATGCGGCCACCAGAATGCAGACTACCCCAGTGCCAAGCGGCTGACGCGAACCTTGACACCAGCAGCCATTTGTTCTGACATTTCTCCACGACTAATGGCCATCATTCCGCACACAACTAGCTAGATGCCTCACGGATACACAGCGGGCAGCTCACCAGTTACAACTCCACGGATATTCAAGCTTTCGCCAGTCTCCATAACGCATGACATCGTGGCCCTCCTTGGCCCCGTCAGTACCGGCACCAAGCCCACTTCCACCCGCACATCCTGCCCTTCCCATCCAGTGGGCCCCGCCGGTCTACGCAACCACGCCAACTTAGTCTCCCCGGACTCGCTCCCCGGATAGGAAGAAGCAGGCGCAAGCGCGCTCTCAACTCTCTCTATCGTCTAATTACACAATCCCCTACCTACTTTGTACCCTTGTTCTCTCCCATGTACCAAACCCTTGCTGCCAGACTCCCGGCAGCTCGGATACTCATGGCTCGCCTAGATAAGGCCACTATGACCCGCCTTTGCGGACAGTGACGACAGTCTGGGCCCTTCGTTTCTTGATATATACCTCCCCTTCCTGCCACGCCAAGTCTCCGTGCCCGTTCTCGTTCCCGACACTCTTCACTGACACGGCACACCATTCACCCAACCATCCCATCTTCTACTCAAGCTCACGCTCACATCCACGCCCACGACGATGAATCTCTCACCCAACAAGACGATGCCTGCCAGCAATGTTCTCTCGGAGCAGGTCCAGCTAGGAGGTACCTACGTCGACACCGTTGTCGAGATATCTGAAGAGCTGTTTCACATGAAGGAGCTTCTGCCGCTAGTCAAGCTCCTGACCCTCGTCTACAAGATGCGCTCGCCAACCCCCGATGAAGAACATCACATGAACACCCTTTTGCGGACACTATCAGGCGACAACCTCAACAAGACAACAACGGACCGACACCCCGAAGGATTCACCAGAGACGAGATCGTCAAATCATTCAGCAGGTTCCTGAGCCCAGTTCTCAATGGCCTGACCGGTCTCGGTGACTTCGAGCAGGCCGTGGGCGCCGGCGAAGATCCTGACTCGTTCCGCCAATTCTGGGCTCTCGACGACAGGAATCTGCTCTCTGACGCCGCTTCAGGCAGAGGCCCCCTCGCCGCAAGTACAGAACCCATAATTCCTTTCCTTGAGACCTTTGTCAAGGACCGCAGCCGGCGAGTAGCCTTAACCCAAGATCACGGCGCCCTTGTATTGGTACCCAACCAAACGAGGCCCGGTGACGAGATCTGGATGATGTCACGCGCATCGTCCTTGGTCGTCGTGCGCAGACTCGACCAGCCTGAGGATTCGACGACGGACCTGAACGTCCTCGGCGATGCTTACAGCCATGGATTTGTCAAGGGGAAGCCGCCACGGGGCTGCAAGCGACAGGCCTATGACGACTTGGAGTTCTTGACATCGTCCGTTGCTGTTGGCCTCGCCGGCGGCGTGCCGAGGTAGAGAAGGCCATGCATTGAGCTATCTTGGCTCACAGCGATTTGCTCACTCACACCCGTCTTGATGGGCACGCGAGCGCAGAAGCAAACCAACATTTCGCTGTGCAATCTCTCAGCATCAGCCACTTGGTCCGAAAGATAGTCACGCCTCGTTCTGCGCCATGGGCTGATAGCAATTCTCCCGCATGCCCTTGCTGCTGAGGCTTGATCGGATCGCAACATGTGTACTTAGGTACATCAATAAGCCCGAGGAGGGAAAAGTTACTCGACACATTATTCAGCGCTAGCGTCAATTACGCAGACTCAAAAGGCAGCATTTTACAAAATCATTTCATCTGTTGCCCTGAAGGACGCAGCACACCATTTACCCCGCGCCTCTACCTTACTCGGCATTGTATTCTGGAGACGGGAGTTTGGGAATCTGGGAATCACAGGATTGGGAAGGGGGACAAAGGCACTACAGAACAGCACTGGCGTATCATGGGATTCTCTTCAAAAGAAAATTGGGCTTTGCATTCTGACAACCATCACTGTAGAGGCATTATTAGATACCCAATTTGATTTGTTTATCACAATCTGACTTTGACGAGACGGTGAATTTGAGCAATCTGATGCAATCTCGTCTATCGCGAACCTCAGGTGTTTTACCGTTGTGGAAGGTGGCCTAATTTCCCGGGGTGATTAACTGACAGCGTGTCAGGGCCTCAACGGGGCCCCTGAATCCTGAATCCACCCTCACCTAGCCATCCGTATCCTACGGAGCTGGTCCATAGGGCTCTAGCGAACCTTAAAAGACCTAGCTTGCTACGAATCAGGAGAGAAAAGACGTAGATTTCCGGACGGAGGGTCGGATACGTAGTCCGTGCTTACGCGGGGCCTAATCGGCGGACTTTATTCGCTGACGGCGCCGTTTTCACTGCATCTCGAAATATCTCTTCTTAAATACTCGGGTGAACTTCTTCCAAAAAAGTTTAAACGTTCAAGCCAGCCGCCCGTCGCACACGGACACCGTTGGAAATTGCAACCTGTGCCACGCGACGACGGTGTCGACAGTTGGAGGCGTTTTTGGGCCTACTAGCACGTGCCCGTTGCTTGGACAGATCTGCACCGCGACAGTTGGTACCAGGTGGTAGCGACGTGGCTTACACTCCCGAGACATCCACCGGCTGGTGACATATCTCATATTCAACATCGAGTCGCACAACATGGACGGAGTCTTGGCTTACATCCTGAGATGTCTCACGGCGGCCATCCTGGCCGCCGCCGTGGGGTCGGTGTTGTACTTCATTAAGCTTTTGAGGAGGCATCGAGGCAAGATGAACGAGCTGAGAAAACAGGGACTAGTGAGTTCTCCTCCCTCTCATCACGCCTCATAACCTCATGAGAATGAGACTGGCTGTAACCATCAACACGCATCCAAACTAACAACAATACCCAGCCAATCGTCCCCCACAGCTTCCTCTTCGGCAACCTCCTCGAGGCCAAGAAAGCATTCGACACCCTCCCGCCCGGCGTCCACGCGAGCTACGTCCTCGCCCGTCTAGGCGAGCTCCACGGCCAAAATGGCGCCTACTACATCGACACCTGGCCCATGGCCGACCCGATGCTCGTCGTCACGGCCCCGGACATGGCCCACCAGACAGTCTACCACCCCGTCGCCGGCTCCCAGAAACCCCCCATGCTCGTCGGCTGGTTCCACCCCATCACCGGCGGGCCGAGCCAGTTCGACACAAACGGCCGGCCGTGGAAGAACCTCCACGCCCTCTTCAACCCCAGCTTCAGCAACCAGAATATTACTGCTGCTGTGCCCATCATCCTCGGCAACATCGCCACCTTCACCTCGCGGCTGCGCGCCAGGGTCTCCTCCTCCTCCTCCTCCGAGGACAAGGGCGAGGAGGGTAGTGAAGGAGACATGTTCAGGTTGGAACCCCTGATGCTAGACCTCATCACAGACGTCATCGGTGAAGTCCTCCTCAACGTCCGCCTCGAAACCCAGAAACAGCAACACCCCCTCGCCGAAGCAATGAAGGGCCAGCTCCGCCTCAAATTCACCTCCCACAAGCCCGAAAACCTCCTCGCCCCAATCGACCCGTTCCTCCTCTTCCGCACCTGGAACGGAGGCCGCGTCCTCGACAACCACATCAAACACCAAATCAACGCCCGCTTCGCCACTCTCCTCCAAAACAAAGCCCACAACCGCAATAAATCCGAAAACTTCCAATCCGTCCTCGACAGCGCCCTCGAGAACTGGCTCGCGCAAACCGGCAACGCGGGGCGCGGAGAGCTAGACGCGGCTTACCTCTCCCTCATGACGCGCAACATGCGCATGTTCTTCTTCGCAGGCTACGACTCCTCTGCCGCGACGATAGTCTACTGCCTGCACAACATCGCCTCCCGCCCCTCCATCCTCGCCCGCGTCCGCGCAGAACACGACGCCGTTCTCGGCACCGACGTTTCTGCGGCACCGGCCAAAATCGCGGAGAACCCGGCCCTGCTTAACGCCCTGCCCTACACAAACGCCTGCATCAAGGAGTCCCTTCGCCTCTTCCCGCCCGCGGGCGGCATCCGCCAGGGTTGCGCGGACCTGGTCTTGCACGACGCCAAAGGTAATGCCTACCCGACGGACGGCATCGCCGTCAACATGCTGCACTGGGCCATTGGCCGGAACCCGCGGTACTGGGCGCGACCAGATGAGTTCCTGCCGGAGCGGTGGCTTGTGACAGATCCGAAGGACGAGCTGTACCCGCCCAAGGGCGGCTGGCGGATCTTCGAGTACGGCCCGCGCTTGTGTGTTGGCCAGCAGCTTGTCATGACGGAGGCAAGGGCCGTGTTGGCGTGCGTGGTGCGAGAGTTTGATATCCGGGACTGTTATGGCGAGATTGACGGCGGCAAAAAGATGGATACGAGCGGGTTGGGCGGACAGAGGGTTTTTATGGTGGAGGCGGGCGCTGCGCATCCTACGGATGGGTATCCTTGTAGGGTATCTTTGAGCGGGTATGGGAAGTAAGAGGTCTTAGCCGGGTCCCTGCCTAGATTCAAGTGCAATGTTTTGTGATGTTTACGCGCTGGTGTATGCTTTGGTCCGTGATAAGTCGGTTCTCTCAGAATAGACAACGTCCGAAGAGTGTAACGTGGCCCATGGTTGATTGACGAGAATTAATTTACGGTACGAGGGTTGAATTCGCCAAGATGAGCAGCCCGACTCAACCCCTACCGTGTGGCAGGCACTTTTACGTGGGAAACAAAGTTGAGAGGTAACCATCATAAGGCAGTATAATGCTGTTGAGTTATAAACATCTTCAAATAAGAGCGAGAGTTATGTATAATCAAGCCGTAGCTCGTAAACATTGGGATCTCTCTTTCATCCCATCTTTTTCCCCTTTTGGTGTCGTCTAATCCAACCATGAACGCCGTGATCCATGTGGTATATGAGATGAAAAGTATACAAGAATGCAACCAGACGTCGTGCGTCTGTGCAAGAAACGAAAGAAAAGGAAATCCGAAAATCAGAAGGGTATATCCATTCACCTTTTTTTCCGACCGTCCTCTCTTCACTTCCGCAAGTTTAAGAAGCACGGAACCGAGTCGATTATTGGCTCCTCTTGCGCTTCCGCTCCCACGAGTTCTCTCCAGCACCGCCACTAACAATATCCGACTCCTCAATCTCGATCCTGGGTGGCGGCGGCATAGCCGCCAAAATCGGTGGGCTGCCGGGTCCGAGACTGTCATCGCTGTCCTGTCTCCTATGTCCCAAGAGCGCCTGCATGTCTCCCCCACGGCCGTGCGCCGCCTCCTCCTCGTCCATCTCCGGGACGGCGACAAGAACATGCGAGCTGCCCCAGCTCGGCGCGCGACCCATGCTCTCCCGCGTAACGACCTTTCCGTTTGACATGGACCCGCTGCCGACGTAGCTGTCGCTGCGGCCGAGGGGATCCACGCCGGGGCTGCTGTTGTTCGCCCAACCGAACTCGTTATTCATGGCGCGCTCGACCATGTACCTGTCGAACTGCGTATCTCTTTCGTTGTTATACTGCGAGGGTCTGCGCTGAAGGGAGGTCGCTTCGGATTCTTGCTGGTGCTGTGCCATCTGTGGTGTTTCCTGTTTTTGAGTCGATGACTTTGTGGACGATGTCGATATCCGACGAAGGGAGTGGTCTGCGAGGCTGAGGCCGCCGATGGAGAGGCGTCCGTTATAGTAGGTCTCGCCTTCGAGGTCGTTGAAGCCGTAGGGCTTATGGTTTACGGGGTAGTGGTAGTCGTCGTACTTGGCGAGTCGGCGGTACGTCTGGATCGAGTAGATACCTGGGATGGCAACCAGAATGCTATGTGATGTTAGTTGTGTATTTAAGGGAGTCATTGTGAGCAGCATGGCTTACAGGAAAAAGCAGTCTAAGCCGAGACCGACGACTGAGTAGTGGCTGTCCTTTCGCTGCACAAAGACGACGACATCGAGGGCCAAAACGGCCAGGGAGCAAACGATCTTCAAGATGTGGGTGAAAAGCATGGTCCAGGGTGTCAAGGTTTCGGAGGCGAGCTTTGAGATTTCGTAAAATGTGGAAAATAGGCAGACGAGGGAGAAGGCCATGTTGACAGATTCCCATCTGCACACGGTCAGTACGCAGAATTGACGACGATCATAATCCCGATTCTGACTTACACGACCTCGACCATGGGAAACATCCCCTTTGTTTCCTCCTCAGTTTCCCAGTTTCTTAGTGTATCGGATAGACGCCAAGAGAAAAGGGCGACAACGACGAGGCAGACGAGTAATTGGAGGATCCAAAGAGGCACAAGCAGCGCCATGCACCATCTTGACCTGTCGAACTGAGCTTGTTGGCGATGTAGAACCATTGTCGCGGCTTGTTGTTTGTGGTAAGTATGATGTTCCTCGAAGGCTTTTGACTCGGGTCACCGCAGTTGATGTTGTTGTTCGAGGCTGAGGGAGACTAGCCTCGACTCAAGGCGATCACAGGGAGTTATAAGCTGAAGGTCTAAGACAGAGTGAAAACATAACAATGACGACAGGGGTAGTTAGTCGGAACCGGGCCCGAGAAGCGCGGAGAGGGAGGCTGTGGTAAGGCGATCCAGCTGGCAGTTGGTTGCTTGGTTCGAGTGTGTCTGCAATTGCTATATATAAAACCACTTCTTCCAGAGAGCCGGGACGTCAGAAATGAGCAAAGAGGAACCCTCCGCCAGGCTGCAGTTTATCGAGGTACACTAGGCCCTGTCCAGACAATATCGCTCCAGTCACAACTTACTTCTGCCCTAGACGGATGGGCTGGGCACCAGGGCAGCTGGGAGCCGCTCTGCCGCAGGTCGAAAGCGGTGAAGCGTACACTGTATACAGCCACGATGGTATCATTGGACAGACTCTTCAGGTTCCCGCAGTGAGCTGCCACTGCTGCCCCTTGTCAGCCCAGCCCAGCTCCCGGGCGTGATGGATACCTTCCTTGGGGGAAGGACTCAAGGAGTCTGGGCAGTGGGAACAGTGGTAGCAACATGGGTCCTCCGCTAGTCATCGTTGGATTGTTGGAGCCTAGCAGCTAAGCTAGGGGGATCTCGAGGTCTCGGGCCATGGAGGAGATTAACGCCTTCCCGCGAGGACAGCCACTACCCCTACGCCTGCGCGGCTCCCTTCCGTGGAATACCACGCAAGGGCGAGTATTTTGTCGAATGGGGGAATGCTGCCATCCCACTACTGAGTGTGAGGCATCGGATGGCGTTTGCGGCTGAGTCCAGGGCCATGCGATCAGTATCACTCGGTGAGGCAAGCGGCCCTGACCATCAGTTCATGTTCATCTCATCTCCCGCCAACTGGGCAATAAGGGGCAGCATAATACTGCCAGGGACGCTGTGCTGACAGCATAGAAGACAACCGCAGAGTGGGCAACAAGCGCGGTACCTCGCTTGGATGGCTGCAAAGGACTTTTGGTCCAGGTGATCGACCCGCAGTGCCAATAAGTGCGCACCCCCCAGCTTCACAGCCTGGTTGATGTCAAACGAAACAGGAAACGCGAATTCCAGAGTTGCGGCTCTCTCTCGCCAGGTGGAGGGTCGGGCACATCAAAGGTTGGTTCCGACTTCATCTCGCTACGCGCTTGTCGTCTTCCTTCAGGATCGGCTGTCGATGCGCATGAGACGCGCTTGTGGTGGCTGCGCAAGCAAAATCAACTAAAACCGGTCCACTTGTGAAATTCCCCGCCTAACCTATTGGAAATTGTATCATTTTGCGGCACAGGCAGACACGTTTTGTTTTTCTTTGGGGGCGCTGGTCTGCCGAACAGAATCATCAAGGGTTGTAACTAGTTCATTTCGGAGCGGGGAGGGGTTCCCAATGACTGGCTGGTCCAACGGCCAAACGTGGGTGACTGGACCGGTCTTGTTGGTCTGCTTGATGATGTGTTGAACTCTCCTTGGCTCTTCTAAGCTCTGGTCTCCTCCCCCAAGAAACCAACGGCATTTTCAGCAGGGCTGACAAGGTGGGGGAGTGATGTTGAAAGCAGCCTAGTTCGAGGCTAATTCGAGCGTCTCATTGCTGACGCCAGGGACGAGAGACATCGTCCGGTCCCTGCTTTCTAGTGCAATCTGTTCTTCTCTTGTGCTGGCCTTGCATGCAACGTTGAGGCTGTGATCCATCAAGGCTGCAGCTTTTCATGAGGAATTTGCGCGACTTTTCCTCGATGAGGACTGTAAATGGGAAAAGGTTAGATGCCATGGCGTGGTCGGATTGTTTACGACGAGCTTAATTGAGGTTGGGCCTGTCCCTAACCCACTTGGTTGCATTGGATGTGACTCTGAGGCCCGACACGGCAACACCACGGAACAAGTACCCATTGCTTCTGCCGTTGGTGCAATGGTGTGGCATAGTAGGGCAGGGAGGGAAGTTCGGAAGATTGTTGTTGGTTTGTCTGCAGTGGAGGCCTTCAACTACAAGACGGTTGTGGTAGAAAGAAACGATCCCGACATGGTGGAGGTGAGTGCGGAATTGGAAGACAGTGGAAGAAGCAGTTGAGTTGACGCCTGAGGTGACGAGAGGTGGCTGTGCACTGTGCTGACGATCGTGCCTTCCACTTCCCAAGCGGTGGAAACTGGAAAGTGGGCCGCTACCTTGTTGCTTCCGTCTCTCGTCTGTGCCTTTTCATCTCTGTTTAGCCCTTTTTCTTACCTCGTCAACCTTAAATGTTTTCCTTTAGACGACCCAAACAACGTCCCAACTGGAACACTCAACGTCAATGCTCTCTCGTTCGCTGATCAAATCAGAGGACATCATCTGAACGCCTGTGACGGTGGAAGAGCGATGTGGAAGCATGAAAGATCGCCATAGAGCATCAAGCACGCCGTTATTAGAACATCGACCGACCAGCATGACTTGACGAGCAGCCAAGTCAAGCAGGCAGTTTCAGACGATACCACACTCGTCAAAGGCCAAAGGCACGAATGGGACGTCTGGCCATGTCATGGCAGCCATCCTTGCCATCCGCTCGTCACGTCACGTTCACGTCAAAGACGTCAGCTCGTCAAGAAGCAGTATCATCGACAGTTGACTTTCGTCGGATCGCCCTCCATCAACCGACAAATCTGAAGTTGCCAATGACCCATGTGTTCGGAATGTAACGTCCTTAGCTGCACCACGCCCCCGAACAATTGCCCCAACACCAACGAAACATCATACACAAACTCTAATGAGCCCCCAATCGATACTGACCTCTTGTTATCGACCTCTGGCCATTGCATATAGGCGGTGTGGAGCGGCCCTATCTGTTGTCACCAAAACGGCTCCAACAGACCAGAGACTCGGGTCAGTGTTGCCGTGCAGCGAATGCACAGCCTCCGCTGGAAAAACAAAGAACCCATGGAACATCCAAAAACAGGCAGTCGCATTACCGAACCCCGTCCTCGACGCAGCATCCATAGGCCATGGCTATTCAGCGGAGCAGCTGTATCAATGCAGCAAGAAAGCCCGCCTCGCAAGATGAAGCGTGGCTGAGCGACCAGACGAAAAACCGGGCCCCCAGTTCCTCACTGCTTGTAGAGTCGTGGAGACAGGCCGTTGTGCCCACTGTCCCAGGCGTCTGAAGCGAACTGCGCATGCCCCTCTCAGGGCGCACCCCTGCCGCCGCCCACATGGAGTGGGTTTGGCACGTTTAAGCTTACAGCCAAGTTCTTGTCTTTCTCGAGCCTGGGTCTTCCCAAGTGCCCACCCAGCAAGCAGAAAATAGCAACCGTCGTCGGGCCACTTCCTCTTCCGGTCATGTTCGAGAGGCTGGTCACCTGCCGAGTCAGTTTGACGTGATGGATGGTGAGTGACAGTTCGGCTGGCGCATTGATTGACAGACATCAGAAACAATGCTGCTGAGGCAAGCGCGGAAAGGAAAATTGCATAAGGTACTACTGTACGAGAATCTTCTGTGAGAAGAAAAGGCTGCCAGCCAGTGATAACCGCATGGCGGCGTATTACTGACTGCCAAGTTATATTCAGAATTATCTGCCACAGAAGGCGGGGAATATCGTCTGTCACCCATTCCGTTTATTCCGGTCCCAAAAAATCAAAGTAAAGCCAAAATCGTTGATTGATCTGCCGTGATGCTTATATCGCCCTGTAACCCTCCATCCCGGTATTTTCGCCAGATTACGAGTTTACGGACGTGTTTAATAATATTGTGTTGTTCGTGTTGCAGTTCGTGATAGTGTCCAGCGGTCTATACTGCTCAAGTTCCCCTCTTCAAGTTGAGATGGTTTAAACCGTTTAGAGACCGGCCTCCTTGTTGGCCTGGTAGACGCCGGCGGTGTTGAAGGGAACAATGTTGCCGTTGGCGTCCGTCATGGCGGCCTCGTTAACGGGAACAGTGGAAGCAGCTTGGCGTTTCTCGACCACTGTGCTCATGTTAGTATACGTCATGCTCATCCATGATATCCAAGTCGAGCTGGCAACGTACTCTCGGTAGGAGCGGCAGCAACGAAGGCAGCGGCAACGGCGAAAAGAGTGAAAACGGAGTACTTCATTTTGACGGTTGGTTGGAAAGGTTTGTTGAATAGAACGAGTGGTCGGCCGGCGACGAGCAGATAAGTTGTACAAGAAGAGAAGGTTGGTAAGAGTCAAGTACGTTGAGAGAGTGTTGGTTGACTAGCAAGATCAAGAATAACAGAACACGGCAAGGAGACGGACGTATTTGTATGTTATCGACAAACCCACATACCTTACCTTAGCCCCCCGTCCCCTCAGGGGGTCCCTCTGTGCCAAGTATCACCATCGACATCACACATCAGACAAGGACGCTATAGACGAGGACATCGATAGCCGCACGGCTACACGGCCACACACACGCAGATCTGCCATCCAAATTCTGACTGGAACTTTACAGTCCTGTCGCTCCCGCACCATCAAAGTTGAGACTATGCGGTCAGGGCTTCCCAACGCCCGGTTCCATCCCTGGCCGTGGTCGCCGCGACCTCCCCCACCTCCTCTCGACTTGACATGGCCCTGGTCCACGAAGGAGGCAACCGCGAGCTCTTCCAGACGGGGCCAAGTTCGATGTGGATGAAAACAAGGGACTTCCCGGTGTGTCAGCCGCACTAACAGGAACGATGCCAAGACCTGGAACAAGAGAGTTAAACTGTTAAAGAAACCCAAGGGACAGTGACAAGGAGCTGACTGGCTGGCCCATCCCCATCTTCTGGAGACTCCTCCTGCTCCTCCTCTGTTCCCGCCTCTTCCTTCTTCTCCAGCTCGTCCGCCTGGTTTCTGCTTCAAGCCCACGTCAGGGAAGTGGATAGATCGGCATGTTTTTGGGGTGAGGTTTGATCGCGGGAGTAGAGGACGTCCAGAGGGGACGACGGGGCAACGTCTGAAACTGGGCTGTGACGAAGAAGCCGCGTAGCAGTGGCCCCACTAGTCAAAATGAGTGCCGTTGTCACAGAAGCCCACCTCTCGCAAGCCGTGACCCCTGCTGCCCAAGGCTAAGACGAACGAAGATCAGACAGCAAGACGCTCGCTTTCAGCAAGTTCCGGTAGCAAAGTCAGCAGGGGAAGGCGGGATTATGGTCCATGGGAAAGGGACGCGGGCGACGCTACCCCGGCCGCTGCATGTTGCCAAGTCTTCACCCCGGTGTACCTTATTCGTGAAGCTTGGCTTTGAGGTTGATCAGTGGGAATGGCGCGCAGCCGGGACGTGGGTTTGGTCCAGACTTTTCGTCCTTGCGAGAGGGAAGAGAACAGACCGGTTCCAGGGACGGCTCACTCTTCGACAGCGGAATGACGGGATGAAGAAGGCGTTCGGACCAGTATCATTCCTGTTCAGGGGGTGTTTCGAAACTGGCTGACCCTTGCTCCGTAGACGTCAGGGAGAGTCTGCTGCGGGAAAATCATTAGAGCGGCCCGTTGGTATTTTTAGTGTCTGCTTCCTCTTCGACACAAAAACTCACCAGCTTAGCTCATCCTGTGGCTTATCCATTGTGGCTGACGCAATGTGGCACTGATCTAGCGTCAGCCACTGCACACCACCGCACAACTGAGCTGTGCAAATTATGCCCAGTGACATCGCACGACATAACTGCCCCAGAAATGCACAACCGCCGGGGCCAAATCGCGGGGTTCCGTTATCTGAAGTGGGGTTTAACGCGGTACGTAGCGCCGATCAGCACCTTGGGCCATGCTCGAAGGCAGGCAGCCCCTCCCCAGGCCGAGCTGACCTTACTTGGAGGAAGCTCTCCTCGCCAATCCTCTTCTCATTCTACTCCAATTTCGTACTCAAATACCGCAAAACTCGTCCATCTCCGTGTCCCTTGCCGAGCCTCGTGCAGTCGCCAGCCTGAGATTAACTCTTCGGAACGCTCAGTAGCTCTCCGTCTTATTCCCAAGACACGCCACCCTCTCCAGCTCCGTCACCTCAGACCACCCGCCAAATTCTTTTGAAACGAGCTCATGGCTTCCGTGGAACACTGCCTCTACTGCTTCGAGGCGCTGGCTTCGCACCTGGAGAGGCGGCCGGGTCTGTCCCTCAAGGAGATCAAACAATCATGGCCCGAATACGCCATGACCTTGTCACCCGGCCTCAGTGAAGGCAAAGACGGCAAGAAGCTCCTTCCTGCCCTACAACGCCTCGCCGAACCCTCTAGCGACTCCGCCTCGGCCTCCTCCGGCTCCAGCATCTCCCTCTCCGCCGAGACCCCCGCAACCTCCACCGATTCCCTCGCCGACGACGACGATGACGAAGCCGAGGAAATCTCCGAGTCCCCCCTCTTCGTCACCTGGAACACCGTTTCCCCCCGCTCGGGCCACCGCTCTCTACGCGGCTGCATCGGCACCTTTGAAGACCAAGAGCTTGAAGACGGCCTCTCGAGCTACGCCCTCACCTCGGCGCTGCACGACACGCGCTTCCCGCCCGTCGAGGCACCCGAGCTGCCGTCCCTTGAAGTCGCCGTGACGCTTCTCACCGACTTTGAGGACGCCGACGACGCCATGGACTGGACGCTCGGCGTGCACGGCCTGCGCATCAGCTTCTTCTACCACGGCAGACGCTACGGCGCGACGTACCTCCCCGACGTCGCCGTTGAGCAGGAGTGGACGAAGGAGGAGACGCTGGTGAGCCTCATGCGCAAGGCGGGCTGGGTGGGCAGCAAGAGCAAGTGGCAGGACGTCGAGCTCAAGGTCGTGCGGTATCAGGGCAAGAAGGAGTCTTTGGAGTACGGCGAATACAAGAAGTGGGCCGACTGGGTTCAGAAGAACAAGACGAAGTCTGGCTGAGCATCCGGGCTTTCTGTGCTATCTATTGATGAAGAATATGCAAATGGCGTTATTCTTGGGAAATGGGACATCCGCTTTTAGGAGTCGTGGATCAGGCGACGGGCTACATGGGTATAGAAGGCTTCTATTCTAGTCCCTTCTGGTAGATGGAGGGATGCTTCTGTGTGGTAATACAGGCAATTTCAGCTCTACAGCTCTGGCTAACTGTTTGTCTGAGTAATGGACTCTGGCCGTGGCCGTGTGTTGCAGCGGCATGTCAGTGCGCTTGGTCAGTCGTCACCTATCAGCGATAACGAGTCTCATATGGTGAGTTAGGCTTAGACTTTTGACAGACACGCAGCCTGACTTGATGCCTCGCTACTTCAGGAGTCGGCCGTCTACGAGATTGTCTTGATCAAAGACTTACAATACCAGATTGATAGCTCACAGCAGAAAGTTGGGTTTGGTCGTTTAATGTAGCCTTGTTATCAGTGTTCAACCTGAGACGTGACCCTAGACCTACCCTGCTCCCTGGTATCAGTTAGAGGATCACGCATTGAATACCAAGTACCTTGAGAACTGCTCCTACAGTTACTTCGTCATGAGATGACACTTGGAGGCTTCGCTAATCATTGTTTGTGTAAAGGTAGAATGCTTTCCCATCCAAGGAAGACTGACACTGCATCAAGTTCTAGGACATTTCAGCCTTATGCAACTCCCCTACCCCTTGACCTGGATATTGACACAGGGTACTATGATAGAGAAGGCACACGCCCGAGACAATCACTTTCTAAAGTCCTCACATGTACCGTTTATCAATATCGGAGAGGACATCTTTTAAAAGTACAGATGACTTTGCTCTTAGCATCAGGTCTAATTACATTGTATCGCACGCAAATAAATACATTTCATAAAGTCGTTAAAGCTGCGTCCACCTGTGTCCTTGTCACACACACCAAAGTGCCCCTTGGAACCTGTAGCAAGACGCCGTCTAGCGACGGAATACAGTCATACCACCCAGTCCCCATCTCACGAGAGATATCCCCTAACAACATCTAGTACCTTGTCCTGCTGCGACTGCTGCGATACACATTCGCAGGCGGCAAAGGCGACCCGCTCGCCCTCCTCCTCTTATCCACGACAACAGGCTGCGTGTACCGGACTTCGTCAACCACGTATGAAGGACGACGACTATGGCTGTGCCTCGAGGTCTCGTGGTGGTACCGGTGCTGGTTGCGCCTGCGGTGCCGCTCCCCGGGTGATCGGCCACGGTACCGGCGGCTGCGTTCGGCGTACTCGTCCTTTTCGGACCAGTCGTTGGGCCGGCTCCACATGCCGCACGACTTGACGATCCACAGCAGGAGAAGGAAGCCGACGATGGAGCCGATGACGATGCCGGCGATGGCGCCCCCGCTGAGGTTGTTGTTGGAGGCGGACTCTTCTGTCGTTTCGGGGGTTGATGTGATTGTTGTGACAACTTGGCGGACGAAGATGTCCCGGATGGAGGAGGGGAGGGTTCTTGTTGGTGTAAGGTCTGATGGGTTGCGTTTTGTGAGACCTGCGGCGAGGGCCGAGAGGGTGTTTGAGATTGGTGTTACTGGTGCCATGGTGTGAGATTATGGTCGTTGCGTAGTGTATGTTGTATGGCTGGTGGAAGGTCTGGGTGGGTGAAGTCTAGTAGAGACACCCGAAGGAAGAAGAGAGCTCAGATGACAGCTGAGCTAGACCTTGCAAAGGGCGGGGGAAGAACACGAGTGATAAATAGCATGTAGTTTACTAGTTGGTGACTACAGGATGACGACCATCCATGTTATGAGCGCATTTCAATAGAGAAAAGGGCAGGGCTCACTGCAAATATGCCAAGCGACCTTCCCAATAATCCCGGTGAAGACGATTGATGGGGCTGGGTGGGAAGCCCGGGCCTGCAAGTCATGGGCCTTACTACGTATGGACGTGACAAGCAGGGGTAGGGATGGCACGAAGAACCAGTGATCAGAGCCAACAGCATTCGGGGAGCAAAGGTCGAGTGCCCGTTTGCACAAGTGTGAGTGGAAACATTTCCGGCCACGAGCATTGACGGTAGCATTCAACAAGCGCAGGAAAAGCAGACGGGGTTCTTGGTCGAATCCCCCGCTTCAGTTGCAGGGTAAATCTTGGACTAACACCACGGATTACCACGCAGATATGCAGCTTTTCTTCGGTAGCTTGGTCTGCCGAGGTGCGAGCAATCTGGACTGAGGGGATTTCAAGCTTCTGCGCCTGAACAAGTGAGTTCAAGCTTGTTCTACCAACAGCTCTACCGCATTATTTCCAAGACAAAGAGCACGGCTGTTTACCACTTTTACCAACTCGGGCTCCACCGTACGTCGGGGACCATTGTCTTTGATGCGCCGTTTTGATCAATTGTTTTGGTTCGAGCAAGGAAGCCGTTTGAATTTGATGAATCGAAAGATACCCCGGCCTCGACTCTCCTCATCCAGAGACAGCATTACGTCTGTCTTACACCGGAGAGGCGGAGGGGTGGTCGGTCGCCCACACATCCCAATTGAGATTTCCCCATAGCAAAAGGCCTAGACGAGCAAGAAACAAGCTGGCGATGCCGGACGGAAGGTTAATTCGCGATACGACTTAATACTAGGCTTGCTAGGGCTAGGAGGGAAGGGCAAAGAAAAGAAGAAGTTGAGCGTGGATCCCGCCGAGAACCATCACAGCTACGTCACTGGCTCGTGGCCGGGGTGGCTGGCACGGCTGGGATGGATGTTCAAAAAATCCGCATCGGCCGACAAAGGACACTCACTATTCGTCAACCTCCGTCCGGAGTGGGTCCTCCGGCACCTCGGGCCCCCACACTTCCACACACCACCAACCAAGCCCCGTCCCTTCTCGCCCGCCCGCCTGTCATCCCGTCACAAGGACGTCCAGCGCACAACGAACCTTCTCCATTCCACGGTGCCGAGTTTCCTCTCTGCCGCCATGTTCCTTGTTCCTGGTGCTAGCGTCCCGTGTCTTGGATCTCGATCTTTTTTCCGGCCTGCCGGCGTCTTCTTTGCGCGTGAGACACACATCCACCATTGCAAGAAGGAGGGGAGAAAAGGTCTCTCTTTGATGCAGCTGACTGCGCGGGTAGACCGTTCTATTCGACTAGGGGAAGGGCGCCTGCCCCGAGTTGCATTGGGCTTCCAATATAATACAACATGCCGGTCCAGAAATCATGCCCCGAGCTTTTCTCCATCATACGAGGACACGCCGTTGGGCGAGTCAGTTTTCAGCGAATCTTTCTTTCACCGAGCTCACCGAGCTCACCGAGCTCACCTCTACTGACGAAAGTACTTGACCGAGTTCCGCTTGGAGCGTCTAAGCGGAGCCCCCATGTCCAGAAATAAACGATCTTCAGGGACGTTTGCACGCCCTACGAAGTAGAACAGCGATCGCGATAACCTTACCAGTCTTTAACAACATTCCCCCTCGTGCCCTTAGATTAAAGGACACTTATGTATGGACGATCCTTTCAAGCTGCGGTTCTGTACCGACGGTATTCATGCCGCGACAACACCCAGAGCCCAAAACACCCCCAGCAATCAGCCGACGATCTGGAGACCGCGCTCTACCGTCAACGTAGGATAACCTGCTCAAAACAGTCGCAGTCCTACCAGGCTCCTGTGTCACATTGAGGACCAAGAACCACGGTTCTCCCGACTCGCCGCGCGGCCGTCGAGAAACAATGAACGGCCCGCAGCCCGGATCTACCGAAAGTTTATCGTGATGGGGCCCGTTGGACTTAGATGAGGAACCCGCTTCCTGTGGAGACCCAGATCTGCGTCGAGCACTTCTAACGTCACGGGGAAATCTGAGATTTTATTAAAAATTGCTGCAAAGCAGCTGATTGACGCATGTTTCGACGAGAATTAATAGTCGCCTGGTCGAACGCTCTCTGCAATCTGGACCTGCGTCGACCTGCGTCTATCACGACCCACGTGGAACTAAGCATGCAATGTCTAATGTTATTGCTGACCGTGACAGGACGACAAGGTGTCTCATTTCGGTTTATGGCAGGGTGCTTGACTCTGCTGTTTTCCCTTTTAGGAAGGATCCCTGTTATTAGCGGTACCTTTGATTGAGGACTTGTATTGGCGACGACTTGACAAGCCATGTGTGGAGGGCTGCATTGCCTAGCGAAGACAAAGCCACGGTTCGAATGTCTAATCGAGATAGCGAGAGTTCACTGCGATTTTAACTCATTCGAGCAGGTGGTTGGGGCTCAAAAGAAGTCTGAAATGTGATTCACTTTGGGTTTCACTGCGATTTTAACTCCTTCGAAGGCGGTGATAGGGGCTAAAATCATGGGGTGAGAGCTTCCATTGCATGGATGGTGGTGCATCTGTTTCATCAGAACATAAGCCATCGGCGGAGCCCGATTTTGTGTTTTCTTTCTGGTCTCTTCATCTAAGCCTCCCTCGCCATGTAAAATGCTTCTTCGGGTCCGCCGCCAACTCCCTCATCGCTTCAACATCCCCCGTCTCTGGTCCACTCTCAATCGTGCCCGCCTCAACAGCTAGCCTAGCATACTTGATAGCCTGCTTATTCCTCCCAAGCAAATTGAAGTTGAGCGCCGCAGTCGTATACGCCCCAGCCAGCTTCGACTCAAGTCTCTCTTCCTTATACAACTTCAAGAACTTCTCCACCATGGCCACCGTCACCTTGGCCCCGATATCAGAGAGCTGCCTTTCCAGCTCCTCCATTTCCATCAGTCGCTGATCCGACGCCGCGGCGAGCTTCTTGGACAGACTGCACTGCGAGCACCCGCACTCGAAGCCCCACGCCCTCTTAGCGCGGTGCTGCCGCACTGAGCGGACGCCGAGCTGGTCAAGGTATGAGATCGTCAGCTCTTCACCGGACTTGACCGGCCTGACGATGGTAGTTCGGTGGCGGAGGCCGTCGATACGGAAGGCGACGTTGGGTCTACAATCGTGGTTGTACCGCGATACTTCGGGGAAGTTGCCGTAGTGGTGGCCGTCGCCCTGTGCTCCGCCGCCTAGGTCCATCTGGAACGAGTTGGTCGCCATGATGTCGCTGACCTTGTGGCCGCCAAAGTGTCCCATCTGACCGAGGAAGGTCTTACGGGTCGCGGGTGGGAGGAAGCCCGTGACGCTGTCGAGAAGGAAGTGCCGGTCTGCTTGCGGCGTGCGCTCGATGAAGGTGCGGTGGGCGAGGAGGACTGGTGTCTTGAGCATGACTGTGTCACCCCGAGCGAGGGTCTTGCTCGCAAGCATTCCAAGTCCCTTGCCCTCTACCTCTGCGATCTGAAAAGATGGATTTCGTGATGACGGATCATCTTCTCGATCTGGAGTTTGTAGGTCTTGTTCCAAGCTCTTTGCTTTCTGCACGTTTTCTGGCGTTGAGATGATGACAATCCCCCGCCCGTTCGCGAAGCCGCGATTTGCGTATAAACAGTAAGCTCCCGCGCACCCGTGAGGCCCCGTCCATCCTAACGGCTCAGTCTCTGTCGTTTCATTTCGTTGCCTCTGGTCTGTCTCTTTATTCTGCTTTCTTTCTGCCACGATGTCCGTCGAGCATTCCAACAGCGTCTCCAGTGGCGTCCAGGGGCATGTTCGTACCCCACCCAAGTGTGTTTGGGCCTCTGATGCGACCGTGTAAGACGCGAACGCGAGGGGGAATAGTAATGACGAAGACAGCATCATGTCTGCCCAAGTGTGCAAGAAAAACCTGCAAATTCAAGATTGTCTCTTTTGTGAGACGAATTGCATTCCTGTCAGTTGACTGACGTGGAGTTAAAGTATCCCGCCTTGTGGATATGGGATGAAGAAGCTGCCTCTTGCCGGGTGTTAGTCTTGGCATCTAGGGGACCCCCACCAGTTTCAGCAACGTTTCTGAAACCTGACTGGCCAGGAGATCAGCGCAACGAAAGCAGTCTTTGCGGCTGGTCATCGTCTCATATTCTCTTGGGTTGTAGCAGCCGTTGGTTCAGCGTCTCCCTAACAAGTTCTTTGGCGCGAGACTGATTACCTATTACTGAGGTGGCGTCTTCGGAAATGCGGCAGTCCCGCTTCGCTTGGTACAAAAGGGCTGAGCCTGGCACCGTATGACCTTTACAGTACTGTTGTATGGTGATGGCAAGATGCCATAGAGTAATGCCCTACTCTGTACCAATTATGAAGTATGGTATTTGACCAAGAACTCGTCATGTCGCGGGTGACTGATGCGATACCCGATATTCCATCTTCCTCGAGGCTTTCCAGCTCAGGTTCGTTTCACACCTATTCTTAACCACGTGGGCGACATGGGCACTCCTGTGTTGAGAATTTCCGCCCAAATAGAAGTCTAAAGCTCGTGGCATTGTAAGGATCATACAAGTTTCTCCGTACTCCCAAGACATGGCGTTGACAATAGTTCTGGCCATTTCAATATCCTCTTGGCCGCGTGGGAAAGAACAGCTTAACCATGATTGCCTTGAGCTTAGCGACAAAGAATCGAAAATCTAGACGCAACAACGCCCACTGCAGATCTTGCAGGTCTCTCATCAGAGAATCGTATGAGCCTTGAACATCAATCTCGTTCAGGCTATCAAGCAACTTGTTCCACTCCCTCAAGGCCATCTCTGGGGATCTCGGAGGACGGTCTAGGACCGGGGGTCTCACGAGATAAATCCCAAAACCAACCAAAATGCCCGCCACAAATGAGATCCAAGCCCACGTGTATATGTTCCTTCGCAGGAGAAGCCTTTCCTCCGGAGTACGGTTCGCTGTTCCAGGACGTGTTTCTAGCTCTGACAGCGCCCAAAAGAACAGGACCAAGGCTGGTGGCAGAAGCGCCAGCTGCAGGGAGGTTAAAGTCTCCAACGCGACTGGAAACCTCCAAAGAAGATACAAGTATGCCATCGCAGTAGCCAAGACAAGTAACATGGCTTTGTAGCCGAGGTTTATGGGATGTAGCACGACGTCCAGGATCGCCGCCCAGCCATCAGAGAGCCATTGGCCCCAAGATCGCGTGTCCGGCTCGGGTTGTCGTCTAAATGGGGACGAAGACCGGAGAACCTGTCCGCCACTACGGCCGCGTAGTCGAGGATCCAATCTGGAAGCCAACTGTATTGATGTCGGCCTTATTCTAAGCGTGGAGGCGATGTTCTGTCGGACTCCAGCAAAGGAAACCATGTATCCGACGCCGCCAACCCGGGCCACCAAGATGCCCAGTACGCGCCTCGATCTGTCATCGACGATCCAGGAGCCTGAATCTCCTGCTTGGAAGCCTATGGGTCTAATATCAGCACATCTGTGGTCCTTGAGATAGTAGGGAAATGACTGAGTCCTGCGGCCCCTACCTTGACTATGGGCCTCTGCTTCAACTGTCCAGACTTTTGAAACCCTCTCGCCGCCACCGGAAAGCATGAACGACGGGTTTGGGGAAAGATTGCTGCGCACCAAACCGTGCATTGCAGATAATGCCCATACCCTTGAACATTGTCTTCGCCGTCTCTCGAGCGGTACTCGAGATTGGGGTACTGTTTGGCGGGACGGGGGTTCGTGCGGTTGATCATGGTCTATGAACAGTTTACCCAAATCAGGCCAGAAGCCTTCGATGAACGGAGTTTGCCATGTGGATGGTCTCTCTGAGCCTTCCGGTATTCTATTTGGGAAAAGGAAATCTGTTCCCACAGGCACAAGTAGCCAATCGTCCCCGCTCCGGAGTTCGGTTGCTTCGATCGGGTTGATGAGGTACCCCCTCTTTCTAGACAAGTCTTCTAATGGGGTGTGACTTGGTTCTTCCGCCCCTAATTTCTCAGGATATTGTTCGAAACCAGCTGTGTCAGAACCTGGTCCTTCTGGTGAGATTCCCAAGGCATCATCTTCCGCTGTTTTTGCTGCGCCCTTGGTAGTATTTGCATCTGGCGACTCGGTCTCCGGAACCTGTGCCGCGGTTTTGCTCTTCTCGTTTGTATAATCTTCTGATGCAGAAAGAGTGACTGATCCCGAGTTATGGTAGTCAGAGTCAGCATCATTATCATAAAAGAATAGCGAAGACTCGTCGGAATCGCTATCATAGTCGACTTCGTCAGGGAATTCATCCTCGTCATCGGGCACATGGCTCGTCGTAAGAGCATAAAAATTACTCTTGACAGTGAGTAGGCCGCCAATGGTCGACGTCCGCTGACCCAGATCAGGTGTCTGAACGACAATGGGACATCCGCAGAGCGTCCGCGTTTGTGCCGGATGGCGGATCGCGCAGGAGGCTTCGCGCGCAATGCGACGGATTTTCTCCTTATGATAACACAACTCGAGCGGGGCGAAAAGATTCGGATTTTGGATCATGACATTATGAAAAGAGCATATATGTTTCCACTTGGTTAAGCCGCTGATTCTGATGAGGGTTGTGGCATCTCGTGTCGCGTCTGCTTCCTCGGTTGCTGTCTGGCTAGATGGACCTTCAGAAGAAATTGAGACAAGAGTAGCTAGAATAGTTGGCAAAACGAAACCCAGGCTCATGAAAAGTGTGGTTCTTTCAGTCCTCAAAGCTTCCAAAAAGCGCTCCAAAATGGCATTCTCGGCTAGTGTGAAAGTAGCATTTAGGTCAACCTGTACTTCAGTGCGTCTTTTGAACCTCTTTGGCCGCAAAATGACCTTTTGAGGTTTTGGCGGTATATGAGACTCTGATGTCGGTGTTGGTTCCATTGATTCCGTTGGTGACCTCGTTGTTGTCGTAGATGGAAGCGTTTCCGATGCCAATGTTTCTGATGCCAGCTTTTCTTCGGGAGTAGGCTTCATCAGAGAAGGCTTTGCTATGGTTGCTTTCTCAACGGTCTGCTCATTGCCCGCGATACCCTCCACCATGTCGTCATCTACGTTGCTGATGCTACCAGCATCGGTAGAACCGAACATCTCGATCTCAGGTTCGGGTTGACAAGTCGGAGTCGTCGCAACCATTCGTACCATGCCTATCTGCACGACCCACCAAGTGATCGCATAAAGGATGAAGCCGAGGCCTTCCTCTAAAGGATCTGGATCCACGCAGCCCTTCTCCATGGCTGCTTGAGTTATGAATCTCGAGGTTAAACCCTTTGGTCGCTTGAAATAAAGATGGCCGTACCGAAAAAGCGATTTATGTAGCGGCATTGGCCGGAAGTTATGGTGTGGTCTGCAGAATATGAAATCATCGATGAGAGCGACACTCAAATACTCAAAGACGGAAGAAATGAAGGCGGGGGATCTGAGCAGGTAAAGAAACACCAGGAATACGAAGGGCGGCGCATTTCGCCTACCGCTGTGTGTATCGGAGTGAATGAATATTATTGGTCTGTGTTGTTGGCTGTGCAGTCATGTGGCACTGTGAAGGATGCGAGGGTTGATGACGGACCCAGAATCTCCAGCCTGATCTGCGACTTCCCACTGGAGTGACACAATAGGCAGATATCCGGAGTGATCTCCCCTCTCCCCTCTCGTTTCACCGTCTGAGCACCAAAACGCTAAGATACCGCCGAGAATCAGTCTTGCCTCACAATGAGCGAAATCGAAAGTCGACCCGATGATAGAAAGATCGCGGACGCCATCTGGGGACCATGTGAGACAGATATGATCGCCTCTGGCCGGGAAAGACGACTTGCCAGGTTCTTTAGCCATTGCGCCCTGCAGCGACTGTCTCTTTATATCAACCGACCGAGTACTGTTGACATTGCGAAAGAGGTCGTAGACGCAATACGATTACTCAAGTCAAGTCCCTTGACCCAGAAGGATCTCTTGTTGAAGCAAGCGTCCTCTGAAGTGAGAAATATGGCGACAATTGAGTGCGCAGTTCGTATGATGCTCATGACGGAGTGCGAGTCGGAAGGCACCGCAGCCATAGGTAGCGCCAATGTCTATCGCTGGGGTGAAAGCGAGACGTTGGCGGACTACTTGGACCGGATCTACACTCAGTCTACTCCAAGGGACGTACCTAAAGATGCCATCAATCTCATGAGTTTCAGATGCCACGTTCTGGCTAGGGACGCTGGAATAAAGATCCAGCAGACCGAAAAGCTATCAGATCACCTGTACCTCAGATGCGGCCCCAGGACCAAGGTGCTCTTTGTTTTCTCTCACAAAGCATTTCTCGAACACAGTCGAAAAATGCTGAAAGCAAACCAGCCAGGCCTCAGCCAGAATACTGAGGAAGCAATAGTACTGTAAGTGCCTCATGAGAGCACGACTCAAGGCGGCTGTCTAACCACCATGTCACTCAGAGGTTGCCTACCTGCAAAGCTCATTGTAGAGACAATCAGAACTTACAACCTTCTCTTCCCGCCGATCGGAAGTGCAAAGTCTAAGAAACTCTTGCGGGACTGGGTCAAGCGCGAAAGACTGGATGAGAGCCTCTTGAGCCCCTCCTTCGACAATTGCAAGAAAGAGCCTCCCAAGACTTTGTATGATCTATACGAGGATTTCCCATACTGGGCCCCTCAGTTGGCCCGTCTCTTGGAAGAAGTCGATGATCCAACCCCGACTACTCGATGGGAGAGATACGCAGAGCGAAGAAAGTCCCACCGACATACGTACAAGTGCGCGATCGCCGCCCTTGTTGTGGCTGCTGTCTCGGGGACGCTGGCGACATTGTTGGCGGCTGTTCAGGTATGGATATCGTACTGTGACTGGGACAAGAACGATCACAAGGCACTGTGTTGACTTGAGTCCGTCGTAGTATCGAGGCGAGAGCCATTGGATGTAGTTCGTGCTTGAGGCGTAATTGGAGTTTGGCATGTTAAGTAAGCTAGATTACTACAACACGGCTTTCCGAGTGCAGATAAGGGTACATCGTGCTCAAGCAGCAATCTACGTATGTCAGTCTATACCAGTTCCATCAAGAAAGTCATGCCAGGGCACATCGAGCAACTATTGATCATTCGTCATCATTGCGACTAGCTAGCTAGCAGGCCAAGAGCCAAACTCTCTATCTTCCTCCGCGTCTGTGACCCGCATGACACCCTGGCATAGAGGGACATACATTAGGTATCGATCCGTCCAACGCCCCAAATGAAGTAAAAGCAAAGCCAATGGTAGCTCTTTTCCCCTCCAACACCTGTACCTCGTCTGGTCTGCACAGTACAGCTTAGAACAGTGGCTCTCTGAAGCTGAACAGGTCTCGTCGTTGCAGGTACAGCGAGAGCCAGACAAGGCTCATGCGAAGGGGACATGAGCGGGTGAGAACATAGACTACGTCTCCAAAACACAGTGTGTACTTTTCCATCCGGTACAATGCATGCAAGAAAGAAAAGAAAAGAGACCAAATTGGTATCTATGAGCCTCCACAAGTAGACTCGCGGGCCGATGTGGTCGGCAAAGCCAAATCGCACGGCTCTGCAACCGATGTATATACTCTGGGAGGTTTTATGGGCAACTCTGATATGCTACGTGAGCATTTTTGATGACGGCAGCTAGGCTACTTGAAGCCATGTCGAAAGGGCTGACGGAACGGCTTATTTCCGAAGCTGGTGGGATTCTAAGCGCTACCAGGCAGCGGAACGGGCGTCTCCATCTTGCTTGACTTGGGCTCGTCTGTCTTGTCCGACTTTCTCTTCTTGCGCTTCTCCTTCTTGGGCGTCTCCTCAGCTGCGGGAGATGACTTGGAGGGAAACTGCGGGATTGGGACCGCGGATTCGCGACGAATGCTGGGAGGGAGAACAGGTGTCTCCTTTCGAATTGAAGCAGCCTCATCAGCCTTGGACTTCTTGGAGCTCTTCGACTTCGGCTTCGGCGTCGAGATCTCAGGGGCTGGGCTGGAGGCAGCGGGGAGGCCCGAGAATGAGAAGCCGGGCTTGGGGACGGTCGGCGGCGGGATAGCCGTCACCTTCTTGGCAGAGCCCTGAGCGGGAGTATCCTGGGATGAAGCGTCACGCTTGACTTTCTTGGCTTTCTCCTTGATTGACTGGGCCGGGGTGGACTCCTCGTCCGTGGGCAGCTTGCGCTTGGATGCCTTCTTGGACTGGCTGGGAGTAGCCATAGTCGGCTTGGGGTTGGATCCCACACTCGAGATGGACTCGATGCTATCGCGTCGCTTCTTGCTCTGCTTTTCCTTGGTGATGGGTAGAGGCTGCGAGTCGGGTACCTCAATGATGGTAGACTGAGAGTCCTGGACAGGATTCTTGGTGACCTTGTCCTTCTTCTTGTCCTTCTTCTTGCTCTTGGGGGTAGGCTCATCGATGTCCATGGCATCACCTGCCGGAGCCGCGGGTTGAGTGGATGTGTGCTTGGGTTTCTTTGTGCGAGTCGGGAGAGCAGGTGTCGAAGTCATCTCAACATCTTCGTCGGAGGATTCATCGAAGCCGATGTTGCCCAACGGAGTATCATCGGGAATACCGATAGGGTGGAAGCGAGCTCTCAAACCTTGCGGCTGGGGGCGCGGAAGGTTTGGCTGAACGTGTCTGGGAGCACTAGACTCACTACCAACCAATTGGGTCACACGCTTGACGTGCAGGACCTTGTCGACCTTCTTAGGAGCTAAGCGACGACGTTAGCAGACTGTCCAAATGCGCTTGCTACGTTGTGTTTACCTGTCTCGTAGCGATTGCCCTTCTTGTTGGGAAGGAGAAGCTCTACCGCGGTGGCACCGACGTCGAAGCCGACAGTGTAGTCTTCCGAGTTGTGCTTGAAGATGGCGTCTCCCTTATGCGCCTTGTCCAAGGGAATCTGGAGCTTCTCCACAATGTTGATGGGAATGGAAGCAGGCGCGGTGAAGTACCAGAGCTGCTTGCCCTCGAGCTTGGCCTTGGTGAAGAAGTCCGTCATATCCTTGCCATCCTCATCGCCTTGCGCTTGTCTCAGAATAAAATCCTTGCCGACGAATCCGGGAACGTTGAGATCATTGCTGTTGCGTCTCGGGGCGACAGCGGCACTCTGTCTTTCGGGTTCTTCCTCGTCAGAGCTAGATTCCTCGTCTTCATCCGACTTGTCTTCTGCGCTCTCCTCGCCGCTGCTGGAGCCTGCCTCGCTCGAACTGGTCGAAGCCGGCTCGAGTGCCTTCGCACCATTGACCGCTGATTTGGCTTTGGGCTTGGTCGTCTTTTCTGCCTCGCTCTCGGCATCACTCTCCGAATCGCTGGAAGAGGTTGTGGAAGCGCCATTGGCAACTGGCGTCTTTGTGGCATTCTGCGCCGGCTTCTTCGCAATCGGCTCGCTTTCGCTCTCACTGTCACTCGAGGACGAGTCCGACTCGGCAGCCGCCTCGTCTGCTGAGGACTCTTCGGAAGAGCTCTCGGGCTTGACTGGAGCTTTCTTGTTGGCAGAGGGCTTCGCGGTGGAGGTCTTGTTTTCGACGTCGCTATCGGCAACCTCATCGGCCTTGTCGCGCTTGGCCTTCTTCAGAGGAGTGCTGGCAGATTTGCTCGACACCATCTGACCATTAATCTTGGCGAAGAAATCGGGGTTAGCTGGACCGTCATCATCGCTGCTGTCACTGTTGCTGGAGCTGTCGTCGGAATCGGAGTCCTGAGCGCGAGGGTCGAACTTTTCGGCCTTCTTGGTCTGTGTGCTTCGGGCGAATTTGCTCTTGGGCTTTGCGGCTTCCTGGCCTTGCTTCTCGAGAATTGCGCTCAACGAGTGAACGCCATCAAGCTTGCGTGACGACATCGTGCCTGGAGTGCTTCTGAAGGCAAGACGGGGTGCTGGCGTAGAAGGAATTGAGGGCGACGAGACGATGGGAATGGCTGGGACAGGAATTTTCGAGGGTCTCGCAAAGATTCAGAAATCTTTGCAGGGATCGCACAGACCAGCGGTGGGGTTGTGGTGGTAGCGGGAACCGCGACGCGGTGAGAGACAACCCGCGTGCCTGCCGCGCTTCCGGGGGACTTAAAGTGCGTGGGCGTCGGCGTGGGCGTTCGGATGCGCATGAAGGATTTTCCAGCACGGTTTTTCGGTGTGAGTGCTTCACCTCCAAATCTCATATCGCGATCGCGGGGTCCGACGGATTCGGCTACCATTTCGGATTGACGCCCACAGTGCTCAGTTGAGTGAGGTGTTGGAAATTTGAGTTTGGTAGAAATTTAGCAAAATTCTGCGTGTGAGTTTGGCCAGTTGAGATTGCGTTGAGTTGAGATTAGAAAAAGAAACAAGCTGACCTGGCGTTGGCAAGGTGCAAGAAGGGGGTAAATTGCGAAAGGCAGTCTCAATCAGGGGCGTCCAAGGTACCTTCCTTGGGCATACTGTGAGAAGTGTGGTAGAGTAACTGCCAGTTGGGAAAAATCAGGAGGATCCTGCCTTCCTGGGTGCAAGCTGAGGTTATCTTGCTGCAGTTGCCCGGCACGCACAACCGTCACTGCTCCTGCCGCCTCCTGAAAGTCACGGGAGGATCATTGAGAGAATTCTTTCTAGAATCAAAATCGTAGAAGATTTTCCTCCTGCGACCAAGAAACCCACCATGGCGACGCCAAAGCGACGTAAGGTCGAGACAAGTGAAGGCTCAAGGCGTTAGTTGTCACCCTTGTGCTGCCTTCAACGGCATCTTCACTTAAGCAACGGCTAACAGCCGAATAGCAATGAGCGCATTTGCTTTGAGGCAACAGTTGCTTTCAGCAAGCCCGTCCTTGTCTCCAGCACCTCAAGCCGAGTCTCAGTTGGTCCCCGATTCTCAGGCGTCAACTCCTACGCCTACACCTAAAGGACGGTCCCCCGCGAAAGCAAGATCGTCGAAGAGGGTCGTCTCCACTGAGGATGAAACAACCCAGCACACGCCAAAGACGAATCCCGGCCAGAGTGCATCTATGCCAGTAACAGGAGCACCAGAACCCAAGTATGATCTCCCCGCCTCGCCCTTCGAAAGCCCTCTGACAAGCTTCTCAGTAGTCCTACCGCAGATCCTGATGACATTAACCCGGCAAAGGCTGGAATTCAGCAGTTCTCGACGTTCAGGCCAAGTAAAAGTAACTCTCGCAGAGTTGGAGGAGGCATTCTCGAGTTAAGACTCCATGACAGCGAGGTAAACCTATGCTTGAATACGACGTAAAGAATTTCGTTGACGAGTCAAGCGTTTTCTGGTGCTCGGAAGCTATGGTATTAAGGTCCTCGATGGCGAGATCACTATAGCAGGAGCGAGTATTCGACCTTCCGACGGCACCAAATGGGTTCATGCTCCTCACTGCCATGCGATCCCCGTTCTGCGTTGCTCAGAGGAGACAAAACTCGAGATGCATCCTCACCCGCAAGGGGCGGGCCTGCGTAAGCTCGAGCGGCTGTCACCTCTCTTCCGCAGTCTCTGGCACGAGCCCGAAGGAAAAGCGAGCAAACGAGGCGCAAAGACCGATACCTACAAGATTGTTAGTCAATGTTTGGGACACCTCGACTCCATCTTATGCTAATAGCGGACAGATCTGTACCTCCGAAGACGCGCCGAAGCGAGCTCTCATTCAGGATCTGCGTTCGCACCCCGCCTGGAACAAGAAATTGGCGGGGTTGACGAAGGCGAAACCAGGGCAACCAACCCTCAGCGTGATGCTATGCGGCCCAAAATCGTCGGGCAAATCCACCTTTGGCCGTATACTGGGCAACCGGCTGCTCACGGGCGCCGGCCAGCAGACGAGGACCCGGCAAACGCCATCATCAGTTGTTGTGATGGAGCTGGATCCTGGTCAGCCAGAGTATACTCCGGCAGGTACAATCGCCTTGGTTCAGGTTAGAGAACCCAACTTGAGCCCATCTTTTGCCCACATTGCAGCGAATGAGCAGAATGTGACCATTATAAGATGTCACTCAATAGCTTCAGTATCACCTGCGTCCGACCCACAGCTGTATTTGGAATGTGCACTCGATCTGTTTCAACGCTATCGAGACACCTGCCAAGGGCTGCCATTGATCATCAACACGCCTGGTTGGGTCTTGGGAACAGGGCTGGACCTACTCGGTGAACTTGTGTCGACAATCAAGCCTACGGAGGTGATTTACATGTCCGAGGAAGGCCCTAGAGAGACCGTCGAAGGCCTGCAGGCGGCGTGTAAGACAGTCTTCACACTTCTTCCCTCGCAGCAGTCGGAATTCACTTCGAGAACAGCGGCACATCTACGTTCGATGCAGGCGTTGGCGTATTTCCACACCAAGAGAAACCCGTCAAATCAGCTGCTGTGGAACCCTTCCCCGCTTTCATCATCCACTCCGTTGATGGTCGGCTACAAGGGGAAGAACCGCGGAATTACGGGGATTGTTAGCTATGAGTATCAACCGCCGGCAGAGCTCCTCGCAGAGACCATCAATGGGTCTATTCTATGTCTGGTCGAGACCGAGGACATCAGGGCGTTTAGTCGTCTTGCTAGAGAGAGCAGTGAATTTTCTCCTGCAGCATCGAGCGCTGACGTGATGGATGTTGATGGTGTTGTGCTAGACTTGGAGGCAATTGTCGCCAGGACTCCTGAGGGAATCCCTTATATCCCCAATACCGACGCTCAAACTTTGGATCCACGATACGCCCAAACGCTAGGCCAGGTGCTATTACGAGGCATCGACACAAAGACCGGCGCTCTCCAGATCCTCACACCGATTCCCCTGGAACGCATCGAAGCAGCCAAAGCAGCGGGTCGCCACTTGTTGCTAGTCCACGGCAAGCTCGACTCCCCCGGCTGGGCGTATACGGAAGACCTGTACTACCAGTCCTTCAATGGCAGCGATGTAGATAACTCCAAGTACGACACGGTGGAAGTCATGGACGAGGATACGGAGAGCGACAACTCGGATGAAGAACCTGAGAACCTCGAGCTTGCCGGTGACTTGAGTGACACGCACACGCCGTGGATTGAGGTGCTTCAGGGTCACGAAAAGCGCCCCGTGGGGTCCAGGGTGTGGAGAGTCCGTCGCGACCTCGGGCGGGCCGGGCCGGGCGCTGAGTGAAAGAGATGACACGGATGTCATTTACCGCTACTCTACAAAAGGGAACGAGGGATGTCTATGTGCTGCAGAAACGTAGGAAATTGTAGCCAGTGGGCTGAAAGATATCGGGTCGTATGTAGAGGCGTCTCAATATCCGTACTTATAGTGGCGTGTTAGATACCGCTTACACAGCGAAATCACGGGAATGCACCCCTTCACAATCTAGAATGCGGCGGCTTACATCCGCATTCTGTTACCCCGTACATGTGGCACGCTCACCGTCCCGCCCATACCATGTGTGTCTTGAGATGAAGTGCAGCGCATGCAGTGTGGCAGTCCATTCAGGGCGGCCGCATTACCAAGTACTTGAGTACCTAAACCTTGAACTCAATGAGTCCCTGCATTGGAGATCTACCCCACATCCCCCGATGACGTCCGTGAGTTGAGGTCCCCCAATTGTGCCCCTCCCTTCGGCCCCTCCCCCTCTTTGTCATGCTTTCTCATCGCTTATTTCCCCAAAAACCTTAGCCTCTGGCGGCAGTTTTCTGCGGATAGGTGGTCGTCCAATGGTGCTACACAAACTCAAGATGATGTTCCGAAATACCTTTAATCCGTGGACTTGTCTCTCGAGAAATAAATCCGCCTGAGATCGTGGGGAAATCGAAGCTGGCTCAATTCATATACGAAGTAGTATTTCAAACTATTGCTAGTCGAATTCGTCTGTCCTGCATCTTCAACACTCTAGTCCTTCTCCTCCCATCTCTATTGCTCTGAACCTTTGAAATCCGGGCAGTGCACATCATGACTGAGCTTCCTGAGACTAAGGTTGATGTCCTCATCATCGGAGCTGGCCCTGCTGGGCTGATGTTGGCTCTCTGGTTATCTAGACTCGGTGTCAAGACCCGCATTGTCGATAAAAGGACCGCCAAGGTCTACTCTGGGCAAGCCGACGGGTGAGAGAATCGAACTTCCGGAATAGGACCGCAAGTGCTGACCTACATCACAGCTTCCAAGTGAGATCCCTCGAAATCCTAGACAGCTTCGGCGTCGCGGAGCGCGTATGGAAAGAAGCAAACCGCATGCTCGGTACGCCTGACCTCACCTTTCGCCTGATATGGGAGAACGAGGGCAGAAACCTCACTAACACCAACCGCAGAGGTCAGCTTCTGGAACCCCGACGAGAATGGCACAATCCAACGCAGCGCCAAATCAGTAAACACAATCCCAGGCCTCTCCCGCTTCACCGAATCCGTCCTGCACCAAGGCCGCATCGAACAATTCTTCATAGACGGCATCCGCGCCTCGTATCCTTCAAACGAGACACCCTTGCAGGTCGAGCGCATGGTCATCCCGACATCGCTCGAGATCGACGAGGCCGCGGCCGAGGACCCGGACGCGCACCCTGTGACGGTGACGCTGCGGCACTTGACGGAGGAGGAGGCGACGCCGACGCAGATGCTGAGTAATCTTAGTGATGGCATCTTTAGGAGTAATCTCGCCGAGGACGACGTCGCGGGGATGTTGGATAGGTCCAAGGGGCGGGAGGCGAGGGATGAGGTGGTGAGGGCCAAGTATGTTGTTGGCTGTGATGGGGCGCATTCGTGGACTAGGAAGACGCTGGGCAAGGAGTTTGAGATGAAGGGGGAGAGCACTGATGCCATTTGGTAAGTGCCTGATTTGAGGCATGGTTAGGCGTTGAGCTGACAGTGTTGGTTCTAGGGGTGTGATGGATATCGTCCCCATTACCGACTTCCGTACGTCTTCAATCCTTCCATGATGACGCAGTAGGCTGACTTCTGGTAGCCGATATCAGGTTCCGGACCATGATCCAGAACACAGCCGGCGCGCTGATGATCATTCCTCGCGAGAACAGGATGGTCCGTCTCTACATCCAGCTCAAGGAGGTCTCGGCCGGCGGCGGCCGCGTCGACAGGTCGCAGATCACACCGGAGTTCATCTTCAAGTCTGCGCAGAGAATCTTCAGCCCATACAAGTTGGAGTACCACTACTGCGACTGGTACGTCGACCTCCAAGTTGTGCTTATCGCGATGAACAGATGCTGACGTGTCATTAGGTGGACGGCCTACCAAATCGGTCAAAGGACGGGCGACCACTTTAGCAAACTCAACCGCGTCTTCCTCGCAGGAGGTAAGTTGTTTCGCAACCTCCGCTATCTTTTGATATCTTTCTCCCCTAAGAAGCTAACCGGATGCGACCCAGACGCCGTGCACACGCACTCCCCGAAAGCAGGCCAGGGCATGAACATCTCGATGCAAGACAGCTACAACCTCGGCTGGAAGATCGGCCTCGCGTGCAAGAACATCCTGCCGCGCGACGTCCTCTCCACGTACGAGCTCGAGCGCAAAAAGATTGCAAAGGACCTCATCGCCTTTGACGGCAAGTTCTCCAAGCTCTTCACGGGCGCGCCACCAAAGGATATCCAGACCGAGACGGGCGTGTCGGATGATGTGTTCCAGAAGGCGTTCCATACGAGTCGAATGGTATGTTACACACCCACTCCAGTCTTCTCCGGTTCCCAGTGTTGAGATGCGAGTGAGTGCGACGATGAGCTGACTTACGTATCGCAGTTCACAACCGGTGTAGGCGTAAACTACCAACCAACAGTCCTCGTCGCCAAAGAGGCAGATACAGACCCAGACACCGACGACTTGCCCAACATCCTCGTAAAGAGCGTCGCGAAAAGCACCCAATCCCTCGCGACAAACTGCAAACTCGGCCAGCGCTTCCCGTCATACAAGGTCATCCGCCAATCCGACGCCCGCCTCTGGGAACTGCACCACAAGCTCCCCTCCAACGGTCGCTTCCGTATCGTAGTCTTTGGCGGCGACATCTCCCGCCCCGCGCAGCGCGACACCGTCAACGCCCTCGGCGCGTGGCTATCGAGCTACCTCCCCAAGCTGCCGACCATCGCGCTCTGTCCCGCGTCGGATCCGCACAGCGGCGAGATCAAGTTCAAGACGGACGAGGACCCGAGTATCGTTGACGTCGTGCTCGTGCACGCTGCGCCGCGGGACGAGATTGATCTGTTAAAGGACGTGCACGAGGCTTATCATCCGTTTGATAGTAAGCTTGGATGGGATTACGACAAGGTATTTGTTGATGGAGAGACGTTTTATGAGGAGCCTGAGAGGGCGTATGAGAAGTATGGGGTTGGTAAGGGCGAGGGTGCTGTTGTTGGGTTGCGACCGGATGGCTATGTTGGGCTTGTTACTTTTGTTGGTGGTGATGGGGCCAAGCAGATTCAGAAATGGTTCGATGGCATCTTTCAGAGGTCATGAGAAAGATGGTTGGTATCGTTTGTAAGTACATAGATTAGTTGATGGGACGCGAGGACCGTGAAAAGGGGATGTAGCTCTAGGAGACTCCTTTACGATGTATCTAGCTGAGATGAAGCTGTTTGTTATGAATTCCTGGGAGCCCTGTGATACACCTGATTCGAGCATCTTTGTCGAGATTCGGCACACATTTATTTGTGGAAGCCATCATGATGTTGAATGATTTCATGAATGTATCTTTCGTTAGGCAAGACACGGTGCAATACTTTCAAGGGGGTCGATACGTTGATATTTACAGATCCGGAGACGTGCAATGTGCCATCGTTCAAAACTTCAATGATCACTGATGCGCAAAGTATGAAATTCGTATTGGATAAATTCGGCCTGCCTAGCTTTATTATGCAAACAACCTGGAGGCTGAGGCAAAACGGAAACGGTTATTTTAGACTCCTCGAAATGAAAGGCCCCGGAAGAATTCTCGACCGATTGAGAGGGCGAACGTCATTGGCTCATTCGAAGCCCGAGGACCCAGCCCCCCTCATATTAGGTATCAGAAGAGGAAGTGTCATCTTCCGATGCACGATCACATCTCTCCTTCATCATATTACCCCTCCGCCATGCAAACTTCCAGCTCACACTTCCCTTTCCACCTTTTGTTTAATCTCTCATCCATAGCATCCAGAGGCCAAGGATAAACCCTCTTGAGTGCTTCATGGAAGACGACTCTCCGCAACCGAAGATGAGTATGCGGCAAACCACTCGGCCCCTAACGCCAAGTATTCCAAGCGCGATACCTTCAAGCCATCCTTCGTTTCATAGGAAAGAAAATCACAACCCAGAACCAAAAGAAATCGCGTCTCATATCATCACCTCCCACAAACATCACCTGATCCCTCGCCATTTATCATTCTCCACATTCTCAACATGAGATATCCACGCACTCGTCTTGAAAAAAGATGAAAAAAGGAAATTCCATCGATACCGCTCGCTCGCGACGCTTCCGTTTCTTCATTACCCGTCTTCTCATCATGACAAGCCTTCGTTCAGAAGACCTGTTTTGGTGTGGTGTTTTTGCCTCATTCGTATGACATGAGGGGTTTCCCTGAGGCTGACCTTGGGGAAAGGGTCGATGCTTTCGCTATCTTATCCCTGTGCACGGACCATTGGCCTAACCCAATCATGTCGACTGACGAACCTCACCAAAAGTGGCATGCGGCGGGTCGGTCTGGAAGGTGGACCAGGGCTGCAATAGCTTGATATGGTATTGCAGCCGACACTGACTTGACTTTGCAGGGCGACTGCAATACTATTCCGAGAATCGCGACCCAGCACCTCGAAGGTCTTTCGTCTGACCATCATTAGGCTGAGCTGCTTCACCGGCGGCTCCTGGGCCGTGAGGAATGAGCCGGTCAACCCTCGCGATTGCATCAGCGACACGTTGGGCTCGGCTCTCTTGTCGCTCATGGCTCCCAGAACGTTCGCTGCTCACGAGTTCGAGGTCGATGTCTTCCTCGAAGTCCCGGAGACGATCTTCAGCCCCGGCGCCAGCTCTTCCCTCTTGAGGGGGCTGTCTTCCCGAAGCACCCCTAAGCAATCCACATGTTAGCCTAGCCGAACCACGATGCAATCGAACGAATCAATAAGAGAAGAGGTAGGAATCTGGGTGGATGATGAGGGACCTTTCGCCGACACGATCCCCAGCCACGGCAAATGTCCAGTTGGCTCGAAAGCGCATGCTCCACAGCCGCATGCTATTCTGCAACTCCGCGGGGCCCTGAGCAGCTTTGCCAAGTCCGCGAAGCCGGCAAATGATGGCCGGAAGGCTCGAGGAACGAGTGAAATCCTTGCCTCCGCATACAAGCCGGCATGGCAGACTTGCTTACGAGGCGGCGCAGAGCTGGACTTGGAGAGAGGGGTGCTGAGATACCAAGAAGAAGTCATGGTGCTCATGGAGCAACCTGCCGTGGAGCACTATTGAAGATCGTGAGAATGGGGCATTGGACTTACGACTGGGCGGAGCCTTGTTGGGCTGCGTTGGAGGACATGCCGGATTTTGGTCGCCTCGGCGTTGTAGTGCGGGTTGCAAGGTAGGTCAGGGTGCGCTTGCAAGTGAAGTTATGTATTGTTGCGAAGGGCGTAATGATCTAGGGGCCATTCAGGTTTACAAGTAGCGACGGAATGGCAGGGCGTAGAACGGCCGTGTTGTTGCCGGATAATCTTGCGTGTGGTGCTGGGAGGCCGACAGCCGGTCTATCGTAGGATGACACTAGACTTAGGTGTAGTAACTCGGTCTCTTGCGTGCGTTGGTACTCGATGTAAGAAAAGCGTGACCTGCAAAAGCAAAACGTCTTGAGAGAGAGAGAGAGAGAGAGAGAGAGAGAGAGAGGGAAAGACTTGAGAGAGGGCAGAGAGAGTACGAGGAAGGTAGGCAAGTAATAAGGAAAAGGACGATGGTGGTGATAGAGAGGGTGTAAGAAACGGCGGCGACGGCAGCGGCATGATGGTGGTAAGGTCGAGTGAGTTCCGGAGGAAAAGTTGCCAGGTGCGCACAGGTGGGCCAATTGCCTGGATTTGGTTCCCGTAGATCTCAGAGTGCGGATGACGGCGGGGAGAAAGATCCAAAACCCACGCGCAGAGGTCTCAAGTGTCTCGGTCGCACCACACCCTCCCAGCAGTGCCACTGGGCCTCTCCCCAATAGGCAGGCTCAGAACTGTCCATATACGCACAGGGTCCGCACTTGACTCCCGCAGGGTTCAGTCCCAGTCGAAAAAACCGGGAAGAGCTGTTTGGGTCTATCTACCTACCTTACCTCAGGGGATGAGACGCCTGGGGACTCGGGAGAGTGACGTGCAGAATCTTAAGGCAGGTATCCGCCCCTCCACAACGTGCGAATGTAGGTATGCTTGTGTGTGCTTGCTCTGTAGCTCCGTTGAGCATTTTGTCATCGGTGACCTCTGGGAGTAATTCTCATTTCGTGCCCAAGGGGCGAGATAATAATGATCCGAAAGAGGAGGTCAATCTACGAAGACCTAAGAGCAACAAAAGCTTCCATAGATCCTTTACGTGCGTGTCCCCGCTTGATAAAGTTTAGTACCTGAGTTTTTGCTCGCCGGCGAATCTATTATTTCCCCTCCAAAAGCAAAGCCGGTAGGTTAAGGCAGGACAAGGTAGAGGGGACGGCGGTGGCGGCGGCGGCGGCGGCGGCAGTGGTAGGACTAGGATCAGAACTAGAACTGCTGCTAGTACCTTAACCATACATCTATAGAGGACGTAGAGACACACAACCCAACTGGCAGGATCCAAGGAGTTCGAGGGTTTGGGTGTACGGAGTATGTGAAGAATGGAAACGACAGAGGTGGGGCGCAGGCAGCAGACTTGGGGACAGAAGCACTCCTCCATTGGCCATTGGAGTGGTTGGAGAGGGAGTGAAACGAAAGCGAGTCCTCAGGCCTGTGGGGATACAGCTTTTCACAGGGACACACCTCAACCTTGGAACCCTGGGCTGCTGCCCCGCCGTTGGTTTACTGTCCCATCTACCTAGCTTTCAATCTCGTCTGACAGGTGCCAGGTGTTGTTGAGCGACCGCAGACTTCCTCTTTGCGCCACTATCCTCCTAGCCCAGAGCCAGATAGGGTAGAGCAAATAGAGGAGTAGGGCGGGTGTAGACTGTAGGGGGCGCGGGGGTGAAGCGAGTCACCATTTGCTCTAAACTATCCTCCTAGCCCAGAGCCAGATAGGGTAGAGCAAATAGAGGAGTAGGGCGGGTGTAGACTGTAGGGGACGCGGGGGTGAATCTAGTCACTATTCGCTCTAGACTCCCCCGAGCAATGCAATTTTCACAACATCCCATTTTTGTTAAGCCAAAATCAAGTAGCAAAGCAAAAAGATTACACGTTTCCATCTGCTTCCCGCCCCTCGTCTCTTCTAGATGCTCTGCTTGTGATCTTTCCTTGACACTCCCTGGCACGATCCCTCGTCCGTGATGCGCATCGAACAGACCCCTAAGCTACCCTAGGCGGTGACCTTATGAAGGATATTGAGAGGCAAGCGCTGAGTAACCGGCGTCTTATCCAAGGCAGCGCAGCTGACGATTGGCTGGTCGTCGCTACACTTCATCTCACCCCATCTCATATCCCATTCTCATCTGCCTGCAGGCCAACTTCTTAGCATCGCCTGCCGCTCCACGTAGGAGATAATTCTCCAGCTGTGCTCCGTACATCACGAGTAATTATTTTTGCTTGGCGCGACGGCCTTGGACTTGAAGCCCCCAATATCTCGGTACGCACCGTCACCGACTGCGAGGCCGACACAAAGACGAGGGGGACACAAAGATGAAAGAGACTGGAAGATGAAGGAATGCGAACAGGGGCGTGTGTGAGGCGGAGGGGTGAAAGACGAAAACTACAACGACGGGGAGGGGGGTGTCATGGGCGCGGAATAGCTATGTTGGCATGGGGGTGAGTCGCGGTGAGTGAGTAGATTGTATTTCCCCGCACCTCCCTCAGCATGGGACAAGAAGATGACTGGGAATAAGGCTCGTCCACGCCCCTTTGGTTCCACGCCATGGGACGTCAGCGCCTTGGGGCAGGTGGTGGTGCTCCAAAATTTCCATCTTTGACAACGTCGCGGTCTGGATCTGGCGCGAGGGTCTCGGATGAGCTAGCGGGGGTCGCGATTGAGAACTGGCGGTAGCGGGGTCGTCGGGCAGAAGATTCAGAAACAAGCCGATTCGAGGCGACATATGCTGGGTTGCGAATAGCTACAAATGTGCCTGACCGGGGTACGTAGGTAGAAGCAAGGGAAACAGAGGGGCAGTCCCATTCTGGGTCGGTGCTCTGACGACGATCATCTCGCACGATGCTCTGACCAGGGCCAACCCAGGCGATACTATGACGACGACCATCTGATCTCATTCGGCGGAATTCAGATGAAGGGACGTAAGATGCCTCGGGCGGGCGCATGGGGAGGTGCTGACGCTAATCCATTCGTAAAGCTTGGAGACCTTGAAAGCTGAAGTACACGAGGGTCTCTGAATGGCTTCGCATTGCTTCAATCGACGGTGGGTTGAAGGGCCCACCAGGGTTGGGTTTGGGAGCATTTCGGCCCTTCGGATGGTAGGAAATGCTGCTGACAAAGTGACATGAAAGACTACCGAGTAAGGTACGGTACGATAGAAGACTTCAAGAGTACCTGGCAGTACCTGGTTTGTTATGAATCCCTGCACCTAAGATCGTAGAGACATGATGTATCCGTAGATTCTCACTTGAAACATTGCACCTAAAAATCCCTTTGAACAGAAGATGTGACAGTCATTTACTCCCGGTTCCCCGAAAGCCAAGTGTCGCGCACGACATAGGTAGGTAGGATAATCTCCATTTCCATCAGTTGGCGCTCTATGAAAGTACCTGATCCGTACACCAAATTCGTCCCCACAAATTCCGCCGCCTAGCGCCACTGCCCAACGCGGGCGCCGCCTGTTCCTCCAACTCTTGCAAGCGCATGGTGCATCGGTAGGCGGCTCCTCGCTTCTTGCGCTCGGGAGGAGCAGCTGATTGCCCGCTTCAGCCGAAAACACGCTGGTCTCCTTCGGCATGAGTGAATTGGACCAGAACTTACGGATACCTTGTCCCCTCTGTTCGTTTTTGATTGCGGAATTAGCCCCTAGTCACCTCAGTTGGCCGAAACTCCAGACCCACAACTCGATGTCCGCTATCGTTGACTCACAGCCGACACGCATTGGGTTGGCCTCTCATACTACCGGCGCAGGGGCCTGTTCGTCCTGACAATTCAGTTGTCCTGTGTTTATCACCTAATCCAGGATTATCCGTTCAGATCTTTCAGAAAAATCTTGGAGATAGCTCTGAATGGTGTCACAAACTCACCTACTGCTCACGGGGGCCGTTGAGTGTCTTAACTCCGCCCGCCCCAGCTCCAGCCACTCTACTTGTTCCAACAATTCGCTCTTCGCGCTTTTCGACGTAGTCAGGGCCTGATCAATTTCTGCTTGTCCCGCGATTAGATCACCGACCTACCATCATTTGAACCATTGGATGTTGTGATGTGGCAGGTGCCCGCCAGCCAGTCCCCTCCCTCCTCATCATTTTCCCACCTAAGCACTCGTCCAGTTCGCGTCAGCCACTGTTCCGCCCACGATATTGTGCGCAAAATTTGGCACAAACACAGCCCTTTTTTCGTCTTCACGTCGCCGACTGCTGAGGCGCAGCCGCGCAGCGACGAAGCAAGTCAACACCGTTCTCGAGTCTCTCACCAGGGTACTGCGTAACCAGCCCTTGCCAAGGCGAGAAAACATTTTCTATCGCCGTTTCTGTCTGACATTATCTCAATCACACATTGTCTGTCCCTTCCATCTAAGCCACATTCTGCGAATTCTATAACCTCTGCCAACCCCACGATAAAGAGACCAATCCCAGCCACAGCAAGTGAAGAGTTTTCATTCTTCAGCACTCACATTGGACGCCGCAGTCTCACCTGTCGCAGTGCTGCATAAACATAAAGTAGAAATGTGGTGCAGAACGGGCGTGTCCTGCGCGCGCTGGAGAGCACTGAACTCAACAGTGAGGTCACGACGGGAGGTACACCGTACGTGGCACCCTCTGGTTCTCACCCACTGGTCAATTCGGGTGAGAAAACTTTTTCACATTTGCACTTTCACCCCTGCGCAATATCACGAACCAAAATCTCCAGGCGTTCATGTTCCTCGCCCGCCCGCGTCCCGTGACCAGGATCTCTGGCGAACCATATTCAGTTCGCCAGAGTCGTTGGCGGCGGCCTCTCACGTGCTCAACGCTGCCTAATTGCCTGGTGCACCGACCAGCAGCCCGTGACGAAAAAAGCAACTAAAAAGCCGGCGGAGTTATCTCGGATTTTGTGATATAGCCTCAATTCGGGATTTCTCATCGAGCGGTGTTTGGAGTGGTTTCCATGGCCAATCTCACCCATCAACAACCGCAGTCAAAATAAAGTCGACCTATTGAGATGAAAGACGGGTCCGTTCTTTAAACTCTTGTCCGTGCACAATTCAGTGGGTGTCTTTCTCAATTGGGATGAAACGGCCCCGTTGACGTGGATTATTTCAGGGATAACCCCATGAAGATCAGGTGGCAGGAATTGATGAAAGAAATGGAGAGCTAAGGGCACTATCGACAACAACCAATTGTGATGCCGATGGATGAGAGAAAAAGTCCCATCCCACGTCCTATCTAGTCTGAATATAATGTGGATTATGTAAGCATACTCAAGATAATGTAGTTTGCCATGAATGAGATACTGGGCCCCTACCCCAAATTAACCTCGCCAAAGCAGAGAATAAGTTACCCGGTGCGCCGGTGCACGCAGAGGTAGGTGCCATCCAACTATAAGGTTGTTGGTCCAAACGCCCCGAATTCCATTGTTGCCTTTCCCATGCCCAGAATCACCTCCATTCTCCAGCAGCTCCGATGTGCGGAGCTTGAAGATGACATAATGCACCTGCAGAGCCCCGTGCTTGGTTTATTCCCGCCGTCGGCAACCAACAAGCAGTCAATCCTGGGCGCGACGCATTGACCCATCAGATCGCAGCACCCTTTCTTCTTCAATGAGGTAAACCGACCGCACATCAGCTGCATCGAGAGAAAACTTATGTAATCCCAGCGATACTTTTCCGCCCCAATTGTTTCATTTGTTCCCGAGACTCGACACCCCCCCCCCCCCCCCAAGTTTCGGAAGGGGAACGCCTCTTTCTCGTTCGCCCACTCGCTCGGTACCTTCCGATGATCTCCCGAGGCTATTCCCAATCGAAATAAGCCCCCCTCAAGGATCTAGGTCCAAGGCGCCGTTGCAGCCACAACCGGGGCAACGTGTGGTAGGCTGGTAGCACATGGCACCAAACCAGTGGCTGATCTCCGATGAATTTGAACCCTTAGTTTGAGAATTGTGAACCAGTGCCACGCAGGTTGATTGGCACGTTGTTGATAGGTTGCCCAACAGCCTCTCCGGAGCTTACTGAGACTCTGCAGTCGAGGTCGAGTCGCTTGACGGCAGCGGTTGTGGAGGGTACTTGTGAAACTGGTCGCGTCGTAGTGAAACCGAGCCCAACTGACAATGCGTGGTCTTTTCTAAACTTTGCGTATCTTATATCCCTATTCTTTCGTCAGTTTTTAATCGATGATAGGTCATTGCGAAAAGATTCATCATGATCGTTAAGCGAGTTAACACAAGACGAGGACGGAATCTGAAAAAGCGTTTATGACTGACGTTGGACGCTGTGCATTTACTGATAACGCCATTACTGGAGGCTGGCTGCTGGTGTTGGGAATGTGTAAACCGAGGAGTAGATGTAAAACAGTGGTTTCTAGGAGTTGCTTCGACGCTTCAAGTAGATATTCTGAGAAGAAAGAGGAGAATGAGAGCGTGGGTTGGAAGCCAACAACTCAGAAAAAGATCGGAGAGAGAGGGGGGGCCTATAAATCTAAGAATCGTCACCTACGACGATGAGCGAGTAGTTAGAGTGTGGTGGATATTTACATTTTGAGGGAGCCTAATCGCAAGCACTTTCGAGTCTCGGTCCGCCTTGCAGCAGTGCCAAGTGACAGATCGCAGGGGCAGGGAGGTCACCGGCAGATCTCAAGAATTACGGATTCTTGTTACGAACGTATCTGTCGTTTCCCTTGGCGGCATCCCTGGGCGGTATCCCGGAAGCGGAGCCATCATGCCTAAGCATGCAGGTAAACGCTGCCAGGGAGGGATCGAACGTGTGTGGTGTGGTTGAAAATATGGCAACTGCAGCGAGAGTAGAATGCCACACCCTCCCAGGACCCGATTGCAGGCGCGGAGTACCGGGTCATTCTTCCCGTTGCCGATTGTCAGGCCTCCTTACAGGTTTAAGCCCGTCGAGAACACCGGGGCGCCCCTGCGCTTTTAGGCGCGCTTCAAGGTGGTTACACAAGGCATATGAGAGAAGGAGACGCGAATGATGCGAGAAGTTCCGTATGCTCGTCGTGAATGGCCCAATTTGACTTATCGAATGTGTTGATCTTTGGGGGCTAAATGATAAATGACGGCTCTTCCAATTCGTTGATTTTAGCAAGACTTGCCACCGGCGTATGCACTGTAACGGGCGGTGCGCCGGTTCCACTTTCTGTTGCCCGAAAGCTAAGAAAATCTAGGAAGTTATATCTCTTAGCATTTGAGAAGCGAGCGGTTAGTTTTATGGGAACTGTTTTACAAGTTTATACCCATCTGAAGGTCAACAACCCCCGTTGAGGGTTCTGATAACATATGCTTTGGGGGATGTTTAGGGATAACCGCGGTTTGGCGCCTAATCCGTTCATGTTGGTTGTAGCTTTACACATAACAGCGAAGTCTCGTAACGCCAGCACCAATCGAGGTAACACAGTAGCAATACGAACCAAAGACTTGGCACAGGGCGGGCAATCTCAGTATGAAACATGGGCATATGCCGCCATCCTCATACCTCTCATGACAATGTGCCTTGTTGGGAAGTAGGAACTAGGTAACTTCATGTATGCCGTGATGAGTGATGAAGGGAAAGGTCCGGCGAACGCCTGAATACATCATACTCATGCCGTGTCGCACACGTGCACTGGGAGACCCACTCCGATGCGACCCCGCGGGCTACACAGCCAGCTGGTGCAGGTAGGAGAACAAAGAAACTGTATGCAGGTGCATGTAGCCTGGAATTTCAGCGTTGCGATTCTGCCAGCAGAAGGGGTCATATGGACATCGCATGAACCAGCTCGGGCACCAAGAGACAGGGGAGCATGGAGCGGTGAGCGTCCATTTAAGCACTCGGGATGGTCTTCGACCCTGTGGCAGGTCTGATAGACTTCGGCACACGGGGCTAGACCCGGGATTACTATGGATTTGAGAACAAGGCATTCCTCTTTCGCTCCATGGCATATGGCCATTTTACGCGCGGGGGCATTCTCATGCGAGCTCTCGGCCGTACGTGAGTACCTAAACTCGAATGCCTCCAGCAAATTGGTTTCGAGATTGACCACGAAAATGATAGCCGATAGTACGGACGTACTCCACTGCGGGCTGTTCAATATGACGTGTCTTATGCTGGCCGCAACGTTCACTGCACCGCCGCACCGGGACAGGACTACGCCACAACCCAGACAAGCCGTAGCTACCATGTCGCGATCGATGGAGTTAAAGGCCACACTGGTAATCGACTGAATTTACTGGGAGGAAGACGGCTCAGTTGGATATCTACAACGGGGCATCGAATTGAGAGCCTGGAATGTGATTTCTGGCATGGGATTGTCTGAAATACTGCACTTCAATCAAGCTACTGAGTAAGAATACTCTAGCGTGGGATCCGTGCAGAGACTCAGAGGGGACTTTCATTCATAATTGTGACTAGTCGTTCAGAGCTTCTAATGAGAGAAGGCCCCCGAATCTGGTTTGTGGGCGTTCCTCTCACGCTGCTCTGGTCAGAGTAAGAGACAACTTACTCTAGTAGATTGAGAGGCTGCGAGCTAAGACGGAGAGGGGGGCAGACACGACTCGTAGCTAGGGTCATGCATGCCGACGGGAAACCGGGACAGGGTGGTGACGCGAGCTCTACAAATGTCAATGCAGGAGCTGGAATTCTGCTGTCTCCCGGTGACATACACCTGCATCCCCTTCAACAACTCCACTCGATCCGGCACCTGTCAGTGAGATGTGAGTTTCGACGCTTTTTCCATTTCCAATTGGTTCCAGTCGCTTCAGTCACAAAAATCACCACTCTCAGGTGCATGCTGCATTGTCTTATTCGCTCGGACTGAATAAGCCAATCGACGTTGCAATTAATGGGGATTGTTTCGAGACAGTTGCAATCGACCGAGGGTACCTAAATAAGAAATTATTCGGTAAGACACCTCGCTTTCAATGCTACCTCTCCCACCCTTGTCCGCCGTTTCTGCCTGCCTTAATCCCGTTCGCCTTGACCGTCCCGCAGCCAGCTCTTGCAGTAGCAGGACGTTGTGTTTGGACTGACTGCAGGATCGATCGCTATCTAGATCAAAATAGAAAAGAAAACCAGTACCCACTACAGGTTCACCTCAAAATTAACCACCTACTACGCGCGAATAATGCATACAATATATATGACTCCCGAGGAAATTTACACCGAATTTCCTGCGAGACTGCGTAGTTGTGAAGCCTAAGAAGGAATTCGTCCAGTTATATTCTGACCTTGAGATCAACTTCTTCAAGGCGTTGGGCCTCAGTGCGCCCAAAGCTGTTCCAGTCTCCTTGCACATACTCACACCAGATGAGTTTTTGAGATTCCACACGCTTTCCTCTATCGTACCCTCCCCTTGCCTCCATCCCATTTGAGTCTGCCCCGTATATCCTGCGTCGCCGATTGAGCATCTGATTACCTAACTACAGGCTTTAGTAATTTGAGACGCCACACTGTACAAGCGCCTACCAGGCTTACCTTGAACATTGAGAAATGCGTTACCATGAGAAAACCTTGACTTTATTATGTGTGGCAATGAAGATAAATCTGTGCGATTGATAGGGTTCCCGGCCACGCTGATGATCGGCCGGATTTACTCGGAGGAAATCCGGCTCACTAGGGTATCTCTGCAATGCGCTCCAATATTCTACCGCTGAGGGTGCGATTTTCTGGTGTATCACAGATTGCATGACTAAACTACTCCCAGTAATAAACATGAATCCTTAGGCCCGAGATCCGCTCAGGAAATCAGGGCTACAACGCAAGATGGTTGCTCAGTCTACACTCGACGGAGCCAATCCTCAATAGCTTCCTGAATCTGAGCACTATTCTTCTCCATGGAGAGCATATGCCCATTACCATGAATACCAATGTTCCCAAGCTCCATGTGTTCAGTCTTACTGCAACCAGCTTGGCGCAGATAAGCAACTGAAGAGTAATCGTTCGTAGCGTGGAAGTGCGCATCCCTGGTGACGACAAGAATAGGTACATCCTGGAAATTAGCTAACTTTCGCGGCTCAGGATGATCAGACTGAAGTATGCATTGCGCGGAGATGTTGTCCCTTGCAGGATGAACTTGCTGAATAATTTCATCCTTGGGGTCGGTGACAGGAGGTTCGTAAGTAAGCGGAATATCCCACAAGCCCCAACAACGAGGGTTCTTCATACCCAAGTTGAAGATTTCGTCTTTGAAAGCTGGGCCTGCCAGCTGAACAAGCACCAGTGTATTGGTCAGATGAGGCCGTTTGTCAGCAATAAAGCTAGGCATGTAGCTGCCCTGGCTGTGGTCGAGGAGAATGACAAGCTTCCCGATTTTGTCCAGAAGAGTTGCGCCCGCCTCTTGCACAAAACTCTGCTGATAAACGGCGTCGTCTATGAACTGAACATCAGAGGTGTAGAAAGCATCAAAGATCGGGTCGTATTTAACACCGGTTCTAGGCCATTGAGTATGATTGATAGCTTGAGGCCAAAGCATATACTGCTTGGTTGCAGTAAACGCCATCTCAACCATCTCAGAGGGAATAACCTTCTGGGTCTGGCTGCCGGTCGAGGCAGAACGGCCTCGCGAGGTCAGGTCGACGATATAAATCTCATAGCCTTGGCTGATGAATTGCGAAGCCCAGCCACGAGTGCCATCTGGTTTGTTGAGAAAGTTCTGATTCATATCAGTAAACCTTCTAGAAATGGAAGAGCTACGAGAGCTTCGTTAGACAGGAATTACCGTGCCGGTTTGTGCCATTCCATGGATCATGAAAATCAGTGTCTGTTTCCAAGCGCCGTATGCCGGAGAAAGCTTCTCAACGTACATCTGGTTCTGGGAAATGTGACCACCAGCCCCATTATGAGGTATCGACCACGCGTATAAAAGTGGGAACGGATAGCCGGCACCTCCACCTCCTTTGTGATCCTTCCGCAGGCTGCAGCAGAGACGATGTCAACCGTCGTTGCCAACAAGGCGAGTGCGGAAGAAAAGCGCATCGGAAAACACGGTGTGAAATTGAGTTGGACTGCTTGAAACGAATGGATAGCGAAGATGGCTGAGAAACAAGGGGAAAATGATGCAAGAGGAGTTTGAGAGCGAAAGGTTTCTATCACTGCCAATGCTCTAGTTTTGACGGAGTCTCTTTCTGCAAAGGATTGGGCATTGTTCATGCCAAGGTTCGTAGTATCAGTGATTTCCGCTCTTTTGCTGCTCAATTACCACTCCACCGCAATTATTCCCCTCTACACCTCTGCACCTCCACTTATATTGGAAAGACGGATGATATAACCAGTATCGGTTGTCTTCTTAGTAGGGAATTCTTTGGCGATTTTTGCCGTTGGGCCTAGATATCAAGAGTGGGCAGCGGAGATGCATAAGCTGGACAGCAACGTAAACCCATTACTTAATTTAGGGATTTTCCTACAAGAGTTATGGGCAACACTGATTATAAACCATAACGTTGTTGTTCGTATGTAGAGATATCTATGCTGACTTTGTGCGGGCATGGACTCGGCACCTACAGGACTGTGATCGGAACTTGCCCGCGAGCCCGACGCCCCGAAGACCGATCCCGAATTCAGTCTATGAGTAAAGAGCCGGCTACGCTACTCTGAGACCAAGGATTAAGAATTTAGAAACAAGCTGCCTCACGCATAGCCTGTGTTCTGTATTTAAAGTACCTATAAGTACGTCACGATAGACGGCGTGAACTTGACTCAAAGTATAGTCGTAGTGCCAGGTTGTTTATTCTCCTTGTGACTCTTCCTCGCAAACCGACAAACCAACTGAACCCTGAGACACAGCTCTTGAAATTACCAACATGGCAAACAAAAACATTCTTCTCACTGGAGCGTCTAAGTTGAATCCGGGAATTCACCACTGGGAATATGATTTCAGCCTCTCAAAATGGTAGTAGTGCGGATCGTTATCTTTGGAAAAAAAAGGAGGAAAAAAAAGGAGGAAAAAAAAGGAGGAAAAAAAAGGAGGAAAAAAAAAGGGAAGAAGCATGTAAGAACAAGACACATACGGCAGGCAAGCATTAGATTGACTGCCCTACTCTCTGGTTCATGGATCAGACGTAAATGCCAAAACCCTCTCCGAAGGTACTGAAACTCAGTAGACCTGGTCCTGTACATCCAGAAATCAATAGTGGAGGAAATTTACCGAACCACCTTTCCCCTTCGACCTTATTTGGAGTCAATTTCCTAACGGGCGTCGCCCACAAATGTGCACAGAAAATGTTACTGGTGTGCCTGATGAGACACTGAGTGAGTTTGGGCGGCTTTTACCAAGACAAAGATGACTTCTACTAACACTGAATAAGCCTCCGGGTGGCGCAAGAGTACGGATAGGCATTACCTAGTAAGCTCGCTCTATTTTCTGGAACCCTGAGATCAACAGGCTTGACGCCGCCCCAAGTCCAATTTTGCCCCACCCAAAGGAGCCTAATGCTTGATGAATATGGTGGTTATCACACAGTACGGTGCGCAATATAACTATAGAATACGCGCAATATGCCTTAAGCACGCGCTCAACTCGATAATATGATTTAATCTAAAAGTATGATGTAATACGGGATCGTAAGTATGTTGCTTATGCGGGCCAGAAAGATCGAGGGCGGCCTACGCGGATGTTCTGAACTCTAACGTCAAGATGCTTGATGGATGATCTCTAATCTTTTGACATACGATTAAAGTTCCAAACACAGGCCAGAGATGAGAAACTCTAACACGTAAAGAGCTCGCGGATCGAACGCATCTAAATAATCTGGAGCAAGCAGTGATGCCGGCTGCAGGAAAACACCTTTCCCAGCGGCTCCTATCACTACCGGGACTAAAGTCGAAGAAGTCCTTTACAAATATATGGCCACTCCCAATCTATACGCTCTGCTTATGAGCGCAATATGGACGTTCTGTGTTAATCTGAGGTGAGATATTTCACTCGATAACAAGTTGAGACCTGTGGATGTTATACTGTGTAAGTCAACATCGCTATCGGGCGAGACTTTCTCTCACGCATGCTAAAGGTCGATTTATACTTGCAATGAATATAATAACCCCTAGTTGCCTAAGTATCCATGACGTCGCATGCTTAGGGCGGCCCAAAGCGAAATGGAATAGACTTGTTGTGGCACTGGAAGGAAGCATTCATATGAAATATGGATTCCAGGAATGGCCCAAATTTGAATTAGATTATGAAGCTGACTTCAGTGCTGATCTTGCAAGCCTTCGGGGTGAGAGAACTTCGTTCGATATCCTAAAAGAGTGGGTTTCCTAAGCAGAACCTGCCGATAGGAGGGCTTAAAGCTCGTTTCTCCGTATTCAAGAGTCGTGGCATTTCGTGGGCAAATCGAGATTAGACGCCTAAGCAGTCTGAGACAACGTAGCTGGTAGGTATGAGATCGCAAAGTAGCTTCTCTCAGATACAACTAACTTCGCTTGGCCGATGATGGTGCTGGTCTGGTGTGTCTGAACAATGAGCTAAACTGAAAGTAGAATGAGTTGCATCGGGATCTACTGCACAGTCGATATTCTTCCTCCGACGCACTAGTCCAAGCTACAGGGAGCTAGTCTTAGAGCAACTTGGCTGACATTAGTCTGATCGTCTTCTGATCAGGGTCAGAGATTCGGAGGCGGGAAAATTTTAGCGAAGAGGCCTGGCGGACAGGCATAGGATGGTAAGTAACGTGACCAAACTGACACGGCGATTTTGCGAATGATGAATTTCTGCGAGCCAATATCCTAGCCTCAGTGGGAAACCGCAGAGTCTCACCCTGTTGGAACTTGTAGCCACCGCCTTGCGGTAAACTCCTTGACTTACGGTTTTGACTATGGCCCATCGTCCTCGATGCAACCCCATCCCATCTTATGCGGCGTTATTTAGAGAATAGGTGAGCATCTCTCGCGCCACGAAAGAAATAAGATAATGTTAAGGTTCGTTTCAGGTTCCAATTTGTGATGTCCTTCCCTCCCCGGGTGGTTGGGACGATGGTTCGCATCAGGCTGTGGTAAGGCGCCTCTGATGCTACGTAACCACGCACCTTGGCAGGGAGGGCGAGGAAACGAAGTATTTTGCGCATGCGCTTCAGATGAGTCTCACTAGCAGAGAGAGCCTCGGCCGGTATGGTCAAAATTGACGCGATGGTCTCATCGGTGGCGGATGAGATGACCTTATCCAAAGTTCAAACAGATGATATGTGCATTTTTCGGCCAAGGTACCTTGGTCAGTATGGGCGGGCGGGCGAACTCTAAGAGTGTGCAGTTGGAGCCGAAAGACCCGCTTCCCTACAAGACTGCGCCTCGGGCGGTGAACCCATTTAGTGATCATTCACTTCATTGTCATGGCATAGGCGTAGCCAATGAGCCATGATGGTCGTTAGGCGTCTGCGGGCATACGCCCAGGCCATGAACCCGCCTCTGCAAGCTGTTGGCGACGGGGTGGTGGCGACTTGGGTGATCTAGCGGGCTTTCAAGTAGTACAGACAACACTGTATTCAGAGTGCAGTACTAAGAACGAGGCGCTGTGGCCCCCAAGCACTTTTGTAGTCTCAATGCGATCAAAGTTGTAGTAGTTGTAGACTGTGGAAATAATTCTCAGTTTCAGTGTCACAACATCACTAGAAGACGATCTCCTGGTGCAGGTATAGACGAAAACCACTAAACCTTGAAAGCGCCGAATATGGGAATTAACACAACTACATTGTCCTACACTGTCATGAAGGACCCAGAAGTCATACTGCTTCGACCCACTATCTACATGATGGTTTCGTTCCTACTTTTTACTGCCCATCTTCGAATAACCATCTGAAAATTTGTCCCTGCATTTGGTGACTAACGGTTGTTAGCTGTTGTTGCGTCGGAGTCGGGGCGCAGGAGCGATTGCACTCGAGGGTCCATGGATCGATCTACGGTCCATTTTGCGATTGGATAAGACAGTACGTACCGATGACCCTTGCACCGGGCAGTCAAGGCAGGGTGTTGGTGGGGACCCGGTAGTGCACGCCCCCTGTAACGGTGTACTAAAGTTTGGCGTCATCGAGGGTCACTTCGGCAACCCGCTTCTCGTCCGTGTAAGTCGAGAATTGGGCCCCGACAGCTGATACCCGTGCCGGTTGAGAGACAGTGGGCCGGAAATTGGGGACGGCGCCAACGCGGAGGCTCTGACTGGGAAAGACCTGAGTGACTTCGTCGATAATTTTCTCATTTCTACTTAGGCGGCTCTGCTGAGTGGATTTGTTCCCGATGCTCTCACCCTTTGGATGATGGAATGCTTGGTCCGAGATAAAATGTTGGACCCGCGAGAGCTCTCTTACCGGCCCATCTTGAGGTGCGTTTCGGTCCATCGAGCTTTACCGCCGGGATATAATGTAAGCTATCTAACTTATAGCACAGAAATAGTGCAGTTAAGACAAGATTGAAAGTGCGAAGCGTTGAAGGATGGTCACCGTACGGTAGTCGGAAGATGAGACGCCAGGTCTAGATCCTGCGGATGACCTTAGGCTTTTCTGCAACCACGAAGAACTTGCCTCGTAATGGCGGGTACGTAGGCCTTACGTAGACTAGCTCAGGCTAATTCTGTCGAGCTCAATCTTTGAGATAGATTAAGACGTTGATGCGAGATAATGAAAGTGATAGAAGGGCTAGGACAGGCCAAGCTCGGAGGGAAGCGCGGGAAAGGTGAAAGTAATGGGCAGAGTGAGCGGGGCGTCTATGAAGTTGTAGACAACCAAGTTGATTCGAAAAGAAAGAGTCGTAGAGAATAGATCGAATGGTAGAATCTTCCTGTATTTTTAACAAGCGGACGGCATGGTATTTAGCTGCTTGATGGGTTTCCGCGTTCCCCAAGTTTTGTGGGAATGTGGAAGCCCAAAGTCTCCAAGGCAGAGTGATCCTGATCCTGGTCCTTATCCTTATGATCGGCCAATGTTCCGTGTTCTCGTATGCTACCTTGGCAGGTGGCCACCCCTGTTATTCTCTGCAGTCAAGCTTAGAGCGCCACGGCGCCCATGGCCTATGGGAGGGCTCATTCAGAGCCTGCCGATACTCGAGGCGCTAGTCAGGTTTGCCTTAGCGGTCGGGGAAACGCAACCGGGGTTCAATTTAGCGCGCCCCCGCTTGGGAGGGAACACAGTCGACAAATTCTTGCGAGGGAGGGGTGTCCCTATTTTTGTACTTCTAACAAAGTACCGCGGTAATGAGCAAATTCCTTCGTGTGCTGACTTCCATCAATCCCGGAAGGCATAGATGGAGCGGTGAGTGCAAATTGCGTATGAATTATCAAGGAGATAAGTATCGGCTGGACCGAAGTGTGAAGACGCCGGCCAGATCGACTGAGTAGGACCGCCCTTCATGTTCAGGAAGTGCAAGGCCAGATTTCCGAAAGGTTAGAGGAACGACGTGGCGGGGGTTTTGCGAGATTCTAGGGAGAAATCTATCTCCAACGTTGTACCCATAACTTACGTTTTGATCCCCACATTCATGCTGCGGTATAAGACAGGAGCATCAAATGATCAAGTTGTCGCAAGGTGAGCAGAACCGGTCATGGAAAATCTTTGACTCCCCGCTCTTGAGACAGAGACTGTGTTCTTGATGATTTTGCTCAATGAGAACACGCCACAAGGACCCGGGCATGTCTACATAGCTCTATTCTGGCAGAATTATGGTCGCAGGGTTACAAAGTGCTGGTTGTCTTCCTAGATGGAACTTCTTTTGATCTGGCCCGCTGATATGTATAAAATATTATATTTGAGTATTTCACCCCCTGAGAAGCCCAAAAGACTTCTGCGTCGGCAATCGATTGACATGTTCACTTGGCGTGGGCGGATCATTGTCAAATGTAGCGTTCCCGTGTGGTCTTCATTATCAAAGGGGAGTAAATGCTGATTAAATTACGTAGAAGTTAAAGATACCCATCTTCTTTTACTTCAACTTCAAACTGCCCGGTGGAAATAGTCAGATCGCCTTAACATGTATATCGGAGTGGAAAAAAACATGTTGGAGAATGTTACCATAGGAACTCGGACTTACCAGCCATCTCATATTAAGCGAAGAACGATAGAAATATTGGAATTTACAGGGTAATAATAGGTATGAACTTAAAGAGCCACGAAGAAACTGTTGGGGCTCATGGGTGACGAAAGTGAAGTGCTTCTCTGTAAAAGAGTGGTTCTAAAGAGATGAACTGAATCCATAGGCAACAAATATCTGACTGGTTGGACTCGGCGCTGTCACATAACCCCCAAGATCTGTTTAAAGAGGAAGTGAGCCGAGAATGATCTTTTATGTCTACAAAATTATGTTGAAACATACAAAGCAAGAGAAAGAGAGATTTCAAATGTTCTGAACCAAATCCGCCAATACTTCTCTCCTCCGATTGAAGAAGATACTAGCATGCGTGTCGTCTTCGAGTCTAAGATTGGCTCTACTCCCCAATCGCTTGGCAATTTGTATTCCGTGATTCATAGGGACGAATGTGTCATGTTGACCATACCAAAGCCGTACAGGCAAATCAGGCCGAATATCCTCGATACGGAATCCGAACTCTGTGCCAACCAGGTGACCATCATTACTTACACCATCGATTCCTTGACCGTAATATTGTCGACTTGCCATGACCATGCGCCCCACAATCTCTCTGTCTGACCAGATCCCAGCTTCTTGCTTCGGGAACGTTGCTTTCTTCTTCTCCGCATCCTGGAGCTGCAGTTCGAGCCGTTCTTCGTCTGATAGATGGAAGCGTCCTTGATGGTGGAAGAACCATCCGGCAATGCGCGGGGTGTACCGCCAGCCGTAGTTGAATCCGATCCAGTGAAACCATCCAGCTCCGCTCATGCCAATGTCAGGCGGCCCAATGCCGCAGACGATGGATACGCATTTGAGCTTTTCGGGAGGCATTGAGTTCGCACAAGCTAGTGCATAGGGACCGCCCCCAGACACGCCCTATTGAACATTAGCAGTCGCGCCACAGAAGGCGAAGGTTCTCCAACATACCAGAACTCCATATTCCTTCAGCTTGAGATGCGTCGCAAGATATTCCAAGTCTTTGGGGTGATCGAGAAGCGTTCGTCCGGGTTGAGGGGTGCTCAAACCCATTCCTGGGCGGTCCGTTGCAATAAGTCGAGCACCAACATCCAAAGCTGCCTCATGAAGGTGACCAGCTTCTATTCGGGAGCCTGGGAGGCCATGACAGTAGAAGATGGGCTTTCCGGTCGAGAGCCCGAATTGTGCATAGCCTAGTTTTCGGCCATCTGGCAGCGTGATAGTATCAGAAGTGTCAGGCTCGGGAACCAACCTCGGACCCGAATGTCGAGGTGATGATGCCTCTGTATTGGCACCTGTGTTGTTATTCCCAAACAGCAGTGACTTGATGTATGATATTGACATTATGGTGGATGCGGTACAGCGCTAAAACCTCAAGGGGTCATCCAAATGTGAGCGCTACGGATGGGGTTAACACTTATACATATATTTCGTCGAATATCATAGTGCTTATGTCGGTCCGGAAGGATGCGGCATGGGCATGAAGATCGCGAATGATTTGGTCGCATCGGGCTAGACTTCCGAAAGTGCCCGATTCTGCGCACGGGGCTCAGACAATGGTAGTTCAACTTCGAGGCGTACATCGACCCGGCGTTGTAAGCACACGTGAACCTGTGAGCCATCAGCTGAACTCTGTAAAGTCTTTCATCGATTGACCAGCATGCCTCGTAGGGGTCGGAAGATGAAAAGCTCTAGAAGATGCCCCGGGTTTGATGCAAGACCCGGTGGAGCTTGGAGGGTGATCATGATGGGGTAGCGGGCAACAAGCCCCACTGATCCCGTCCAAGGATACCATGAACTAATTTAAAGCTTATCGAACTAAAACGAGTCTCCGCTGAGCCAAATTTGACGTCCGCGCCCCCTCGAGTTCCTTCCTCACAGTCACTATAACTCAAGACACCTTTAACGCATAAGAAATGAACTGAAACTAAATACTTCAAAAGTGTTACGACTATGAAGTATCACTTCTAAGAATGGTTCCATGTCTATCATGTAGAAGGAATCTCAAAGTGATAGCACATCGTCAGTTTTTGGCTATTATTGTCTGAACCGCGAGACTTTCACAGCGTATAAGCCATTGAAATCGAACCTTCCGCACCACAAGATCTATCTATAGTCTATATATCCCCAGTTCTCCCGGAAGTGTCTATTATTCCCAAGTATACTTTGACGAAATTCCGTTACCGCCTGTAACGACGAGCCTAATCGGGCTTTGAAAATTGATGCCCAAGCCCCAACAGGTCTGCTTGTGTAACAATGCAGTCAAATTCCTTAGCCGCAATAGATTCGATAATTCGGTGCAATTGCTCCGATATTTCTTCTATCTCCTTAGTGATTCTCTCTCGACGTGCCCCGGGACTTTCGAAATTACTCGTGCACACCAACGTGATGTCTTCCGTAGGATTAACTCCAGTTCTTTGATTGAACAGGAACTCTATCCTAGAAAATGTTTCCATCTTCTTTCTTATTGTCTTATCCCCCCGTTTGCGAGTTCTGGTTTTGAGATGGTCGTCAGTACTGGTGCTGCATCAAGACCCAGCTGGAATCACTGGTCCTTGAGAGTGAAGCATAATGCTTGTAGAGAAATCAGAAGGTTTGAGCAGGTTTTACCTTTGACTACTGAGTATTTTCATCGCTGTGATAGTCTGATAGATGGTAGGATTTTCCTGAAAGACTGAAAATTTTCTTCTCCAAGATTGTAACAGCAATGCGAGGATGGTCTTGAACGAATACTACTTGAAGTAAACGCTCACAGAAGCTATGAAATGGTTCTAGCGTGGAAGTTGAGAAGACCGTCACGCTCGGGGAAATGGGTATTCCAGTCTTTTTAGGGGAAACGTAAGAAATTTGCGTCAGCTGATGGACGAGAACCATCGGAACGACAACGAATTCCAGGGACCTGCGGACTCGGAGATCTCCATAGAGGAGCGTTGATCACTGAAAGTATTGGTCTCAGGTCCCGCTCTGAGCCTCAACACTGGGCCAAGATAGGTGAATTAGTGTAGCCTCTCCGGGCAAATTAGTAGAAAAGTCGTTGCGTAAAACAGTCTTACCCTTGATCGACAGCTAACGAGTCCATCAATCCGCATGCTTCTGGAGTCAGAAAGTCAGTATCGGTCGTAAGCATGACATGTTTTCAGCTTGGTCGGTGCCCAGGGGCCAGCGGCCATTCTCACCGATGTCTGAGGTAGGCTGGCCAAGAGTCGGCTTAGGCCAGCTCAGCGCATCGTGCGTGTCTCAACAAAAGAACCCGACAAGAAAGCTTTGGGAGCAGATGCTTTGGTATCAGAGTCAAAAGTACCTAGGCACATGCTAGGTAGCTAGGTATGCAGTAGAAGTACTGTAATAGCGATGTGAAGTCGATTCGTTCCGTGATGGTTTCCATGACTCGGACTTGAGACAACGACGACGCATGTCTCTGTTTATCAAAGCAATTGCAGCCGCGGATCCCGGTACCAGAAGCTAGAAACAAGCCCGGCCAGCCTCAGCCTTGTGGATTTGTGTCGCGTGTCGTGATAAGGAATTTTGCCCAAAACTAGGTGAAACTGAATTGAATTGACGGAAAGAGCTGAGAAAGATGGGAAATATCTACATCATTTCAGATTCAAGAGGCTACTGCACCGCAGCTCAAATGGCATTTGCAGAGACTAAGGTAATGCACTCTCTGCTTCACAGCGTCTGCGACGTTGTCCATTTCAGAATTGCTGCATGTGACGGACGGTAGGACAACTAAGGCAGGGCTGTATTGAAGCAGCCTAGCAGTCAAGATCTTTAGCTTTTCATAAAGCCAATTGGTAACACGTTGTACATAACCAGGGCACAGGTCCTGAGACAGATGTCAGACCCTGGCGAATAGAGATAAGGTAGGTACTTGGCATGGCCATTAAGTGGCTTACGTTACTGTTATTCCCTTTTCCTTCGATCCAGCTTCGGAACTTCCGAAGCCTCTGTATTGACAGTAATGCCATGCTAGGCCCTAGAGCGACTCTCAGTCAGGAACGAGGCTCGGAATAAGACTGGGAACACTGTCCCATTGCGGATCAAAGTTCCTGGCGGTCGGTGGACGTGTGAAAAACCCTGGGCCTTGTAGAAATCCCTATCGGACTGAAAATGATATCGATGTGCCTCACATTGAATGAACTTCATGTCTTGCGAGCCTATGGAAGCCTTCCGTGAATGCGTTCAGCCGCTCGGGCCGGAACATGGGTCATCGCACTGGGCAGAATGACCCCACGTCGGCCCGGGACGAGGCCTGGATGCGACGAGTGCTCAAGGTACGGTACCCACGATACCTCACCCTGATGTTCGAATCTTCAGTGCTTTTGTGAAAACTTCAACCTGAGATACCTTGCTATGAAGCAATTACGGAAACGCAAAAATTCATGACAAAAACTTTCCAGCACTAAAGCCACACGTGACGCCAGATCTTGCACTTGTTGCTCGAGCATGGTCATTGCTCCTTCTGTTCAGCACATCCCCACACGGGCGGTTCCTGCCCCGAGAATATCTCCGACCTTCCATGACAGGACCAGTGCCTGCCTATTTCAATCTCAAAAGAGAAGAGCGACCTCTCCTGCGACCATGGGCCGGTCGCATGTGTACCTTGTACCTTGTTCATAACTGAGGTGTCTTGAGAAAGAACTTCAGCCGTTTCTCAGACGACCTGCTGTCAGGTGTCAGGCTGGCCTCCCTCCACGTGCCTTCCCACCCATTAAAGCAGGTCCCGTCCTACGCTATGTGGCGCTTCAACTTCCTCGTCATCAATGGAGAACTTTCGACCTGCTTCTAGCAACAACATTGGCACAAAGTTTGTCGCTCCAACATCGAGTACAGCCAAGGGTATATCGCTTGCTTCTAAGAACCATGGGATGGAATGCATCACTTTGCACCTTGCTGAAGTCTCGCGTCGACTTCTCTCGCAGCGACACGTGCACGAGCTTCGTACTCCCCAGTCCTGTTTGGCGCGTTCCGGCTGAGTCTCCGGTACAAGCTGGAATCCGTCTCAACAAATTCAGTGATACGGGACTGGGACTGTGCGGCCTGATCCGCTGGATTTGTCGTCGCTCTAAAAACAGATCAGAATCGGGGAACAGCGGGACAGGTAAGACACGGTAACGAACCTTGTCGTGGAAGCGCCATTGACAAGGACGGAGACTTCAGAGGCAGGCATACTGCAGCTGCAAAGATATGTGATAAGAAATAAGATGTTTTTGAAACGTATCGTCGTAATGGGAGTATTTTGACTGCTAATTCGCTGTTGTAGATGACTCAATTTCGATGGTCTGATTGAAGGGGAGAAAGCCACCAAGTTCACTGCAGGGTCGCACGTACTTATGGCCGACAACTGATCGTGAGGCGAGGTCCAACGCACTCACTCGCTCGTCCATCGTGCTATGCAGCGGGATTCTCGAAGAAAGAACTTTACAGTCACACCAGTTACATGGCCTCAATCTCACGACAGAAAGGCCAACAAGCCCTCGCGGCAGCCTCAAAGTTTCTCAGTGCCGTGGGCCTAGCTCCAATACCAAGCCTGGGACGAATCCAATTGGATGTTGTGCCGAGTCGATGAACGACCCGCCCAAGGCCATGTACGGGGGAAAAGGCACAAGATTCCCGGGGTCATTGCGAAAAGGAGTCGGACTGGCACTTGTCGGTGTCACCGACCCTGCATCTCTGATGGACCGCTTAGGATCGTGGGAGGGTGAACTCGGACCATCGCTTCACCCACCAGTCCGTCGACCATTCTAGCCTCACATGACAAAGTCGGCTGCAAGTTACCTGCGGATGCCTTGCGATGAATTCATTGCCGCGGAATTTCCAGCTACTCGGCGACCTGTTTGGGCGGGTTCATTGCGATTGGCAGTGTATCTGTCAAGCTTCACCGCGGAAGCAAGGCCATGCATCCGGCACCAGCATGCCGGCGCTCAACATTGACCGAGGAGCCATTCCCTCAAAGACTGCCCCAGGGCCCTCGGGTCACACATCCCATACTCCCCTTAGAACGTGCCTATTGAATTGAGTATGGCTCGGAGGTCGACAAGGAACTCTGCGCCAGTGGAACGGCCCATGCCGGGGCCACGTTGTTTGGCCCCATGTGGCTACCGTCGCCACATATACGCTTGCCTATTTGGGTGTTGCGGAGGCAAAGGTACGGCCTCATCAGTTCACTCTGAGGATGTGCCAATCGGATTTGGGAGAAACACCATCCCCATACCCAGGCAGTCTTGCGCTGCATCGGCAATGCACGGATACGTCCCTATTAGCGAGGGCAATCTGAGGCCAAGGACGATTACTCTTGCCGCCCTCCCCCGTCTGGAAAGTGAGATGTGGAGAAGCCGCCTCCACATGAGGCCCTTCTTCCGCCTCTCGATCGACATGCCAGATATAACACCGTGAGTACTACATCGAGCTGTATTACACCTCCAAGTGCATGCATACTGCGAACAAGATGCACGAGAGGGAAGAGCAAGGCCTCTTAGAGGGAGTGACGAGACTTGGCTGATGTTAATTGACACCCCATACTCATTACAGATTCCGCCTTGTTTGCGCCCTTGAGAGGGTTGGGCGCTCGGAGCGACGTGCCACCGCCGGTTGCTGCAACCAACCAACCCCCCCGCGTGTGCCACCCAAGAGCCTGAGACGACACAGATGGTATTGAAAAATCAATCTATCTCGGAAGCCGGTTGCGATAAGCGTGAGAGTTCTTCGATGAGCCAGTCCTAGGCCTGAAGCTGGCGCAAAAGGCTGACTAGTACTTCGGAGGATTCAAGGCTTTGGAGTTGGCTTAAGCGTTTAGGGTTCATCCGTTCCCGCGCCGCCAAAGCTATGGTCTCACGTCATGACGTCGACCTTGACAAGCATTACCCCTCATTGACTTCAGATGACAGGAAATGCTTGGGTCTCCCACACAACCAAGATATTCATGAATCGCTCCTCAGGCCGTCCCCACGTCGTTTGCCATCGCACCATCCCGTCCACGACTTCTCGGTGAGAGGGCGCGTGTCGGTGTAGCAGCATTCTACACTGGCGTGGCACAGCTTTGCGTGTGTTGCACCTCCTCGACTGCAACAAGATGATGCGCTTCTAGGCCTTGTGCTCGGCCACGTTTCCTCGCAGGGGTACGGCCGTACTATAGTTTGAAAGGACCGAACTGCATATAAGATGATAAGGTCATTTCACAATATCAGTTTTCAGATCAGGTCATGCCTCCAGCATGCCGCTTCACGATGATCTCCCCGCAAACACTCATCACTGGTCCCTACTCGAAGCCTCGCATCAATCTAGGCAACTTTTGGCGAAAAAGCGCTCGGCAATACGTGCATTAGGCCCCGGTTCCTCTCACGAGTAAAGCAAATGATGTTTGTGCTTTCTCCCCTTCGCTTATGGTCATCAATATGTACAAGAAATGGAAAATAGTTCACCGTGCAAAACCGTCCAGGCTGGGCCCCATGTCACAGGTGAGCTTCGCTAGCGCTCTCCACTCGGTCAAGGTGTGCATATCCGGATCTAGAACCCTGCAGGCGGTTGACTGGAGGCGAAATTCCGACGATGCTGTCTAGACAAAAACGTCATTTTGAGCACCTGGCTGGAAGCCCATCCTGGCGTTGTACCCGGGACTGTACCCGATGTCCGGAACGTTGTTCCCTTCGGCTTCTGCCAAGACTTTAGCATCTGGACGCGAGGATCAGGGCGTCATCGTCACTCGACAACTCACGATTCCAGGCAATCATTTGTTTCGGTCCAGCGACACACTTCTTCGAATCATCTCGGCAAGCGACAGGCGGCTTAGCGACTCCTAGTGTCTTCGTGGAAACGGCGTTGGTAACATTGCATCTAAAGTTCTGCATGTACCTTTTTCTGCTTGTCAGCATCTTCTCCTCTGATCGTGCCTGGTCACGATGACTTACATGTTTGGCTGGCCACCTGTGATTCACGAGTCAGTCAAATGCGCCAAGCGAGGCCATAAGCGAGGGTGATCTTACATCCATCTGGCACCCAGAGCCAGGCGCAGTAGCAACCTCCCACCGGGCAGGCAGGCAAGTCTGGGACTTGGTACGAAGTCACGCGTTTCCAAGGAGTACTGTTTTGGACCAACGTCAGCTGCTAACCTTTGGCATCAGACAGGCAGAACGTACTGCTCGACAACTGAAAAGACGACGAGGTTTTCCATCGTAACCTTCTTGATATCCGACTGATAGCTGATGGCGAATGCTGTGCCGGCCGTGGTGGTGTAGTTCTGCGTGTGCATCGCCCCGCCCTTCCCGTCCGGGTTATCGACGAGACACTTGCCCGGCCCGGGCGCGTGCCAGTCTTCCGGGTGTTCGCTGCAGTCCGGCCACTGCGTCGCGGTCTTGCCGCCGTAAGAAAGGCTTGTACAGCCGCGGTTGGCTCCGAGATCGACGGTGAACTTGCCCCGGGCGGGTAAGTTGAGGAACTGGCCCGCCGGAGGAGGCACCTTGTCGCATCCGCGGTCGGCTTGCATCCACCACTTGGCTTTCGGGAGTTGGTAGAGCGGGTTGACTACCAGGTTGGTGTTGGAATCGTCTACAGCGGTATTGTTCCCGCCCTGTCATTTGCTCGCTTCAGCATCATGCTTACCACAAGAGAGGATCCATGGGCCATGGCACTGAGAGACTCACTCGGCAATACATGCCATCAGCCCAAGCGGCGATGTGCCCCTCAACCAGACCGGCGGCGGCCAGCGCTGAAACAAGGCCAAGTGAGATCTTCATTGTGTCTTGACGGTGTCTCGATGACGACTATCAGATGGCAGTGGCTGACTGAGAGACCTGTGCACGGGAGCTGGATTCCCGTAAAAGGAGTGGACGGAGAGCAGTTGTCTCAAAGGGAGGGACTAAGCCTCTAGGGCTTGGGCTCGAAAAGAAGGAGAGGTGATGAGCGATCTGGCCGTATTGCACAAGATGCGGGGAACAACATGTTCTCTTTGGAAGGCGACGAGCAGCCTCTTATAAACATCGCAAGTAAGGTCGCGTCTCGGAGAAATCGAGATTAAGGAAGTTCGTGGCGCTGACACCGTCCGTGCTGATCAATAAGCTACCCCATATCGCGTGTCTGGGCGTTTGACACTTTCCTTCCGTCGTAATTGCGTTACGATGGATCATGGCAGGCAGTAGCTTAAATCCTGAGCCGTTCCTTCCCAACTTTCCACATCCAGCTCCTTCCTCCTCACCTTCACGTCGCTTCTGCCCACCTTCATCTGAAGAAGGTTAGGGAGCCAATTCACTTGATTCTATCACCAGCACCCCCGGTCTGTTCCCTACCTAAATTGGCCGAGTGGTTTCGACTCTGACGCAGAGTCGACACAAAGAAATACTCCAATGAAGCAGTGCTGGTCCGAGGGGCGCGCTGTTCAAATCTGGGCAGGGGCGTGAATTCTCGAGTAAGTCATCACCAGCCCTCCTCTCCTTTCCTTTTTGCTTTGGAAAATTTTTGTATTAAAGTCATTTGAGAGCTGCCTGCCCCTTTCTTGTGGATATGGGGAAGCGGAACTCCGCTGCGGTGAACTGTCTTCCCGGGATCCGCCCACGACCCTTTGCTGAAATCCACTGCCGGTGATATATAGAACCGCGAGGAAGCTCGGTCGGTCGTGTGCATGCCATATGTCTGAGCACTCGCCAAGGACACTCGATGACTTTCCCACTTTTTGTCCTAAAACAAGACGAGGTGCGGAAATTGAAACCATCCATCAAACGATTGGAAACGCGATCGCGGGGTCGATACAAGATTGACGTCGTTTCAAGGCTCGCACTTGTGGCGCTCTAACCTCAATGAACAACGTTTTTCGAAGCACCTAGCGATCCTTCGACTAGAGTCACGCCAACGCACAGAACAAGGGCAAAAAGAAACCTTCTTCCCAGAGATCGGGACCGGACGGCGGCTGTGGCTGCACCATTCCTACCTGTCCGTGCGGTCCCACAGACGGCGCAACGGCACCGGTGATCACATGTCAACGGCCCGCTCCCGGTGAACGGGCGACCAGGCGTCCCATGAGACGGCATCCCCGGACGAGGTATCGAGAGATCTGGGCATCCAGAGATCTTGTCATACCCCAACCCTTACATTCAGCCAGACATGGATGTCGGTGTAGCTGCCAGCGTCAGCGGCTCTGCTTTGTCAGACATCGAACGAATCATCATCGCGCGGTCGGTCATTGACTGTCCCGATTAAACTCGTGCCGAGGGTACGCCGTAGACAGATCTACGTATCCCCTGAAACCAGATCGGAACAAATCAAAAGTGCCGGGATTCCTTTTCGCTTGACAAAGTGCCGGTTCGCCTTAGTGTCGGGGGACCAAGCGTGAAAGCGCACTGGCTGGCTAAATTCCAGACGGCTGCGTCTCGGGCCTAATTTTCAGCTAGACAAGAACAACATGCAGGCTCAAGGCCACGAACGATTTCCGGACTCACAACAACTTCTCTGAACCTCTCACTGAATGGTCAGCAATGTCATCGGCCCTTGTTCGGCTGAGTTCTCGTCGCCCTACAAGGCGTGCAGGGATTTGCGGCCCACTAACAATTAGCATCATCGCGGGGTTCAGTGGAGAAGATCAAGCGAGGTCCAGGACGGATAAGGTACCTTGCAAACGCTAATGCCATTCCCCATTCTCCAGGCGGCCAGGCCAGGGTGTCAACTACCCACTCTTCGTGTTGGGAGGAAAGTCGCGGAGGGGAGGAGGCCCGGTGTTGAGCAGAACGAGTTACTGGTCCAGTAGTTGTTTGGAGTGGTAGACAGATAAGCACCACCCCTCCAAACGTGCACGACCTTGACCAAGCAAAAGCAAAGTTTGGTTGGGGTCTAGGACTAGGATGTCGAAAATGGGCCGCGCGTGCCCTCCCGTTCAGCTTCGCGGATAGCTGGCCAATGATCCACGGCTCGTCTTGGAAAGAGCCTTGTTGCGTGGACTTAGCAGCCGAGACGCGCGTGCCTTTCGTGGACACTTGCGCTTTTTGCGTCACCTGTGCCCATGGAGTTTGGTATCGGGCCTTGTTTTTCCTTTGCGTAATAATGAGTCGTCGTTAGCGCGCGGTGGGTTGGGCATAGAGATACAAGACATCATCAAGGCCATCGATTTCTGTCGACATCACCGAGACCATCGATTTCTGTGGTGCCGCACGCATCGCAAAGCTGAATTCCGCGGACTGTCGTGGGTTGCAGGTCTCGGAGCGGCGCAGGGTTGCATAGGGGTAGTTGACTCGTGATGGGGCCACATAGAATGTAGGGAACATTGCATCTATTTGCAAATTAAATAATCCTCGAAACCTTTTGATACATGATACACCTTCGAGTAACCAGCTTGCCCTTGGTGGACGTTGAAAATCGGTACATCCTTTCCTAAGCACATAATGATAGATGAAAGTACTCTGGGGATTGTTTTCTCTAAGCTCGATAATTGAAACAATGAGGAACGACATTACTGTAGGAGGCATTTGGAGAAACAACGAGGTTAGACTAGCCAGAAGGAAATATAGTGACAGGTTGTAGTGTACACGGGATCTGGAAGTGACAGCGGGGTATGCTTGAGTGCACGAGTGTTTCGTCGTAGTCGTTTATGGGAGTTTCGCGAAGTGTTGACCAAGCTTGTCTTCAAGGGTCTGAGTTTTGGATTGGCCATCGTGGAGACGGGAAATTAGATCGTCCTTGTTGTCTCCGTTAAACATGTCGAGGCGGACTTTTCGTGAGGGTTTTTCGTCGGAGGGAGACTTTCCGGCAGACTTGCTGCTGCTGTCAAAAGTTAGTCACTAGTAAAAGGAGAGTCCATTCGCGACAGTTGGGAGATGAAACAAGTGTCTTACGAGCTTCCAGTATGGTTATGTTGTGAGGATGTGAAGCTAGCTGGCATGGTGACGATGCTGCGTAATTCTGAAAGAGAACAAAGCGAACAGTAAAGTATAGAGAAGTTGATGACCGTGGTGACGAAGTTGAAGCTGAGGGATCGTTTGAATTTCAGACGTTGAGCATTCGCTTGACGCACATCAAGGAGGTGTTTGGGCCTTCTTTCAGGGGAGGAACAGAGAGAGCAGATGGCTACAGAGTAAATCTCATAATGGAGGTCAAGTGGCGAAAGATAGAATTTAAGTGAATGAACGTGAAAGTGTTGCTAGGAACAAGAGAGTTGTCGGCGGCCCAGATTTGGACGCCTTCTGGAAGCGGTCAAAAGGGCATGAAGGGCGTGAAGTGCGTGGGGGAGAACAGATGAGAGATGGGCGGTGACGGCCAAGGCATAGAACACGGCACTGAGTACCGACCAAGATAGTGATGGCTACTTAGACACACAGTCCATCGAAAGGAGAGGCAGGGGGGGCGGGATGACAGACAAGCACCCCGGATACTTGGCAACTTGCCCAGTACCCAAGTCTCCTTTCAGTTCAAGCGTCGGTATTGTGAGTCGTCAAGTCCGGCATTGGCCTTGTGCCTGACTGTCAGAAGAACTTGATTCGGAGATCATTGTGCCTTTTGGTACCTATCTTTCCTGCCTGCAGGGCTAGCGGTCGGGATAAGTTCAGGAACAGGGCCATGTATTGTGTACATCATGAACGTAGCCAGTAGGTGGCAAATCTAACAGGTGCAATTTCGTAGGATGCATCAGACTGAGACATAGGCGTCGTTGCGTCTGGAGTGTTGCTAGAGGAGGATAAACAGGGTGGAGAACACTGGGGGAAAGGGTGGCGCGCAGGTGAGAGGAATGATGATGGAAGTATGGAGAGGTAAGGCGAAGAAAGCGGGTGATCGTGCTTGACAGAAAACTAAGGTAAGGTAGGTAAGTGGTGTGGTAGTCTATCAGTGGGAAGTGCAGCGTCCGCAAAGCAACAAAGCCACCCTGGGAAAAGCCCCCAAATTGGATGGGGATGCTCCAAAAGCTTTCTTTTCGCGACTGCGCCCGAGGAGCTTGCAGACAGACCAATGCAGGGATTTGGGTAAGTCATGTTTCCCACTTGGAGAAATGTCGCCTTCATGGGTCAAATTGTCTTGAGTTCACACCCAGTACATCCTTGAAGGAGAGAACAGGGCGGGCTCGAAGAAGTGCGGGGAAAGGGCGACGGTTTTCTTGTAGCCACACCCCCGGATGCGTCTTGCTGCGCACGCGGCGCAGACGTGATAAAGAAGTCCTTCAGTACGGGAGGCTTGGTGCTAAAGCGCTCAATGCTGAAAAGCGGTGAGCTTTAAAGAGGCCAATAGTCTTTCTCGGACGCCACAATGCGCAATCAAGGTCGCCGGTAACTGAAGATGACTGAGAAGGCTCTGAATGGCTTCTGAAGGAACTGGTGGGAGGGTGTTCGGCGAAGGAAGCTATTCTTTTGAACCAACCACGCGTAGAGACCGCCATAGGATGATTGTCCTCGTCCGTGGATCCTGTCCGGTAGCAGCGGGGAGCGGGCTGGTTATCGATCAGCCCGCAGTCGTCAAGTTGACGGCGGGCGTAGTTGGAGGCGAATATTGGGTCCGACATGGACGGACAATGGTAGAGTGAGCTTTGGTAGTCGGATTTGGCCCCTGTAGCTGGCCAAGGTAGACAGCGTCGGTCATTAGCAAAGAAATACGAAGGGTTGAACAACTCACGATCAGCAGATTAGATTCGAAACAAGCCAAAAGTGCCGTAGGTGGTTGGGTGGTCGAAGGGGTCGAGGCAGGGTTGTTGTTCGGGGTGGTAGTCCGTATCCGTAGCGGCGAAAAGCTGGCCTGCGAAAAAAGTACGCTAGACTGACCGATGCCAGGTAAAGATGTTGAGCAGAGGCTGTGAGATTGTGGAATTGTGGTATTGCGGGATTGTGAGGATGTGAGAATGTGAGAATGTGACTTACTGCGGGCTGAAGGCTAAGGCCGGTAGAGCCGCGATATGAGGATGGGAAGGGGCGGAGACGAAGCCGGCTCGGATGGGACATGGATAGAGGACGGAAGGCGGTGGGGACTGAGGAGAGCTTTGTGCGTGATGTCCGAGGCAGAGAGAGGCAGGAAAAGGGCGAGGTCATCCGCTTTCTCCTGCCTTTCTACCTTACCTTAAAGGTACTTTACTCCAAGTTCTGAACACTCGCCCAATTGGCAGGCACCCGAGGCACCAGATGAGTCCACGCTGGATGGATCCCGTACCAAATGGGTTCGTACCAAGTAATTCCGTGCCAGGCGGGATGGGCCATTCATCCCTGTCCTGTCCCCTGGTCGGCCCCTGGAGCTTCTTTTTTTTTTTTTTTTCCAAGGGCCACCCATGTTTGGAGCTTCTATTCTCTCTTCTGGATAGAATCATCACGACCGGCCTCGTCTGGCAGGCTCCAAAGCTACCTACTTGGTCCTCAGGGATCAATTTAACCTCCCTACCAGGTACGCAGTAGCACCGTATACGCTCAGCATGAGGCGGGACTCACAATGTCGTAGTTCCTTGTCCCCTTCACCTTGTCACATTAATCCTCGCCAGCCCAGGTGGTAGTTTGTCATTTCTACCTGGCCCCACGACACCCGCCCTCTACTAGCACCGCTCGGGCCTTCAACACACGAAGATGGAGAGGAATGCTGACCGGTAGCAGTACATAAACATCCGAACCCTGCGCGCGACAGCACGGCTTCGCCCAAACAACCTTGGCAGCGATGCCACGGCGCCACGTGGCATACAATCAATATCCTTGATCCCTCGCTTCGAAGATCCCCGTCATCGCCCTGGAGTAGAAACCAGAATAGAACCCCCAAAGAAGCTATGATGCATGATATCTTGACCACACTAGCGCTAGGCTGAGATACGCAGACGGTAGTAGTCCGTTAGGGTGTCGTTGAGAATTGCTTCAAGCCGGTTCACCAATCTGGGTCGTATGCATCTGAGAGTTTATGTCGGGATGTCGGGAATGAATATGTTATGCAACCCCCTAACCCGATTCATATCTACAAGACGCTTGTACCTCAGAGCTAAAGGCCATTGGCAGCATGTCCTCACGAACTTTTTCAACCGCAATCATCACAGGCAAGAATTCACGTACGCTGTCAACATCTTTGGCGCCTTGCACTGCCAGCACACGATCGGTCGCCCGTCACTCCAGTTTTTACACTTCAAGTGAGGATCCTGTGAATGATCACGCCGTTTCTGATTCTCGACGGAGGCTACGAAGGGCGGTGAGTGAACCAAACTCGATGACATAGCCATGAGCGAGGTCATCACGCCTAGTGATGAGAGTTTGCAGCATCGCCACTATTCATGCTTTCTCCTCGTAGGGTGAGCGACACCTTTCATGTACCGCCCGAACCCGAGCAGCTGGACCGATGGAGTACCGCATCCCGCCATTATGCAAGCAGCCGCAGAACACATCCTACAATACAGCAAATGCGAATGAAGCTGGTTCCGTAACACAGCTCCGGCCTAGTCGTCCAGTGTCCAGGGCCACAACCTGATGTACCTGATAACGCAGCCAAACCAGCTCCCGAGCAAGTCTTGCTGCGAACCTGTCAGTACGACGGCGAAGACCAAGGTACCCCGGCACGGTGGTCTTCTTCTCCCAATCACGCTCTTCGCCGCGACTGATAGGGTTAATGAGAAGGTGGCCACGCATCATGCGGCCGTCCCAACACGCAAAATTTTGCCCGCCGGTCCAGGCTGCCGCTGGCTGCAACCACCATCCCTGACCGGTTCTGAACTCGCCAGCCCATCACCACATATCCTCTCCACCACTTGGCCAATGTCGAGCGGATTACCAAAATGTTGCCTATCAAGAAGACTCCACAGCTTGAAACACGCCACAGCAATAAAACATGTCCAAAGACCTCCACGAACATTCTGAAACCTGACAACCAAGACAGCCTCGTATCATCCATGCCATATGGCGGTGAGTGAGAAAGGGAAAGCTGCCATTTCCACCGGGCAACATCGTTGCAGATCGATAACTGCAATCGACCGTGTTCGTCGAAGTCACTTTTTCTTCATGGATCGGTAGCGGGCCTCATTTTGCTTCTTCCAATTCTGCACTTTTCACCATTGCTTTTTCTTGACGGCCGCAGGATACTCAATGGTTTGATCGCTGCCTTTTGGGCCCGGCGCTGCCAGGAATTGCCAGGCAAGAGGCGCGCAGGCATGTCGGTCTTGTTGCGATCGTGGTGACTATTTCGACGGCAAAACGGCCTGTTTTGTTGATGGGTTTTCTACGCCCAGGGCACAACAGGCTGGTATCCGGCCATCGTCCTTACTGCCTCTCCTTCTTGAGCCTCATCAACTTACCCCTGAGCTACTGTAGTTTTTCGTGTCATCCTTCAATACAAGGGCAATTGCCGGAGCGATCAGGCAAACATCTCGGGAGACCGACGCGGCCCCTGAGGCGAAACCGTCGACCATGCGCCCGTGGGAGGCGAGTACGGGTGTCCCGCTGGCCTCCCCTGTCTGTCTGTGCCGCACTATACCGACTCGAAGCGGGCGCCCAAGTTCTCTTGTTCCCTGGCTTCTCAGTCACTTTCGCTTGTCAAAATCTCGGCCTTGGTTGATGGTGTGCGAGTGGCCCCTCATGTTGCATCCCAACTGCTCTACCCACACAAATCCGGATTGGGCGAGATGCAGCTTGCGCCTGGTTCCTGCCGTCCTGCCATAAGTGACATTCTTGCCGCAGCTCTCCAGACCGCTATTCCGGATATCGATTCAAAACAGAATGCAAGATCCTGCTGGCCGAACGCCTCACTGCGCGACACCTTTTGTGTACTTATGCATACCTGGTGACTACACGTTCGGTTCATCGGCTGGTACCATGCCAAGAAAAGCTTCCTCGGAGCCTTGCTGAGGTATCATTGCTGGACCCGAAGGATCTCTGGCAATTCATTTGTCGAAACAATTCGATATCGCTTCTAGCGGCCACTCTGTGGTTGGTAAGCGTTGCTGTCGTTTCCATTGTCAGTCATTATGTGACATCTTTGATTGTGTTCACCTTCTTGTGTCCTGACCGAAGGTCTATGCATCGGTCACATATCCTTTGGCGAATCACTTTTGATCAAAGCGTATCGGCTTCCTTTGTTAGATATTATATGGGGGGACGCACAAAGACGTTGAGAAACCACGTCCGAACTCAATACATCTGTACTTTGTGGTCCAGAAACAAAGAACCAAGATTACGGTGCGACCCTGAGCAGGCTAGATTCTTCGAAGAAGGTCTTCATAAGCCCAGAGGCTCACCGGCTGTTGTTTCTTCTTCTCCCATCCTAAACGAAGTCAGACCATCAAAAGCCAACTACCATTACACACCTACAAGCATTACCAGGTAGATCTCCACTCCTATCTCTGCTAACATCATTCACAGAACCAAACCCAAAAACAAAATGCCTCCTCACGAACCTCTCAGATACACGCTCGCTCCCCGCGTACTTGGCAACTTTGACGGCGTCACCTGCCCAGGCGCCAAACGCCTCGTGATAGGCCTCGTAGTCGTCTCGGTCATCTGCTTCTTGGCAATCTATTTCGCAGTACACTTCCGCATTCACTTAGCGCGCGACAAAAAGACTTTCTGTTCCCTCGCCATGGACCTCGAAGAGCTCCAAAAAGTCCACAAGACGCTCAAGAACCAGCACGAATTCATCCGTGAGGACTCTCGCAACTTGCAGATGACGCTAGACTTTTACACCAAGGAGTTTGGTATGCACCCGCGCCATAATCAATTGAGATTCGAGCCTGGGCATCAACAGCAGGCCTCGGGTATGACTGACGCCGGCGGTCTTTCGGGCCATGGAGGCGTGCGGGAGGATGAGGACGTCTTTGTGGTTCAAAGCCCTTCCGAGGAGTCCGTAAGAGGCGGGGGTGAGGAGGGTGATATTCCGGCCGATGGTGACCGTGTTCCACGGTACAGCGAGGAGCAGAAGAAGAAGGCGAAGCCGCCACGTATTGAGGCGATTGCAGCTGGTATGCAAGATGTTCCTCTGACGCCCCCCGCTCAGGGGCAAGGTCTTAGGTAGGTTCTCTTTTTATCATGTCTAATTAGGATTATTGGCCGCCAGACTATGGGGTCCCAGTCTCACAGGCAGAAGATTATAGGCATATCAGTGCGCGATTTCAGCGTTTACTCGGGACTCGCTTCGCTAAGGTACCCGACATCACAGAGTCAGTAAGGTGAGTTGCAGAGTTTGAATTTGACGCACTCTCTTATTTACTTTAAGGGCTTTGCACTATTAATATATATTGAATGAGTCCATGTTCTCCGGTTCAATCAAATGAAAATATTTTTGAATCGTGACTGCGAAGGGAGCCCGTCTTCCAGGTTCCTACCCCGTCCATACATGTAAGAGCCAAAGGCGTGTCCCATACCCTACGGTCCGACACATAGCAAAGATTCAGTCCGGTAGTAATTTCCAATTTATATTGCAAAGCTGACACTTTCTTGTACACTGTTAGGGCCGTTATAGATTTAACATTGGAAGCTGCTAGATGGCAGATGCCCCATCTGTTCCCGCCGGCCTTTCGTACCTATCTCCAATTTCACCTTTCTTTGCTAAGAATTTGTTTTGAAGTGCTCTACATACTATCTTTCTAGCGTATCTACTATCTGGTCACAATGAAGTTCACAATACCGTAAGAAATAATATAGTGGGATCTGTGGGAGTTCTATACTGTACCAAGGTAGTTATGGGAAGGAGTTAATGATAAAATAAACCAGGAGCCCGCACATGTTAACTCTTCAGCCTAGTATAAATTCTCTTGTTTCTCTCCTAGTAGTGTGTCTTGAAGTGGTTGACACTCACTCGCTGTCTCGATAACGTTTCACAAATACGTTGGAGAGAAAGCGAGGAACAAAGAAGTAAGGTCTTTGAAGAATTCGGCTTGACGGTTATAGGAGTGTCTCAATCATACGAAGAGTGCCGGTATCACATACAGCCTCACTGCTCGTTACAAAACCGAACGCCCGTTGCCCCGCCGGTATTACCTAGCTGCGGCGCTTACTGAGAAGCCTGAGTTTTTGATGATTATATGTACTGCGGCGGTGGGTGTTTGCATAAGAAGCCAGCACATGAGGCTCTTTCTATTTCGATAAGTCCATGGTCTCTAGCACCGATGACGTTATATTGACTTTAGCAATACCTTGATTGTGCAAGCTCTTTCACATATAGAAAGAAAAGGCTGAAAGGGGATGTTAGAGGGGCTTTCTCTGCCTAGTTCTAAAATATGCCAAAGGTGAAGCCGTGTCTTGCTGCATGGACTTGGCGAGACTACCAGTGTTAACGACATCTCGTTGTTCTCAAAGAAACTATGCAGATAATAAAGAGCCACTCGAAGTGGTTATGAAACACGACGATAGGAACGCTCTCCCACTCATACGTTATTCGTCGACAAACGTAATATCGGACATGACAGGAATAGTAATAGAGGCATCCCATAACATCCATTCATTGTTACGGGCGAAGCTCAGCACTGCATGCTGTGGATTAGACTCTCCCGTCCCGCTTATATGAACGCAATCCTGCTACAAGTCGGGAACTTGTAGTTACGAACCAACTAACTGTGGGTTGAGCTCTACCTTTTCCATGTACTAGTCGAATCTAGTCCTTCGCAGTTGCGAACACAAAATCCAGTTCTAAATATTTCGGATGATCAAGGGGCTAGAAATTTGTCACGACGCAAAGACTTGATCGTCTGTTGAATAATTGCAGCAAAAGGGGGAAGTCACTTGACATAGAGATACAATTAAACAAATAAACCCAGTGCTCAACCTGCAAAACCACTCTCATTTCCTCTCATCACTTCTGTTGAAGAAAGACATGGACCGAGCTAGAGCTTTCAAGAACCAGGGTGTCCGTAACTCGAACCTCTCAAAGGCCGGCCACGTTTGATGTCGAATCCGTGCAAGAAACAACGGCATAAAGGGCCCGAATTGAAGAGTTTTCAATACAATGCTGTCTTTCACTCACAGCCAATCCGACTTTATCTAGACTTGATCATCGGAACAAGGCATTTGTAAACTCGACCTCTTGTTCAGTTCCCGCCGACAAGGAAATGCAACAAAGCAGACCGTGGATAAAACGTGTTTTAAGGACTCGACTTCGATGGAAGTTGAATATTGAGCTTTGAAGGTTGGTTCTATATAGCTTCTGGTCCTTACTCAAGCAAGGAAAGCAGTTTCTCTCATACTCATCACACACTCCAACATTAGCCAGCTTCCATCATGCAGGTGAGAGCTCCCTCGACTTCGTTTGCTAATGTCAAGACAACCCACAAACTTAGGTATTTTCCTCCTCTGCCATAATGGCCGCTCAATTCCCCGCAGCAGTGGTTTGAGGCTCTGAGCGCAATCGAGATTACTTCACAGACTATGGAGCCTGGCCATCAGATCTCTCTCTGACTTTTGCACGTAAGTCACGACCTCGCCTTATTTCACTGACAAACCGCAGGGCATCGTCTTTTCTCGAATGGTGACCTTATACCTGCAGCTGGTGAGTTTTCCGAGTCCCTCAACCTTTGCTGACTAGAAATAGTACATCCGTAGCTTCAAGACCCCGCGAGCCCAATCGCTTGGGTTCTTCCAGTACGTCCTGCCCCCTCCCATACGCTGACTTAACTAGCCGTTTAGACATTCAATCGTAAGCCTTGATGCTATTCTTCTTCTTCGCCTCCACAATACTGATTATCAGGGTTCCCGACCGAAGACGATGAAAGGTTGAAGATATATTTCACCGTAAGTTTTCTTCTTCTTTTCCTACTGACGGAGCTAGACTTTCACGGAGCCCAACCAAAATCTTGAAACAACCCGTCTGTAAGTCCTCAATCTCTCGTCACGCTGACATCCCCAGAAAAAGTACGAGCCTAGCCATCAATCAATAGTCTTGTCTGTGAGTTCTCTACCCTCACTTCTCAAACGCTAGTCACAGGGCTTCATACATCACTTCACATCATGTCAACCCCCGAGTATCGCCACAGAAACTGTAAGTCTCACCAACCCCCTCTCGCACGCTGAAATCAATCTCTTCCAGGCCCCTAAAGACGAAATGCTCACCTCTCAGACGTTCTAAAGATAAGGAGGTATGCACCCCAGCCCCTAATACTGACACGCAAGCCTATAGCCAAATCCTACATCACGAAAAGTTTGTCTATCGATGAGAAAGACGTCACAAGATTCTGCTGAGTGAACGTACAGACGACAAGGTAAGTACCCCTATTCCCGCAAGCTGTCGGCTGACGCAGTAGCCCGGACAACGTCGCCCTCGAGACCCCGAGACGAAGAACGCGATGACCTAGAGGCTGCTGACCGAAAGAGTCTGTCCTACCTCGTCGATCAATGTGACCGATGCGAATCGAGCCGAGTCCAGCGACCGAAACCATATGAGTAATGGCAAATAATCTAAAAGAGTCGGGTTTTGTGTTCATCTTGGTTGAAATAAAGAGTATTGATACGAGGGAACGAGGATTGCGTGGTGGTTCACGGGATTTGGTCATATGATAAGGTCTGGTTAAAGGAAGACTTAGCAAAGGGGGCGAGTTTGGTCAAAAGTTTTCAAGCCCCTTGCAGCGGACTGCTCATCATCTTGACGGTGTGGATCAAGCGAGGCATACGCTCTTTGTTACCAAAATGGAAAATTCATCTCCATTATCTTATTGGAAAATTAGAGTGAAAGTGGTTCAATGCCTAACGCCCTAATCCTACAAATAGCTCTAAAGATATCCCCTTGAGGCCGTAGCAGCCATTACTCATTTCGTCATAGGTAGCCAGTAAACTTAGAAGAACTTGCCCTTGATCCCTCCAAGTACAACGTTCCTCTTCTGCTTGTTAATGTATTTCCCAACATCGTCTGCCCAACCCTGACTCTGGTTTTGCAGGCTGTCCATGCTGTCGTTCATGATGTTCAGCTTCTCGGTACGCTCGTTGAGCTGTCTCGTCAGATAATCACCCCAACCCTCGTTGGATCCTCCCGCGTTACTCGATCCAGGCTGGCCTGCAGAGCGGGCAGCTCTCGCTTCAGCTGCCGCCGCCGCCATCATCCGCCGGCTTGGCGGACGGTTGGGGTCGATCAGGAGGTCGAGGTCAGTCGGAGAGATGTGCTGCGTGCCGGAAAGCCACTGCATGTTCGAGATTGTGGGGCGTGGAGGTGTGACGAGCTCAGGGTTGACGAGGATGTCATCGCTGACCTGAAGATCTTTGGCAGTTCCCCAAACATTGAGGACAGCAATCTCACTAGGGCCGGTCCAGCCGAAGATATCGCCAGTCTGCGTCACTACGGAGGAAAGGGTGCGACTGCCATCGAGCATGGGGAGCGGCGCGTTGCCGATCTCCTTCAGGCCAGGGATGGAGAATGCACGAGTCGTCCGATCACCGAACACACCGACAATAGCGAAGCCATGGAGTTCGAATTCAGTGACGTTTGCTGCATCGCACATAATGTCATCGAAGGTCTTGGAAGCGCCCTTCCCGCCGGCGGGCTTGAAAATTCGAATTTCCGTTTGTGTCACTAGTAGTCTGTCAGTTTCGAATGGCGCAAAAAGTATTGTGTCAAGGGGGCTTACCAGCAATCAGAACGCCATTGACTTGCTGCCCATTTCTGAGTCCCGCAACAATTGGACCCGTCGCAAACGCAGGCCTTCCAGAGTCTGCTTGGATGGGGCAAAGTGCCACAACCTTGCCGTCGAAATGCTGGACGCCAGCTAGTTTGACGGAGTAGCTGTTGCCAGACGGCAGCAACTTGAAAGTAGCCACTTTGCCAAGATTGGTTCCCACGAAACAACATATGCTAGAATAGTTGTCGCCTTCAAGAGTCATGACGCTGAACTCAATGGCTACCGGCCACTCTTTTCCATGAGCATTGCCATGGGATCCCTTCAAGAAAGAAGATCTCTTGGATTGTTGGGCGAATTCCGTCATGGAGATTTGGAAGATGACAGAGGGGCCGCGCAGGTCTATGACACTGAAGAAGCCACCCTCAGAGCCAACACCCACGAATCCCACATCTGAGACACAGGCGGCCGTGATAGGACCTTGCATCATCTCGTACAGTTGCCATGGCTGCAAGCCCTCCTTGAGACCGGGCTCTGCTCTTGAGCTGATGTCCGTCAGCGCTCCCGGGTTAGGTGGCAGATCCTCATGGTGGTCTTTCCCAAAGAATCGGTTGCCGGCCCATCTATAGAGAACCAGTTCGCCCGTACGAGTCCCAACCGCGAATTCACCAGTGTTGGGGGCCATGTTCATCGCCGTGATGTCGATGTCTTCGTAGCGATCCAATGCGCGCGCCACATCAACTTGCAGCATGGTCGGATTCTCGATCTCATCATTATGACCAGCATCCCAAAGTCGCACGGTGCTGTCCCCATGTGCTATCTGGAAGATCGTGCGGCCTTCGTATCTGCGCTTCGGCTTTGCGGTCTCGGCACCACCCTTCAAAAGAGGTTCGCCTTGGTTTCTGGTCTCAACCATGCCCATCCAGCGACCTCTGTCCAGGGTTTGCACAGCAAATTTGTTCACATATGGATGAACGAAGGAGATGGACGGATGCAGCTGGTTTGTGGGACTGATGGGATATCCTGACGGAAAGCTCATCGTCAGCAACTCGCCCGAAGTCAGGAGAGTCATGATCGCAATAGGATCTTGTGCACCGGCGAAATAAGGCGAAGAACGAGGGATGAGGAGGAAGTCGGCGACTTGAGCGCCCGGCGGAGTAGGCAAGGTGATTTGGCGTTTGCCTTTGAGGTGATCCTGGAGAACTTGCCAACTCGAAGTGGCGTAAATCGGCGTCTGGCCTAATTCGATGAAGGTCAGCCCCTCTTGAGGGGATTCAGGGCTTTGACCGCCGGAAATCAAGAGCCCAGTATCATCCGGGTTCTCCTTACAGCACCAAGCAATACGTCCATATGGCTCTGTGTAGCCGACTTGCTCAGCGTTCGGTGCTGCCTGATCGACGTGCATCTCCGTAAGGGTCCTGGCCATGATGATGCGGCCATCCTTGGGATCCCAGAACACCAAACTGCTATCTTCGTGCGCCGTCATGATGAAGGTTCCTGTTGGATGCCAGAGAGCATGGGTGATCCTCGGCCTGCGAACCGTGTCCGGAGGTAGCCCTCCACCACCAGGTGCGCCTGGTTTTAGTACGTATTCGAAGAATTTGAGAGCTTTGTTTTGCTTGAACGAGTAGATAACAATGCCCGTGGTGTACGCGATGAGCATTTGCCCAATATCTCTCGGATGCAAAGAAATGCCCACCAAACCAACAATGCGAGCATTAGGATCTCTCTCCTTCCAAAAGTTCGGTAGCCGGAATGACCTCGCGATGTTTTCCCTATCCAAATCGTAGGCCAAGACCTCTCCGGTGACCATGCCAAGAAAGGCCCAATCAAGCATGGGATCTGTGATGATGGAGACGACCTGACCGGGGCAGACGAGAGCAGCGATGCGCTTCGCAGTGTCGAGGTCCCATACTCCGAGTTCGTTCTTAACATCAAGGGAGACAAGCTTATTGGCGGTGAAGTGGAGTGAGCGGAAGGATGTGTGCCTTGGCGGCTCGAGGACCTTGGAGACTCTGTTTTGGCCAAAGACGAAGATCTTGCCGGGGCCGAACTTGGACTCGTTGGTCGCAATTGCGAGAAGGGACTGGATCGGATCGTAGGCTAGGCAGCTACACCATTTTCAATCAGTCTCGGTCTTCACGTCACAGTCTGCAGCTCGCAATGCCATAGAGTTGACGCGCGTCAACGTGGGGTAGCTTGGCTACTGACCTAACCTGAGAGTTGATTCCATATGCGGACTGGTAATCGGGAGCGAAGAGCTCGGGGATGATTGACGCAGACAGGTCATTCTGCATGCCTGTCTGCTTTTGTCGAAGAAAGGCGGCCATGGTTAGAGAGTGGTGCAAGTTGGATCTGGAGATGTTGGAGGGAGGTCCGGGAAGCTTGGGGGAGGATGCCCCGAACTTTCAATACTTAGGGCGGCCGAGGATCCGCTTGGCGGGGTGCCTGGTGGGCAATGGTCAAAGTCCCTGCAGCGGACCAAACGGACGTCATAAGGTTGCGATTGATCCGTGCGCCATCCAAGCGAAAGCCCAAGCTCCTGCCAAAAATTGACGGGTTATGTAAGCAGGTGTCAACGGCTTCTAGGCCCAGCCAACTCTCCACTATCACCGCCTCATCAACAATATGTCTGAAGGAATAGAACTCATCAGATATTCAGAATGATCAGAGGCCGTAGTAGTAAATCTCCACGCATTCACGAAGCTCTCGAAGCTCTCGAGGCTCTCGAAGCAAGGACCATGGCCGCTCTCACCAACAAATGGCACTACCACAGTCCTCAGTCCCCATCCCTCGATCACAAGCAGCACGACTGAGCAATGCATCATGCAGCTGATGCTGTCTATTATGTCTACTACAATATACTACGTACGAAACTCTTTCACGCCATCTTTTACTACAATTAAGGGTATCGATCGCTGCTCAAAACAACGAATGCTCAAATTTGGGTTCATCTCAGTGGCACCACGTTCAGACGGATCCGGCAGCAGTACCCTCCTCAACACGCTTCTCCTCGTTATGTCCGTGGACGGGGATAGCACTTGTGGCCCTACGATTTTAGTCAGCACAGTTTCCGAAGCGATGGCAACACACTATCAGGAGGTGGAACTTACAAGTCGTCCTCGCCGGAAAGCTCCTCGAGCGTCTTTCTCGCCGTCTCGGGGATCAGAAGGGTGGTGAAGAAACCGCAAAGCATGAAGAGCGCAAAGATCTGCATGATGTGGTTGAGCCAGGGAGTGCTGTATCTCGGGTCGGTCTTGGCCTTGGTGGCATCGGCACCGATGGTACGGAGGGGTCCGAAAACCACCTGCGCAATGATGGCGCCGACTTTGCCTGAAGCGGCAGAGATTCCGTGAGAGGTGGATCTGTATCTGGTAGGGAAGCATTCGCCAGGAACGATGAAGGTCGTCGAGTTAGGGCCGGCGTTGAAAAAGAACTGCGACAAGGTATACAGCGCCATGAGAGCAGTGCCTGAAAGGTTCCAGTAGTCGAAACCGATAACGCAGAAGAGAAGCGTGAGCACGAAGAATCCGAATAGCTGGATGGGCTTGCGGCCAATGGTGTCGACGAGAGCGGCAGAGACCCAGTATCCAGGAACAGCACCGGCACAGACAAGAATCAGATTGCCGACAGCCGTCTTATAGAAGATGTGGTACATATCGGCACCACCAGACCATCCGATGGCGTTGAGGATGATAGCGTTGTTCAGACCGAGGCCGTAGAATGCAACATCAAGGAAGAACCATGATCCAGCAGTACCGAGGAGAACCTTGGCGTTCTTCCAGGTGCTGTAGTGGCTGAAGAAATCTCTCCATGAAGCCTTGGGAACCTCAAGCTGCTGCTTGGCCTCCTGGCGGGCAATGACGCGTGCAGCCTCATCGACCTGAGACTCACCCCACTTGCCCTGCTTGTAGTAATCGACGTCGCCCTCGGCCTTGGAAACATCGTTGTCGACATCGAAGGTGTATCTGGGAGTCTCGGGGATGGTAAGACGGAAGTACAAGGCGATGCAGCCCGGAACGGCACCGAAGCCGATCATCGTGCGCCACATCTTGTCAACGGCCATGATACAAGGCTCAGTGGTAGCGCAGGTAGCAGCCTTGGTCGCAGTCTCAAGGGAGCCCTTGAAGCCAGCAGTGACGATCAGAAGCATGATGCCACCAGCAAGTTGGCCAAAACCTTGGTTGGCAAAGCTATCACTCCCGTTAGAGATAGATTACTCATTGAAGCGGAGCCGGGAACCTACACTGCATTCATCATGAATCCTCTCCACTTGGTCGTGGCAAACTCAGAGGTAATGATAGCGCTAAGGGGGTAGTCACCACCGATACCGATACCCTACGATCGTTGTCAGTGGCATTCTGCTTCAAACTTATTAGACCAACACTTACCATGATGATACGCCAGAATACGATGAGTCCGACGATGGAAACAGAAGGGGAAGAAGAAGAAAGAGCCTGAGCAAGGGTAGCAATGATGATGACCATCAGCTCGACACCGTACTGCGACTGAGTTAGCTACCTCTTCTCCGTCACAACGCCAATGAAGCTGCGAGCGCCTACCATCTTCTTACGGCCGACGATATCAGCCAGGACACCGAATCCGACCTGGCCAACAACGGTGCCGGCGGAGGTAGCGACCTTGATAGCAGTATCGTGCTCGGCAGGGAGAGTGCCGCCGAAGTACACTATGCCCAGCATGGAAGTAACGAGACCGATGGTGAAGATATCGTACTAGTTTCTAATCAGATTTGGCCAATTCGTCTATTTCCAGGACAACGTACCGAATCGGTAAAGAAACCAATACCAGCGACGACGATGGCACGAACGTGGTACCAGCCGAAAGGCGCCTTATCGATCTCGGCCAAAGCGAGGCGACGGCGCTCGTTCGCGTCGGCGACGTGAGCGAAGTCGTTGTTGAAGTTATGGAAAGCGGCGTTTCCTCCCGAGGTCTTATTGTGCTTGACGTCGGCACCGGTAAGCTCGCGAGGAGCGGCGGCGTCCACGCCCGCGGCGTGCGAAGATTCGATGACACCGGCCATTGTGTCGATCTGCTCAAAGTCCGGTTTGACTAAACGAATGGCAAAGTCAGGCCCGAAGGAGAAGCAGGTTGGGTGGCTTTGATGACCTGCTAGGAAGGATGAGGGAGGAGCGTGAGAAGCAGACAAACTCAATGCGTTGGGGGGTCGGGGAGTATGTTTGGCTTATAAGCAGGACACATGTGGGCAAGGGGACTTCGTGCCATCTGAGCTGACAGCTTTCCGCAGAGTTACATGCATGGATACTGGCAACGAACACTCTCTAGTGGATCCGGAAGATGCGACGACTAGGGACACCGAGAAGGAGAAGAAGGCGACGAAGACGTGGTTCAGAATCAGCCTCCACCTCGGAGACTACGTACTAGCGTGGCGAACGGGACGAGATGGAGGGATTCCAGGGAGGGCTGTTGTACCTCGTAGGGCGAATGACAAGCGTCAAAGAAGTGCGAGAGTATCGCCTAGACTACGATTTTTTGGGTCACGTCGAAGAGCAAGACGTTGGCTCTGTGGACTCTATCCATACAGCAGAGAAGACAAGGTTCGAAATGGGAATGGTCACCCCCGGGGACCAGCAATATGGAGACCGCCGACGACGACCAGAACAGACACCAGCCGATAGAAGAGAGGCGTGGAAGGCAACAGGGATGTGTGCTGCGCTGGTCTGGAAATATGGTTGTGTGGAGCCGTGCTCGGCGACCGATTGGGAATGGCGCGTGTTTTTCACTTTTTCCCAGACTTCGTCTCTCGTCTCTACTTTGGCTGAACTTCCAGACCGCGACTCCCGACTGGCTGCCCGCCCATTTCACTTTTTGGCTCTTACACCGGCTACAGAAAGATCAAACAAGACATACGGCTTCATCGGACTTTTCGCGAGGTCGAGTAGCCATAGATGTACTGACAGAGGGGGAGGTCTAGGCAAACTGTCCAACTCGTACTGGGAAGTCGAGACTCACAGTGGAAGTGAGTTAAAACGGCCCGCTCATGTCAATGTTGTTCGGGAACCAATGGGCACTCTCGCTTTGAGAACATGGTCCCTTGGAGGGGCGATGCTAGTCGAGTTGGGGAACGACCAACGACGGTGGCACGCGCGGTACCGCTCTAACAATTTCCGACCTTATTTCCCTTGTCCAGGCCAACCTGGCACAGCACATCGAGGCAGGCTACAGGCCCAGCGATCTGAAGCCCGAGCCGGATTGTAGTCAAGCTTTCTGGGCGCTTCAAACGGGAGACTTGGCTACAGTCGATCATGCTTGGCCGCCGGGTTGATTGTCCCAATGGCATCTTGGCAACGCAAGAGCAGTTCATCCAAGATGGACAAGTCTGAGGCGTGAATGTGGAACATTGAAGGCAAATGGCCCGCACCTCATCGCTGTCGATATCCGAGGATTGATGACGCCGAATGTTTCATTATCGCCGAGAAGTAATTCTCTGCTGGCATATCATCGCAGGTTTTCGCAGCACGTTGGCTACCATTCCACGTTGGAACCGTCCATACTCTAGCCTATTCCACATACCGAACGCCCGATACGAAGGCCAATCAGTCCAGTAAAACATGGGGGTACCACGATTTGCCTGACTGACATGTCCCTCTCCGCCGGAGGTACTTCCCTTCCTTTCCAACTTCCAGCATTAGCCTAGGCCCGGCCGACCCTCCCGTGAATTCAGCTCCGGGGTGGTGGTGAGGGAGGTGGGCTCGATGTTTCCGTGCTACAGCCGACCAATCACATTGCGATACGGGAGCACGTTGCGCTACGGTCTAAATCAGCAACGGCATTCGATATCAATGACTTTGGATCTCAGCGCCGGATTTTTCACGTTTTTGGCTTCGGAAGAATAGGTCAACTTTCGTGAGATTTGAAAGGGCGACTGCGCATTGCGAAATCGACATGTCGTTGAAGAAAATACCCTGGTGCGGCTCTCATTCCATGCTGGAAGCTCCCGTGGTCTGCCGCTGCTTGGCACTTGGCATCGACAACCTTTCTAGCATCGAGGTTGCGTGATGATGCCGCCAAGCAGGAGGCCAAGCTTTCGGGCGCGACGACGACGCCCGTCTAGGAATGTACGATATTGCCCTCCCCGACGATCGAACAAGTTCTGCAAGCTGTCGCGTGCCAGTTGTCTTCTTACGGACGGGATGTTCAGTCTTTTCGCTGGAGTCGTAAAAAGTCAAGTCTCATCAACCCACGTGCTTGAACGGCGTTCCCTGTTGGCAGACCTGTCGAAAGATCGTCTTAATGAAGGGGTTCATGTATGACACCGGGGCGCGCGTTGCATGGCGTTTACGCATAGGTATCCTCTCTATTCCGGCTCTCTGGTACAGCTATCCTTGCCGTTGTCGCATGGCGTATTTGCGCACAGGACCTTCAAGGCACAAATGGGACTTTGAGATTTCCTTCATCGACGGAGAGAGCGAGCCTGGGATTAGCATTTCCTCAGTCCGATGAGTCCAAGATCGCTCGAAATTTGTACAAAGTTGCGCTCATCGGTTGTGCTCGCTTTACAGGAACACACCGCTATCAAAAGCCCGTCGTACCTAACTTTTCACCGAGATCATTCTAGCCAGTCTTAACACCATCTCCTGGCCCATCACACCACGCTTTCTAACCCTCCTGATCAACTCGGCTGTTAATGCTATGATAGTAAAGTACCAAATCCACCCGAAAAAACAAAAGACCAACCCCAATTCTTCTCTTCCACAGTCGTCAGCCAGGACACTACACACCCCCAGCTAGTTCTGTCCAGACCTGCCAGACTAAGCCAGGGTCCGCTTCCCAATACCCAGTCGTCTCTGGGGTGGGATCCAGACGGGGAGGGATCCATAGTCTCCATTCGAACCAATGGAGCCCCAGATTCCGCACACGTGGGTGGAACCCTTCGTCCCCTTGGCTCGGGACGTGTATTTCGACGGTCGACCTTGACACGCAGCGCGCTGCTGCGGTAACAAATCTTTGTCGGTCGCTCAAAAAGGGTCGCTCAAAAGTGCCACAATTGTTATTCCTATGGGCTCTTCGTACATACGAGTAAATGACACGAAAAATCGCCCGCGGCGCGCGACGGGTAACTTGTCCGGTCTTTGAGACTTGCCATTTTGGGGATGTTGTCCGGGCGTTAGCTCGGTACTTGTGTCATAGACCGCAAATGATCGGGAGGCAGAAGTTGACCACTATCATTTGTACCGCTCTTGACGCCGCTGGTAAGGTTGGGCATCTTCACTTGCGGACACACCCGATGTGATGGAGTAGCCAACCCGATGTCGCTGATTTGCGCTTACCTTACTCGGTGATCTTCAGTATGTTATGCCGCAGTCAAGCTAGCGAAAGCTGCCCGACCACCCGACGTATCCAATTCGCTGGAGCTCACTTGACACCTCGCTCCCATTGTGACATGACAAGGCGCCCCTTAGCGTAGGGGATGACTATCGGTAAATGAGTCTGGTAACAACAACTTAATGCGCCTAGGAGACATCAGACAGTAGACTCGCCAACAATGAAATACGCTGAGGGAAGTTTTGGATTCGGTCACTCTTCTGGCAATGCCAATCTGTCTGTAAGTTTACACCGTACATGAATACATGCATGTGCACGGGGAGAGAACACAATTGACCCTAGTGACCGCTCCAACCTTGAGAATCCCGGAGGCAAAGCCGAGGTCTTGAGTATCAAGATGGGTTGTTAACCTACTGTCTAGTGTCAGCGTCTTGCTCCGATAAATCCGCGAGTAAGGTACTGCGAAGAAGAAGGAGGCAGAAGTGCCGATCTTCTTGAAATAGACCTGCGTTCATTTTGTTCGCGTAGAAGTTGACGCTGAATTACGCAAGGCCGTATTTGCCAGGAAATAGTTCGGCATCTAACCGGGGGAGTGAACAGAAATCCATGGTCATCTTGCAAAGATGCCTTGAGCCGAGGTCGCTCACAACATAAGTCAGAATCTTCAATGCGGACCACGTGGCTCAGCATGAGCACGTACGGGTCCTGGCGATGGATACTACGTAGAGATTTCTCTGTCAGGGGTTTTCAATCAAACTATTACAACAAAGGCTGGCCGGGATTGCTGAGCCAAAGCCCAAGCACGGTCAGCCATCTGAGACCCAAGGCAACTTCATTACACAACGTCTGATATATAATAATTACACAAACATCTAGAAAGGGAACATCGTCATACCCGTCTTGGTGAGCAGCCCACGTGGAGTATCCAATGCCCGATTATGATCTATCAGAGACACTTTATACGCTGGGTTTAATGTCAATTTATCCAAAGACAGGGGTTCGGGAGAGGCCAACCTCATGATCTGAGAAGTCGAACAGACTGCTTTCCATGGATATAGTAGTGTGGGCAAGCCCGACTATGAGACCGACATACGAGCACCAGCCCATGTCACGATGCTTCATACTTGAAGAGACGCCTAGTTGTACGGACAAGGAACTGTCGCCTGTTATGAAAGTGAACTGAAAGTTCCAGTTTCCTCCGGATTCATCAGTTAGGAGCTCCGTATGACCCTGAGTGCACGCTAGCAGCGATACCTATGGTGGTAATGAAGGACCATCAACTCTGAGGAAAATGCACTCTGTGTATCGTGCTTTTTCTGGAAAGATGGAGCAAGCAGAGACAGCCGGAGATGACGGCGTTCCGAAAGTCTGCATGTGTAAGTCTTTTGAATTCGAATTCACAAGGCTCGTTGAGAAATCCAGGCTTTTCGCCTTGCGTTCTGTTTGCTCAAGGTTTTTCCAAGCACAAGACCGATGTTTCCCCGTTCCCGTTCCAGATCGAGCTTGCCAACAGACAAGATATCTTGCAATCCTTGATTTTGAGAACTGACAGTACATTGCTTGATTCTCTAACCTAACGAGAGCCTTTGTATTTGACGTCTGTGTTCCTATGCCGAGACCCAATTGTTTATGGATCTCCTTCAGCCCACCTGATTCCTAGTCCAGTAACCCTGGTCACTAATCAACGAGTTCCCAGAACTGTACCAAGAGATGAGGTCATCGCGCCAGAGGTACGGTTTATCAGTGTTAATGATACCCTTGACCGTGCAACCGACCTACTTCATTTGTGCTACAGACCATCTAGATATCGGCAATGCCTTGGAAATGAGCTTTCTGCTATTGCCATTTGTTATTCCCTATAGCCTATCGCTCCCTGAGGTATTGAATTCGACAGTGACCAAAAGATCAAAACACTAGTGTTTACTCCAACTCTCAACTTCTGGCCCTAATTTCTTTTCGCAATGTTCAAAGTGCCAATTCACATAGTACACGGACCCAAATCCGGGACGCCAGCCCACAGAAGACATGCAGTGGCGTCTCACAGGCGGCATCTAGGTTCGAATGGAAACGTTTTGTTTTCCTCGAACAAGAAATCATGAAAGAAGACTGGGCGGCAAGCCGGAGGCGCCTAATGGACGAGACGCACTCTGGTTTCGGTAATGATACATGAGAGGCTCTGATATGTCACAGCGACTATTGAGGATGGGTAGTATCACAAAGTTTCGTTCTTTCGGTGTCCTTTATGCAATTGTCTGTTGGTCTCACGACACGTTAGTGGTTGTATTCTTGTTAAGCAGCGTACGAGTGCCATTCCTTTTTTCTTCCACGCACGTTATTCAAAAACTTGACATATCGTATCTAATCCTTAGACCCGACGACTGATCTCAAGGCAGTGATGGTAGATGGTGTTGGTTTGCATGGTTCAGGGTAGGTGTATTCGTTGACAGTCTATCAAAGATACCTCTAAGCTCTTTTGCAGTCATGTTTCTCATAATGCAGGAAGCATCCAAGCCGGTTCTGGGACTACAGTGCTTAGTGCTTGGGTTCTCGTCGTTCTACATTACCTCAAGGTTTTCCACTACTAGGCTCTACTCACCCGGGGTAAAGCTCGATAGATGAGTCTGATTCCATTGGCATACCTTGTTCTGCAATTTCAGGCCGATTTTCTTCATAACTCACAGGTGCCAGAAGAAACCGGCACCAATTCCAGGCTAGGGCAGTTCATCCATGCATCAAGGTCACGATAACAGAGGCTCAGGGTATAGTAAATCAAACCAGACTTTTTCTAGTCTCATTATATTCCCCCCCACAGTAAGCGAACTCATCTCAGGCCCAAGATCCTAATCCGGCCGTTGAATCGTACTCAATCATAAGCCCAATCATAAGCCCATTTCATGTTTTCATGAACATACCTAGGTATCAAATGTCCTGAAAATCCGACCAAAGGAAACAACGAAAAGACATCAAAATCGAGTATTCCCTCCCAAGTCTATGAATCTTCCCTTATCTGGTTCAGCAGCTTGTAAAAGAAAGCAAACCATCCCAAACCCAAATTCGGAAATACCGAAAAAAGAAGAGAAAAACAGTTGAATCTGTTGCCGGGTTGCGTAGACCATGTCCACATCGCAAAGTTGAACGGAGTAAAAAAGAAGCCGCAAAGAGAAGAGAAAAAAAACCGATCCCCGTCCTCCTCATTTCCATAACCCCCGCCCCCGCCTTAATTCTTCACCCCCCAACTACCTTATCTGCACGTTCATACCACCTACGACGTACATCTCAGTACGTCACATCAAACTCCTCCCTAACATCAAAGTCCATACCCACATGCTTGGTCCGCAGGTGACGAACAAAGTTGTCGCGGCGGTTATACACGTGTCCCGTCTTCGCCTTTCGGCACCCGGGGACACGGCACCGGTAGCCCCCGCCCGCGCCGTCGCCGTCGAGCGTCTCGTGCGTCTTCTTGTGCCGCTTCAGGTCCTTCATCGTCGCAAAGGCCTTGTCGCAGCTCGCTTCGTCGCAGAGGTACTCCTTGATATGGTACCTCTCATGTTTGCTGATGGGGATTTGATGTCAGTTTTATGGAATTTCTCACCATATCTTAAAATGAAGGGGGGGATTGCTTCAGACTCTTGACAAGCTTGAGAAAGAGAGGGAGAGGGGGCTAGTCATAAGGATAATAGAGAGAAAAGGAGAGTGAGGTGAGATTTACGTCAAATCGCTAGGTCTGCGGAAGACCTTGCCACAATTCTGCCAACGGCATTCAAAACGTAATCGCGAAATATCGATACCGGCAGCAGCGGGCGTCGCGACGCCGTTGCTGAACCCGCTGTCGCTGGCCTTATCGCTTTCATTTTCGTTCCCGGGGTTTAGGGGGCTTCGGGTCGGGCTCAGCGTTTCCGAAGAATAAGAGGGGGTGTCGAGTGGACACTCCATGACACCAGGTGCCATAGGTGATCTCCATGATGAAGATGAACACGGCAAGCCGATGCCGATGATCGGAGGTGGATCGTCGACTGAGTCTAGCTTCAGTGTGGTGGTGATGGTTTGGTCGGAGTAGTATTCGCAGTAGCAAATGGTGTTTCCGAGTAACACGCAATAACAAGAGTCAACGAGGTTGGGTTGTATATTGGTGTCTAGGTAGAACGCCACCGTGGCAGAGTGTTGGGTTTCCTGGGTGAGGGTTTGTTAAAAGACCTGATCCGATGATCAAGGCTTAGACCGACCCGTTCGAAGGGGGAGGGGTCGTCGGAAATAGGGAGGACGGTTAAGCGGTTAACAGATCCAAAGGCAACAGCGAGCCCTGGGGTGTAAGGGTGCTTTGACCGAGTCAAAGAGTAGGCGGGGAAATTCCCCGCATGCGGCTCTCAGAATAGATGATGATTCTCCGGGGAGGCTACCAAAAGAGGTAATGGTGTTTTGTGACGGGCAGTTGAGGTTGAAGCGTGGGGATGCTATCGGGCCATTCCGTTAGGTATGTGAGGCTTGAGATGATTCTCCTGAAGCAGTGTTTGCTTGGAGTATCTTGTTCGAATTGCTGTCGAGAGTGGACAGTCAAAAGTAAGTAGTCGAAAGTAGCCGAAGTCGATGGAGTCCGAGAGCGGAAGTGGACAAGACGGGATAACGGCTGAGATTATATAAAATGGAGATTGAGTTACGTCCGGGTTGCTGGATTCAGACAAGCTTCTCGGGATGAGGCTGATGGCGGCGCGGGGTGGCGGGATTGGATGTTCCGGGTTTTTCGGGAGTCCAGGATTTGAAGCAGACGTGGGGGAAAGCGGAGAGTCGAGACCTTTTGGCTCACGGACAAGGAGCCGGGCCGTGGCGATACTTAAGTAAAGTGAGCGCAGATTCGACGGTGCTGGATCTGGCGGGCACGGCGGGGCGGTGCATAGGAGAGGAGGGGGCCTCAAAAGTCTAGAGGCTAGCAGTCGCTACCATTCGCTAGCATTCACTCGCATTGGTCTGATAACGCAGGGTGGGCAGCATATTGGAGCATACTAGAGGGAACATGAGCCAATTGGAGATGATCGGAACGTCGAAACTGGGGCTCGCCGTTGGTCAGTTTGGGCAACCTGCATATCTGCCCAGCACTCACACGTTGGGCTCCGCTCAACCTTAGTTTTGGCGCGCCATTATTCGCCCAACCCATCCTTCAATGTCATCTCTCACCGAGCTTTTGGGCAGACGGCGTGCACGAGACCAGACCACCAAGGAGCCGCAGCAGCCCTGCTTCCTGCTGGAGAGTGCTCTTACGGAAACCAGGACCAAGATGATGAGACTGAACACAAGATCGAGGGCCCAAAGAGGAAGATGATGATAACAGAGAAACCGACATGGTCGAACACGAGTCTCCAGCTCAACCAGATGGTCGGAATTCCATCCCATCCCTACCTCAAACGGCTTCTGCCCGAGAGCACCCTTTTCTTCAACGACCATCTACGTTAGCGACAACCTCAAGTGCTAGCCTGATCAAATACGCACGTCATTGGTCGTTCGCTTCGCCTTGCCCCTGGCATGAATCAAGCTCATCTGATAATCTGGACGCGGCCATCTTCCGCCGATGGCCTCTTGGCATTGGGCTCCGCCTCCAGTATTTCCTCGGCACATTCTCCAGAACGGGACGTACTAGATGACTGCTAGTTAACACGAAGCTGACCTAGCCGGAAGAAATATCGCGAGCTTTGCGCTGTTAGTAAAAGTCGTGTCCAAGGGAATGTTCGCACGTAGCGCCACATGCGAGACTGCATCGTCGTTCCTGAGCATTCCGGCTGCAGAAAAGTCCAGGCCAGGCCGCGTGGGCAGCAACACCTGCGGCTCCAACTACAGGGCCATCGATAGTGCACATCTTAATGCTCCGTCTTGAAGCTAAGCATCCGGGTTCCCACCATAATACTCGATGGTGGCGGACGACGGGCAGCAACAGAAACTTCACAACCGCTTGGCCGGAAGACTTCCAAATGAGGGAAGCCGAGGGCGCGTGAACGGCAAGGTTGGAGATGATGACGAGAGTCATGAAGTCGCTATAGCAGCAGCTTCATTGATTCAAGTGGTACGACCAAGTCTAGACCGATAATGGCGTATCATCGTACAGGTCGACGAAGGTGGTGGGCCTGTGAGGAGGAACGCCTCGGCTGCATTGTTTGCGCCATAAGGTTCTAGATTTGGCGATGCTGTTGATGGTTTTTCTTTCGACGAAACCTGGCCGCAGTATAGGTTTTGAATGCTTTGAAGGGCGAGGGAGACATTCGTCACGTGGCAGTCGGACCAAAGCCAGAAAGGCGGGGGAGCATATAAGGTGTCAATGATTGCCCAGCGGCCAACATGAGACCAGCCTGTCAAGGGTCTGCGTCTATTGTAACGTCTGGATATGTTCCTGGGCCGGTGACTCTGGCAACACAGTCGGATGCCGAAGTTGGGCCGGCATGAACGTGAGCATGGCCACAAAGCCTCGCGTTGTTTGTAATGATAATCAACAAAGGCGATGCTAGTCTCGCCTGGACGTTGCATCGAATGCAATGCGAGTGTTGTTGTCTCGTGGCGATGCAAGATGTGATATGTGAGGGCAGCGAACTTCGTCATCAACGACTGTGATGCTCGAGGTAGACAGCGATGGCAAGACGGAGAAAGACGGACAAAAGATCGTCGCTGTCTCGTGGTCTGAAGAAAGACTCGCGATGCATATTTGAAGTAACGTCAGAACGATTGCTAAGGGCTGGTGACTATAGCATCATGACTCGGGTGGTACAAGTCGAAGGTGAAAGTTGCGGTTAGGGCCGGCATCGCGTGGGCGCCATGTCTCTGACTCGGCGTCGATCCGTGTCTTGCTCAGATCTCGCGCGCCGTTGTATTTTGTTGGTCTGCAGGTGATCTGGAAGATTTCTCTCAAAGGTTCCCCGACCACAAACTGGGGTGGGCATCCCAGGTAGGCAGGGAGGCTGGAAGATGTGCAGATGTGAGGTGATACGCACCAAAAGGCGTTCACGATCTAGCGGTCTGTTGGCTCGAGTGAGGCAGGGTAGGATGACGGAGTATCTGGAGCGTAGCAGTTGTTACGTTGAGAATTTGGAGAAGTGGTGTGGACATGCGCGCGAAGGAGTCAGACGCCGCTTGGAGCAGATGTTGCCATTCCGGCCATCATTCAGGAGGGCAAACTGTCGGAGCGAAGAGCAGCCGAGACAAACAGCGTCATCTCCAGAACAGGATTGAGAGAGTTGTGTAGGTAGCCCGGTAGGCAGGTAGGTTGCCTTCCGGCCCGTCTTGGCTTCCGCATAAAAAAAACACATCCATTGAAAGTACGGATAACAACGTAGGAAATTTGCCGATGGGAAGGATGTTCCTTTCCGCCTTGGCTTGCGACCTTCCTGCCAAACATTGTTCTTTCCCGGCGTGAATGGGGGGCAGTTTCCCTTCTTTGTTTCAATGTCCTCCCTTCGGCAATACGAATGCTGACCTGATGAGGGGCAGAGAGAGGGATCCACTTTTAGAACCCCGCGTGCCTGCCAACGTCTCGAACACTGAGGATAGGCAAGGCCAACAACGCCAACTTGCACGATGCAGTCAGGCTCCTTTCCCCTCATCAAAACCTCCTCGGTCATTGTCTTTTTTTTTTTTTTTTTTTTTTTTTTTTTTTTTTTTTTGGTCTCATCCACATGCTAGTCAATGGCCTCGTCCTCACCGATGTTACTTCGAGAGCCAAGACCAGGCCGCTCACATGGTCATTGTTTTCTTTCTCTATTGTTGGTTCTTGATGGAACATTGAGAAATCTGAGCGCATTGTCCCCGTCGAGAGCAGTAAACAATCAACCCCCGCATCCGTTCCCCAGATACATGGTTCCATCCTGGAAAATCGCTGCAGAACGTCACCACAATTCAAGTTGATCAACCCAAGCTAGGTCGCCTTCAATAATGCAAGCAACGCAAATCCTGGCCACCTGACCAATCGAAATCCTGGCCACCTGACCAATCGAAATCCGGGGAAAGTAGGGACGGGAACGGGCCCTCTTTGGCCAGTCCGGGGCGTACGATGTAGCCCCAGTCCCTACCGCCGGCCGCCTACGCAGTCCTGGAATACCTAGCTGTTTTGCGGGGTTGTGCTCACAATCAATCAGCTGGTGGTTCACCTCACACCACACACCTGTTTTTTTCTTTCTCTTCCTCTCCCATTTTCCCTCCCTCTTGTGGTTACACAATCCAGCGTTGTTTACCGCAAGTTTGGGGGGGTACAGTCAGTTCCCCCCCTGACGGCTACCTTACCCCAACTTTCTAGAAGAAAATAATTGGAGATGGGCCAACTCGGCGCGGGGTGTAAGCCGTGGTTTGCGAACCGAAGCAGAAAAAAGGAGGCCACGAGAGCCAGCCACCTGCCAACCGGACAGAGAGTCATGAGACCAGTCTTGGACGCATGGTGTGCGATGCCCCCTTCCCCTTTGCGTCCTTGGCGTCCAGTGCCATGATTCCGTTCGAAAGGCCCTGCTGAGATGATGGCGCACGTCTTTCTCTCGCCAGTCTCCCGCTGCCGCCTGCCATTGAACTTGCCCGGACGCTGGTGCAACAGCTACTCAGCCAGCGGAGTTCAAGCTAAGCCAATGTCACTGCGCCTAGTTCGCCGTTGTCGTTTTTTCTTCTTCCTTTTTTTTCTTTTTCTGTCTACTGCTTGCTGTCTGGATGTGGGCTACTGCATGTTGTGAGAGACACCTCCCGAGGTTGATTCACCTTCTTTTGCTTCTTCGTGATTAAATACCCGCTCTCCTCTCTCTCTAGATCCGTCATTTCTGTTCCCGCTCTTCTCTAGCTCGTTCGTGGACGAAAAAGACCTTCTTCTATCTCCCCATATTGTCTTACCCCCAGACTTCTTGGTGTTCCCTCTCAGCTGAACTACCTTGCCTTTTTTGTGCCTCAGACTTACAGTTCATTGATTACCTTACACAAGCTTCGTCCTAAAGTCACTCTACCTTTAAGCTGACACGCTCCGCTACTCACCCCCATCCGAAGTCTGTTGATCAGGGAACAGCACCCCCTTACCCGCCGCCGCACCGTTTGGCCGAAACCTTGACACTGGTTCTCTCTTATAGCCCGGGGAGCCGAACTCTTGCAACCATGAGGCAGCATCTTTTCTACACATCGCTTCTGTCGACACTGCTCGCAGCACCGTCATACGCTCTGCCAGGCTTCTTCTCCGATGCAGAACGCGCCCACTTCTCATCAGACCTCAAACGCTCAATAGACGACGAAGCTCCAGCAGCAATCATGGCGAGACAAGCAGCCGACAGATCCGGCCGCTGGCGGCCCCAAATCCACTTCTCACCACCCGCCGAATGGCTTAATGATCCAAACGGCCTCTTTGTTGACTCGGACGGTGTCTGGCACATGTACTACCAGTGTAAGTCTCTTCCACTACCGCCTTTCCCCCTTCATTTTTCAATCCACCTGTTCCCCAAACTCCCCCCAAACACAAAGTACCGTAGTGGAAACATCTACCAAAGCCGCGGGTATTTTGAGTTGTGCAACGCATTGCGCAGGTTCCGGGCGAGCGGTTACCGATGTTTGTCCTGTGCAATGTCAATGTCGCGCCTTTCTGCCCGTTTCATTGGATCTGCATTCTGCACACGTGCTAGTTCCCGTTGGCGTGAGGGTTGCGCCTCTGCCAAAGACGGAAACATCACATGCGCGATGATGAGCGTTGCAATTCCACCCCCGCATTTTGGCGCGGAATGAGACACACCGCATGCTTTCTTTCCTTCCCCTACCTTACCGTACATGTTCTTCTCCCTGCGATGCATTCTAATCTGGCATGCCATGTGTCACTGCTTCGATGAGACTATGCCAAGATTGGCCTGGTTTCAATGTTTCAAACTTCTTCAGGACTTCACGACTGACTTTTTGACTCAGATGCCGACAACGTCGCTGGCGATGGCGTGAAGCACTGGGGCCACACGACGGCCACCGAATTCTACAATTGGGTTGACCATCCTGTTGCCATTCCTGCCACTGCGCGCGATGGCTCCATCTGGTCGGGAAGCGTCGTCGTCGACAAGAACAATACCTCCGGCTTCTTCCCGTCAGACAAGACAAGCGGAAAGGACAACATCATCGCCTACTACACCTCATGGGAGCCTGATCAGGAATCCCAGCATCTTGCATGGTCATACGATGGCGGCGAGACCTTCAACCAGTACGAGAACAACCCCATTATCTCGCTCAACAGACACGGATTCCGCGACCCCAAGCCATCCTTCCACCATGAGACCAATACCTGGGTCATGGTTCTGTCGCTCGAGAGTGAGGTCGCCTTCTACACCTCCACCAACTTGGTCAACTGGACGCAGTCGTCCATCTGGAACCCGCAGCGAAATATTGGTTTGATTGAGTGCCCTCAATTCCTCCAGATCCCCCGAAAGGACAAGTCTGGAAGCATCGTGGGCGCTAAGTGGGTTCTGACTCTCAGCCTGGGGGGTGGTGGCCCGACTGGCGGTGCTGCAGTCAAGTACATCACGGGCGAGTGGGATGGCACCACCTTCACCCCGGATGTGCCCGCCAGCCTCGCCTCGCGGAGAGGAATCTTCTCGCGCCAGGACACCTTCTCCATCTATGACTTTGACTTTGGCCCCGATAAGTACGCCACCGCCTTCTTCCACTTCCAGAACCTCAACGACGCCAACCAAGATGCATACTCCGTCTCGTGGGCGGTTGACGCGACGCTCTATGGGTGCTGCACGCCGACCGACCAAGAGGGATGGCGTCACTGCATGGGCGGTGTGCGCCGGCACTGGTTGGACTCCAACACCAACCGACTCATGTCGGCGCCGGCCGGCGACCTGTCGAAGCTGGTGAGCTCGACGTCCGGCTGGAATCCCATCCTTGACGAGAAGGACGTATCGGGCATTGAGGGCAGCAGCGCCGTCATCCGCGACTACAACCCAGCTGTAGAGTGGACCTTGACCGTCAAGATGGCAAAGACTCTCCTCCAGGAAGGCTCGACGGCTTCTGCTCAATTGGCCTTCCGGGGCTCCCAGTCAAACGGCACGGAGCAAGTCTCTCTCGGCTTCGACTTCACGGGTGCCTCCGGCAGCGGGGCCCCCACGGCCAACCTCAACATTGGTCGCGCCAGCGCGGTGTGGGATAGGTCCGGCACCTTTGGCGTCTCCAACGTCCAAGCCCTCGAGGCCGCCTCGAGCGAAGGCTCCAGCGGCAACGTCGAGTTCCAGCTACACGGCATCCTCGATCGCTCCGTCCTCGAGGTCTACGTCAACGGCGGTGTCGAGGCCGGCACCATGCTCTACTTCACTGATAAGCCCCTCGACAGCATTGTTCTCTCCCGCGGCATAGGAACCAACGATCAGGGCATTACTTTTGACTTCAAGGCCGTGGCGCTCAAGAGCTCCTGGGGAACGTACGACGAGAAGGCCGTCTCGCAGAGCAAACAGGACAAGTGGATCACGGAGGAACTGTGAGGAGCAGATCCGTCCGAGATCCCTTGTAATTGGAGAACATGGTGGCTTTGCAAACGTCCTTCCAAGCGGCTTCCTGGCCTGTTGGTGTGATATTGGGCGATGAAGCGGAAGCGATGACAGACTCTTTTCCTGGTCATGTTGGACATGAGGCATGAAGAGAGATTCTAGGGCTCAGACAAGAGGGCTTTTCTTTGGGATAAGAGTTTCCACGTCATTATAGGCGGCATTCGTACGAATCATGATTTTACCGTTTATTCTCATCTTCATTTCGAATGCGTGAGGACAGTTTTCTGCACACAATCCGTCTCTACTGTAGGCTGCCTCTCAAACTCGACCGGAACCTGTGAGAACAAGGTTTGTGAAGTCATCTCCAGTCTTTCAGTCGCCTAAGAGTGTCAAGTGGTCCATCATTCCTGGAAGCGAATATACGTAGACAAATGAGACGGTATCGTAGTTCGCGGGCTCATTCTCACGTGTTCTAGAACCATGTAAACCACACACACACACGCACACACACACACATACATAAACGGGACAAGAAACGGGGAAACAACGAGTGTTTCAATCATACTGCTTAGAAGCTCACCCCCGCTCCTTCTTCTTCTTCTCCTCGTCTCCTCTCCTCCCTTTCCTTCCGCCCCTCCCTCTATTCCCGTCTGAAAACATGGTCTGCGTCAAACTTGGGATGCCAAGCTCAAAACCGAAAACTCAAAACGCCCTCACCTAGGACACTCGACAAAGAATGAGCAGGAAGACGGTGCGCACCATCCCATTGTATTAGAAGCGCCCAGCCGTAGGAAGTTCTAGCAGCTGTAGAGCTTCTAGAAGCAAGCTCCTCTCATCATTCTCACTGTAGTCACCGCGGGACAAGGAGCCCAGTGCTCTGACGAATGAACCAAATCTCAATATTACACGCATTGTATTTTGTTGAACACTAATCGCCCAGTCTCAATCGAGCTGTTCACCCCCAACCGGCCGCAAAAGCTATTGCCGGACGCTACGTGCTCCCCTAACAGTCAAGAGCATTACCCCGCTGTCTCTTGCCTCTTTTACGCCTGGTACCAGTTCCAAACAAGAATAATGAAAAGGAAAAAGAAAAGAAAGCCTTTTTTGCTCATGAACTACTAAATGTCGACAAGTCTATATCGTACCGGGCGTATCCAGAGAGCTTGGAAAAAGCACTCGCTCCGTGGGTGGTGCACACAATGGCCGCTCCATGCCATCAGGGAAAATATCTACCAGTCAATGCTGCCAATACAGCCTTTATTGTCGTGTCTCGTGCCCCTCTGGCAATGGCCCAACCTAGATTAGGCGTCCGATTCCCTACGACCAAGGTCTCCCTCAAGTAGGACTTTGGCGTCGTGGAGTAGAGAATGGTCAAAGGGGGTAACAAGAAAGAATACAGGAAAGGAAAGAAATTTAGGGGTATATGAGGTTAATAACCGAGTCCGGCAACAGCGGCCACAACGTCACGTCGTAGCCTCCGCTTGACGTCCGCCTCCCGATCTGCTTCCCTGAGAGCGTCGTTAGGATCGACCTTTTTGTCACCCTCCTTCTTCTCGTCTTTGTGCTCCTCCTTGTGTTCCTCCTTCTTTGGCACCTCCTTGTTCTCCTTGGGCGTAGCAATCTTGCTAGGGTCGGCCTTGGGATTGCCGGGGCTCTCAGTCTTGTCAACAGGAGCGTGCTCGGACTTGAGCCTGTCCTTCTCTTCGCTGGACTTGTCTGCTGCCAGCTTATCCGCCCGCTGATCATCCTCCAAAGCGTCATCGTTGATCGGCTTGACCTTCTTGGCCTCCCCATTGTTGACGCTCGCCAGGGCTGCGCTGTCGAATAGGTGAGCGGCATCGGCACTGGACATGGCGTATCTGGTCGAGTTGAGAGGGTGGCCGAGAATTGACGCCTGAGCATCAAGCTTGTCGTAGAAGGCCTTAGTGGGTGCCTCCTCCAAGTAGTTGAGGCGGTGGCCGCAGCGGGCACCAAGAACGTCGCGGATCTTGGGGTTGGAGCTACAGCAGTGGCCCCAGCAGTCACTGATGTGGTCAATGATGGACCGGTACGGGTTGCGTCGGCGACTCTGGTCGATGATGCGGACAATGGTGGGAATTGCCACTTCGTGGAAGACTCCAAAGCCAGCAAAGATTTCGGAAAGAAAGATGTAATCGGCGAAGAATCGTCTCGGAATGTAGTAGATGTCACTCCAGCCAACGCACCACTCGTCACGTCTGATCTTGTACTCGAGGTCAAAGTTGTCAACAACCGCGGCCGCGGCCATGGCGGTGCGGTGGAAGTCCTGTCCCCATCCCCACCAGTTGTAGTTCTTGGTATCAGTAAGGCACATGTACTCGGGTCCACCGTGGGACGGCGGGGCGGTGTCGATGATGGCGGGGAAGTGGATGTTGTATGGGTTCATACCCGTCCAGCCAAGAGGGTCAATCCAGGCATCGAAGTGGTAGTACATCAAACCGTCGATCTCGGGTTGGGTGTCGAGGATGAGCTTCATGGTACGGGACACTTGCTTGTAAACGGTAAAGGTTCCCGGGAATTGATCGTGGGTAAGGTTGTGGAACTCGGGATCCTCCTCCTTGAACATGTTGGGCATGGAAATATGCACCGTGTGGAAGAACGGTTCGTATTTCTGCAGCATCGGAACGCGCTCCGGACGAGCAGAGTTCCATCGAATCATGGCCATTGTGTTCTTAAAGGGCGACTCGATCTTGCTCTCGCCGCCAGTAACAGGCTTCGGGCCAGAAGGCGCAGACGGGGCGGATGCTCCATCCTTGGCGAAGTCTGGCATCTTGGCCTCAGACATGGTGAGGAACGCCACAATTACAACGGTGATGAATGTGGCCACGGCGAGGAAGATCTTGTTGAACTTCCTTGCAACAGCTGCCATCTTGCTGAACAACGACATCTTCTGAGGCTCATTGGTCGGAGCAGGGTTGGGGTCCTTGGGAGGCGGGTTGTCCATGTAGAGCCACGATGCAACAAAGACAACAACGGTACCCGGTAGGACGAGGAAGCTGAGCGAGGTGCCGAACAAGATGGGTGAAACGTAGAGGAGAATACCAGTCGCAACAGCCGTGGCGAAGCACTTGATGACCGCGTCGGCATCTATAAGGATTAGCACTCATCACTCAGCAGGGGCCAGTGGGTTCTCACATTTGTATACAGCGGTAATGGCAAGACCAATGAAGACATTGCTGACAATGACCATGATGGCGCCAAAGCTGGTATAACCTTCAAAGAATCCTGGCTCGTCGGCCTTCAATGTCTTGATGACCAAGTGGCACAACAAATTCATGGCAGCACCCGCACCGTAAAGGATCATGTTATCAGCATGCAAGCTCGAGTCGTCGGTCTTGAGCAGGGCCTGGTTGTACACGCCTGACGAGGCACTCAGGAAGACCTGGAAGAGCAAGATGAAGTAGGTGCTGAACGGGTAAGTTGTGCCCGTTGTCGGGTTGTACTGGGTCACCATCAAACCGCAAATCTGCATCGTGTCAGTAACGAAGTCAAAACAGTTGGTTTCCAGGTTCGTGTCACTCACCTGCATAAGGATGGCAATCCACTGGATCTTGGAAATCTTGGTGTTCAGAGTCGCAATCATGACCAAGGCGGTAATGAAGGTGACACCGCTCTTGGTCAGTTGAATCGTACCGGGATCGGCCATTTTGTAGCTGACGAAGATCTGAACAAGTTAGCGGCAACGAACACAACATCGAAGAACATGGCAGAGGCATGACGTACCGAGTTGTTAATGAGCACGTAGAATAGCGCCAAGTTGCAGAAGCCATATCGCACATCTCTGGTGACCTCGCCACGGACGTAGCTCCAGTATGTTCTCACATCAAGCGGCGGAAGCGGGCCGTTGTTTCTCTCAACAATGTTGCCAGTGCTGGACGAGCTGGCACTGCCGTTCAATCCTTCCTCTTCCCGCTTCTCATCCAAACTGCTTCTCTCGGCCAAAGGGAGTTCTGTGGCGATGGAGGCATAGCCACTGCCACCGCCTCTGGTTGATGGGCGAATGCCATCGGCTACCCTGCGCTTGCATTCGTTGTAGAAGAAGATGGTCGACAAGAGCATCTTGAGGAACTCGGAGATGGTGACAGACGCCGAGGGAGAAAACGAGTAGGATCCGCCCGTCTGGGAAATCTTCATGATGATACCGATGCCAACTTGGATCGCGACCAAGCCAAGGGCAGCAGCGTAGGCGGCATGTTGAGGACCATTGGGGACCCAACTGAGGGGCTTCAAGAAGAGCCCCAGTATGCTCCCGTGTCGTAACATTGTAGACAATTATCACCAGCCGCTAGAGGGCGGTTCAGTAAAGAGGCTCGAAAGGGCGCGACGTAAGAGGCGATCGATGTTCGTCGAGGATTGTGCGAAAAGAGCGTCTCGGTGTTTGCCAGTGAGCGAGGAGTGTAGGAGGATGCTGCTCGAATGCAGCGTGCGGCTCGCAATTGCAGGCGGTAAATCTGCTGGCGGTCTTTGGTGCTGCAGCAGGTGGGAAAGGACCGTCTCTGGCCGTGTTTAGGTTTCCTGGGTGTGGGGGAATGACGCTCGCTGGGCCGCCGCGTCCGACATGCGTATTCGAGTGTACAGCTATTCGTCGATGGATTCGTTTGGATTTGTTTCGAGTGGGAGAGTCGTCGCTTGTTTTCGCCTGCGATGGACCCAATATCGCGTTGTCAGGTGGCGCTGGACAGAACCGGAAGAATTGAAAAGAGACGAATGAGAATACACGGGAAGAAGAATAGGCTGGAATGGGTGTTGCATGGGAAGCGAGGTGCCCACGGCGAGCAGGAACGGGGAGGAGAGAGAGCAGCGTCAAGCAGAAGCGCACTGCAGGCAGTCGAGGCAAGGGAAGGGGGGGGGGGGGGGGGGGCGCCGTGGCCAGAGATGGATCCCTGTAGGTGTCCACTCGAGGTTGCTGACATACTTTGGCGAATGTACAGTGTGTGCCACACCCGGTCGAAAAGGTACTTTCGTACAGGTTGCGGGACACCTGCACTTTCTCCCTCTCTCCGCCGCTCTCTCACTCACTTTTTTCTTTGGTGGGGTCTTTGGGGGAGCCAAGCGATTTCCAATGAGAAGTCGCAGAAAGTCCAGGTGCATGTGGGTCTATCGAGGAAAATAGCACGGGCCGTCATTGGACGGGATGGTGACACGGTGCAGCGCCGTCTCGTCTGCCAGTGGATGAAAGGAAGCCGCTATGAAAGTTTAGGTATTCGTACCTGCCTTGAGGCTCGCCTAAGAGAAGGACGATGATGGCGCACCTCCCGTCTCTTACTTTGAAAGGGGTCACAGCTTGGAGCTGCTACAGCCAGTACGGATACACCATCCATACCTTTCTTACCTTAGATACACAGGAGACACCCGACCTGCTATCCGTATGTATCTTCTCCCGACTCTCTTCTCCCGTTAACTCTTGTGAGGTGGACACGAACGGGGGGAACCTTGATCTTGGCTCTGTTTTCGAAGGGGTCTCCGGAGGGGCCGCACTGTGTCAGAATTAAAGTAGCCGATCTCTGACAACGGGACTCTTTGTACCACGTCAGGCGAGCCGGGAGACCGGTGTCACCCAGGTATCGTTGAACCTAACCTGCGTTGTCTGTGCAAGGCGACGACGGCTTTGCCTTGCCATTTTCAGTTCCTTCGCTAGAGGACCAGCTGGATCTTCATGTGAAGACTCGACTATGCCCTCGTCTGATGCTCTCTAGATTTAAGTGACACCATGCTACCTGGGGGCAACGACATTGATTGGTGATCCAAGACGATGAGGACCGAGTTATCTCTTGCGTATGTATGCTAACCTAAAGTGCTGCACGTAGAGTGGTCTATACTCGAGGAGAGATAGCTTTCTCCGTCTTGCCATGACGCGCACTGCAACCGGTGCCGAAGCTGTTCCAACACGAAACCTCGACATGTATTATAACGGTGCGCAGAGTACTCGGTGATCCCCTGATACAGTGTGTCCGTATCCAGTGGCAAGTGGTAATCGTCGGGAAGCGCACCAGAGCTGAAAGCAAAGCACAGCTGGTCCTGGACTCCTGAATCCTGAATCCTTATGTTTTTGGTTTGCCCAATCTAGGCGGCCCCAATAAGCTGATGTGCCACTGCAGGAAGAAAAAGGGGCTATTCAAAACTCAATCTTATCACTAGCAGCAGAGATGAGGCCAACAAACCTACGTGGAAGAAATTTCTAATAACGACGCAAAACTGCCGGGAGATGTGCGTGTCGACCTATCCGAATCAGGGTTGGTCTTGCAGAGAGGCTGAGAGTTGCAGCTGCTGAACGGACAACGACGACGACGAGCTGCAACTTTGCTAGAGGCTTGACGATGTCCTGTAGTACCTAGCCAACAGCCGTGCCGCCTTACACTATCGGTACACACCTATTTTGGAGGCTTGGAGCATGACACGAGTACCTAGGTAGACTTGCTCCTACTGTGTAGTGTAGATGGAGAGCTGCCCCTTGCTCCGGCTGCGCTTCCCCTGGGGCTAGCAAAGAAGCACCGTTTCCCACTTGAGGTTCGCGGTGCGCGCAAGTCCCATTTCCCGCCCTCACCCGCCTCCCTCAGGGATTAGTACGTACCTTTGAATCCTGGGTGGATGCCCGCAGGAAGGAGCAACCCTTTGAGGTAAGGCAGGCAAAGAGTGGGGTCTGGGAACCGAGAATTGGGTGCGACTCCGCCACCGAGGTTCGTACAGTGCCCAACATGTGTCAGTTCGTTGACACAGTACGGCCCGCTCGAGGCAAGGGCGTCTCACTCATCCATCCGTGGACCGTCAGTGGGGATCGCATTACAATCACTCAACCAGCAATCAATTAGCGTTAATTGGAGCCTCTTTCTGAGGGCGCTCAGTAAGATGAACCGTCTTTAATGACGGCGATGACCTCCGGTTCCTGGTTCTATCCGTACACCATCGGCAGGTAGGTGAACTCTGTGCGAACCCTTAATAACGTTCGTCAGCTTGCGCAATCGTGCATCCCGTCGCCAATAACACGCTTTCTAGGCGCCGCGACGGCTTCTCAATGGTTGACAATAGCTTGTAGGGCTGCAAGAGATGCTTATTTCGCAACAATTCTAGCCTCCTGTCTCTGGGGTTTCTGTGCGATAAGACGCAGGGCCAAGTCAGATCGCACGGATGACGGGTGACGGATATGGATAAGCGACTTGAAGAATTGCTTGTTGTTCCCTCACGCCGAGCCAGCCCTCGATCAGCGACCAAAAAGAAATACACCCGATGAATGCTTCATCGCAGTGTCTGCGCTCAATCTACGGAAACGTATGTCAACTTCGATTATTGGCTAGTCGATGGAAGGTTTGATGTCGGTATTCCGGCCATCAATCTGTATTTGCACAGCCGTTACGGATATGCACCATTTTGAATTCCATCTAATGCCGGTTATGAGAAGGAAAGAAATCGGTTCGTATCCGGGCACTGGGGCACGCCTAGCAACCCTGTCTGCATGTGGTCTGGAATCCGACCAGTGCCAAAGAAGACGTACGAAAGGCAGGCACGGAGCGGAGCGGTGGAAACTGGAAAGAACGTGAGATACCTAGCACTTGCTCAACCTCACCCACCCACCGCCCCCATGTACAACGTCTTGCCATCTAACTAAGATTCTTACGCAAACTCAACCAACACTCCTACAACGCACCGGTTCGCCTACATTTCACCGCGTAGGCAAAAACGGCCCGACGAATTTGACGATAACGGCGGGACGCAATGAAAAGGAGACGCGTCGCCAGCACAGCCCTGCAACGTGTGGCATGAGTGCATAGTCTACCGTTCCAGCGGATTAAACCTTAAGTGACTGCTTCTATTTTCTCTCCTAACCTGCTTCGAGTCTCGACCTCTCAGACGTCTCCATAGGTAGACAGTCGGCATGCTTCGAGAAGAAGAACCACGACGCACAGCACAGTCTCGTCTACACACGGACGGAAAAAGACGCAGCAATTACGACATTCGTCCTGCGGCCCTAGACCTGAAGCTGGAACCATTTGTTGGAGCCTCGTTGCAAGTGCATCGAGACTCGGACGACTGGTTCATCCTCTCTTTTGCTACCTTCTCCATACCGTTCCATCCCGCCTTGGCTGCCACTGCTCTCGCTGTCTCCGTCAGCTTCGCCTCCTCGACAACGACGTCTCTAAAACACAAGATGCACGTCTTGGCGGAGCAAGAGACAATATCATCCGTGGCACCCTTACCTTGGCAGTTATGGACTGGCGACGACGAACAACGGACGGGCGACCTCTGAGTGGGAGCAAGGTAAAAGTGAGGCAGCAATCTTGAAGCATGAAACACACCAGATAACTTTATCTGAACAAGGACTCGCTGCAAATTCCCCGGATTCTCCCAGCATCTTCCCTCGATCAGATACCCATCGCTCGGTAGCTTCGGGAACAAAAAATGGTACCATTTCCACTGTACAAAGTCTCCCCTACAGTCCGTCTCCGCCTGTCAAGTCCAACCGTCCGTCAAGTTGCCGACTTAATACCTAGCAGCACACCAAGGGTACCCAACTAGGTACCTTGCTCTGCTCATCGCCGCTCATCACAGCCAGATAAACCACCCCCACCACGAGTCAAGCAGCGGTTTCAAAACGTGCGCCGACGGCGTCCGCCTTTTGGGTCCCTTCGACATCCTTTGTGCGAGTCTCACTCTCAATATGGTCTTGTCCCAAGACTTGACGTAGCACCTAAGACACTCCTTCTCAAGTATCCGCATCACGTCTCTCGATCCCGTAATACGCTCATCAGACTTGCGTAGGCGTCGTGCTATGGCAGCTGTGGCAGAGTGCCTTGTTCGATAGGAGCATCTCTACCCAAAGTCCTTGACCAGCAATTTAACAGACTTTGGCCTCTCAGCAGTATTGGGTTCAGGACTGTGGATCACTATTTTCGGTCAAATAACAAGTGATACACGTCAGAGTTCAAACCGGCCTCATTGGCACTTGGCGCAACCCAAGGTTCTCATGGCTTGCGGGCCGCTAGGAGGAGCGAAAGTCTCAACAATGGGACCGGCAATCCGATATGCAACCCATCAAACTTTGTCCACGGCAAGAGCACCAAGTCAAAATGAGAGTCGCCCCTGAACCGAACATGATTATCACCAGTGGCCAACCGCATAGCTGTATCGCAATCAGCCCATTGCGCAGTTTGCATGCCGCAATCTCATCAATTGCCCGCAGCACAGTATCGATGCTTGGCATTGATTAATGGATTGTGCTTACGCCGATTGCGCTGAACCTCCAACGCCAATGCCAATACCAATGCCAATGCCCAAGCCACACTCTCACACAGAGGCACACAACCCCTGGCCCCTCATGTCGCTCGCCCCTTCCCCTGCGTCTCCGCCAATCCCACGCAAGGCTGACAGCATGAGCAGACTCGCAGAACGATTCTGTTTGGCCATCCTTGCCCGCCCCGGGCGACTTGTCGTTGGGATGGTGGTTGCGAGCTTGCGAAGTGGCTGGGCGGACAGATGCAGCTGCCTAGTTGCACCGCCAATGGTTATTGATCTTCTTCATCACTCTGCTACCTGCAGGATTGACTCGAATTTACTACATCCATCATGACTGGCTAATGTTCGCAAACTCACGCCAAGAACTAAGGCAGCGCAATTAAAGGACGAAATCAGGACCTGGACAAAGTCGAGTCGGCAAGGAGTCTTATCAAGAGGGCTGGTTCGGCTGATGTATAGTACGTGGTGATGTCAAGTTGGCTAATAAGAGTAGTCAAAGCGGGCAAATCCGTTTGAGAGGCCGCTTTCTTACGCAACTTCTCATCTCTAGCAAGCCAATCCGACGGCCAAGACACGTGTCCATCTTTACTCCTCGTGGCTACGCCCTACATTTGCTAAACAAACGGCCCGGCATACACGGTATGGTAATTGCAGCGCTGGGAAATCAAGAGGCCGATGAGGCTGGCTCGTCCTGGAGGAGAGTAGGAGAGAAACCCTGGCTTGGCCCGACCAAAGTTTTGCGAAAACGGGGCGACGGGTTTCCAACGGAGGGGGCCCCCATCGCAAGTGAGATGATGGCGCCAGACGATGGAATCGGAATATAGCGGCATCACTCAAGAGTAAAAAGGATTAGTGAGCAGCAAAAAGAAAATGAGTAACATCGTGGGCATGACTGATGAGGCGAAGATACACTATGGATCGGGTTACGCCAAACATTTTGCCTACAGCCTTGATAACTTGGACTTGGAGAGGAAACCCACAAGGCCAGGCACGTCGAAAGTCTGGGCTGGCCCGGGCGTCTACTCGTCACAGGGGTTCGGCGTACAGTGTTAGCTCTTTCGGGCGCTAACTGTCTCCGGCCGGGGCGTCGACTGGGTCCACTCCCGCAAACCATTGACAGCAGTCACGCCCGGGCGGCGCCAAGTGGGTGACACCTCGATACAATCGTTTTCTTACTACCCACTCCTACTACTTTTACTAGTTCGCCAATTATTTCTATTATTTCTATTATAATCTTTATAATATTCATAATCTTTATAGAAAATACTTTAGAAGGTAATTATAAAAAGAAAAGAGGATGTGCTAACCGGCATTCTTTTCTGGCACCAACATTGACAGCGCCATTGGCAACACTCATTGAGGACTTGAAAGGTAAGCGTCCCATGGGCGTTTTTGATCCACTGTCACGACGCGGCACAGCAAAGAACCCCTCCAGCGGGCTACATGCCACCTCGTGTCTTAAAGTGGTGCTTGTGGCTGGCTGTCTCCTGTCTATCAGTCAGTCGATTGGCGAGTTGGTGCGTCTATTTGAGCCCGTTGGGATACCATGGACGGCGATATTCTGCACTATGTTAGTAGTTCCAGACCAACGTCGCCGATTGCGACGTGCCGAGACAGGCTGCACGGCTGAGGCTCGACAGGAGAAACTCGAGAAGAGAGCGAAGAAGAAAACAGACCCCTGAAGAGCAAGCCCCTTTATCCTTGTCAGCTTCCCATTCGACACTACCAAGATGAGTCTAAGAGGCCAGGGGAGAAAGGGCACAGCTCCGTACAGGGCGTCGAGGACAAGGGAGGGGGTAAGTGGAGGTCCAGGTCGGTCCCCTGATGGGGTTTGGGGGCCGCTACCGCCCGCAATGGATCTGTTCCAGTTGGAGAAAATTAAAATAGCAAAGGCGACTTTTTTTTCTCTCGCTCTCTTTCGCAGTAAAGAGGACCCGAACCTTTTCTTCCCCCCCTTGCCCTGACTGTACGGACGGACGGTCGGCTACAGCTACACAGGGCGAGATCGCGCATCTGCTGTTACTTGCTGTTACCGGGATACTGTCTCCACGACCCTTAGCCTCCATCTACCATCAGGGACGGAGTACCTACTGTGTAAACTTCGAGGGCCCTGGAAAGTGTGTACCTTATGACTACCCGACTCTGTAGTTCGTAGAGTACGTACCTTTTTAAACTGAGGTGGGAAAGAGGGACACCTTTCCCCATTGTCGGCCGACCCTCTTCTCTTGGCCTCGTACATTTCGCAAGCCCTCCTTCTCCAGTATCACTTCTTTTCCTTGTCTATTGTGACGTGCCGGACTGGATATTGTAGATTCGCATTTCCTGCATTCCTTCACTTGTTGGTATTCTTCCTCCTGCAAACAAAGCAGACCGTCCTTCTCTTCTTCGGTTGTGGTGCCGCAATCTCACCGCCACAGTTCCACCTAAAAGCTTAGAGAGACATTGCCATCGTTGGCGACGACCCATCCCCTCGATCCCTTCGGACCTTTGCCCGCCTTGCGACACTTCTCTCGTCGTCCCACCACTCGCTCCTCGCAGCCGGTAAATCGCATCTCGACTAACCAAATCTCCAGCTGTTGATCGTAGAAAGTCGATACAATGGCCACTCAGACCAAGGCAACCGCCAACGGCGACGTCAACCACGAGCCCATCAATGTCATTATCCCCATTGGCGGCATTGGTTCCCGTTTCGCGAAGGAGGGTTACCGCTATCCGAAGCCCCTGATCAACATCGTCGGACGGCCCATGCTGCTATGGCTGATTGACAACCTGAGCCTCAAGCCTGGCGACACCCTGTGGATGGCCATTAACGAGGAGGTCGACGATGAGTTCAGAATCGGCCAGCTCGTGAGCAAGACCTTTTCCAAGATCGACTTCAGACTCTTGCGCTTGCGCCACCAGACCAAGGGTGCCAGCGAGACGGTAAGCCTTTCCCTGAGCTTCTTCTGGATCTCTTCTTGCTCTCTTACCGGCGCTCTGCCTCTTCCGCCTTTGCGCGATTCGCAAGGAGGGGCAAGGCCAAGCTTGGAAGTGCATCGCTGACGATCCCTCATAGCTCTTCATCGTCACCCAGAGCATGACCAAGAAGCACCTCGAGCGCAAGACTGTTTCTCTCGACTGCGACACCATCTACTGGGCCGATGTCCTCCAGGACATTCGCAACATGCCCAAGGGCCACGGCGGCTGCTTCTACTTCCCCGACATTGGCGACAAGCCCATCTTCTCTTACATCAAGACAGAACCCAAGTGAGTGGCCACCCGGGACGAAGCGCGAGCCACCTTTCGCCAAGAGGCAATTTCTGACAGATGACTACTACAGGGACGGTTTAGAGCGCATTGTCGACATTCAGGAGAAGAAGGCCATCTCCAACAAGGCAAACACGGGCGCATACGTTTTCCCGTCCGCTGGCCAGCTCAAGTCGTGGGCTGCCCAGAACCTCGACATGAAGAGGCCCGACGGCTCAGAGGTTGGCGAGTACTATACATCCCAGATGATCGCCCTCATGATCCAGAACGGCGTGCCGTACCTGGGCATGCCTGTCAGCACCAAGGACTTTAGCGTTGTTGGCACACCCGAGCAGCTCAAGGACCTCCTAAAGCTCCTCAAGACCGATACTTCCAACCTCCCTATCAAGCTGAAGAAGCGCCGCTTCTGCTTCGATCTCGACATGACCTTGGTCGGTGTGCCTGCGGTGGCCGGAGACTACTCCACCTGCCCTCCCATCGAGAAGAACATTCGCCTTGTCCAGCAGCTGTACAACGCTGGTCACTACATCATCATTGTAAGCCGACTCTTGGCGCTTGGCGAGCAGATCATGGCTTCCTACATTTTCCAAGACTTTGTGCTAACTTTTGAACAGCAAACGGCTCGCCGCATGCGCACGCATCACGGAAACTTGGGTTCAGTCCTGGCCGACGTCGGCCCTGTCACCTTTGCCCAGCTGGCCAAGTACGAGATTCCATACCACGATATCCACTTTGGCAAGCCCTACGCCGACGTCTACGTCGATGACC